TATTGTATGACTGTGACAGGTATATATGATATTTAACTGGTATGTGAGGCGTTATATTTATTGCTTATATTTATCTTGAAACTAAAGCGCATAATAATCTTTTGTACTTAATATATTTTGGGTGGAATTGTATATAGAAGATTCATGTTACTGATAATTTAAATTCTTTGTTTTAATCTGTTTGTATTTAATGAAATTGTTATTACACTGTGTACTATTTTATATCGTTTTTATTGTTTATCTTGACTGTTTCAATGTTTGGAACTTATTTTAATATTATTATTGACATGTTCTATATCCAGGGTTGTATTTCAACCTATGTTTTGGATTTACTGAATTTGAAATAAATGAATGGATACATGATACACAAATGTGGCCAATTGGACTATATTCATAGATACAACACTGTTACAGAAATACTGAATATACATCAGTACACATACAGTATCTTGAGTATTTATTGTTCATACTGAATTTGTAGCACGGCGTTTTTTCCGTTGGCCAATTCAAATTGCCAAGTAAATGAAACGCCATTAAAACACAGGCCATTGTGCCCCAACAAACAATTTAGGGAGAATGCAGTGATATAAGACGCTCAACCCCATACACAGGAGGCAGCTGGCAATAGCTACAGGCTTTAACGTACCTTGTGGTGCGATCTGAGTAACATCAACAAGGCTTGGAAAGCTGCTATCCATGGCCAAATATCTTTCCAGCATTTTTCCAGCCGTGTCCAACATATCCACTTGGGGACGCATTGTATCCATGGCTGGCATACAAATGTAGAACGATAATATCTAAAGCTGGGGCATAAATGAAAGCACTTTAATCACATGTTTTGTATAGTGGAATACAATTTTCAGAATTAAGGAACTTGGCAATGAAACATATTTTATCACGTACTGCATAATACATACCGTACACAAATATTCAATGGCAAACCTTACTTTGTTCTCAGGCGCTTTAACTGAACCCTAATTCCAGTATCTCTGTAATCGTGATGAAACACATAACCTAAACAATCTTACAGAATTATTTTACCGCGCTTACGCATTCCGAATCTTTCCAATGACCACGTTCATCACAGTTTCGTGGTTTTATCCGTAAGAGGACTCACTAATCAGTCTACCGCAGGTTAGCCAACAGTATTATGCTAGCCCATGATGAACTTAAGTGCACAATATACGTAATTACGAATACAAATTTTGACACTAAATACCCGCTTGAAAATGTTTGCTTTGGTTATATCTGTGATCCTTTCCGTCCTCTAATTGAGTGACATTTCCGCGTGTGTTTTTGAAGGATGCGATTTAGTAACAGGAATACAAACTGCATGATTGTAAGAGTAATTTAGGAACATTTATAATTTCTGCTGTAATTGAACATTTAAGGAAGGCAAATGAGGAGACTGGGTGCAACCTGTAAAGCATTAGGTTGCGCTAGACATGTATACCAATATAAATCATTAAAATCTCTGTATCGTGGTCTAGCAAGGAATGTTGAAATTCCAGAACCAGAATTTGATACTGATTATTTGTGTGAAGTCAAATATAAACCAGAAATAGAAAAAAATATTCAGCAAAGGAAAGGAATTGGAAATATTAGTCGTGTACACGAGTTGCACAATAAATTACAGACTACTTGTCTTAGTGAAGAAAACAGAAGGAATGTATTAGAAGAATTCAAAAAAGAAGCAATGCAAATACCAAACAAGACATGCCCCTTAGTAGCACTTTATGGCGATAATCCCAAAATAATTACAGTTACTGGAAATAAAACTAAATTTGATTTCCAACCGAAAGAATTTAGTGAGATTACTAGAATGTTGCATTTAATAAGAACTGACAATCTGTCTAATCTGTCAGGACATAAAAGTTATTATCTCATGGGTGAATTGGCAGAAATGGAACATGCACTCATGTGGTTCACAGTAAAAAGGCTTCTGGCGAAGAAGTTCAAGCTTATTTCTGTTCCTGATATTTTGCCTGCTCAGATAATTGAAAGCTGTGGAATGACCACAAGAGGAGACAGAACCCAGGTATATGGTACTGATTATGCCCCAGATTCAGGATGACCCTGCTTCAAATCTCAGGAGTTTCTTAGCATGTTTTTACTTTCCTCAATTCTTCCCAAGTCAGTACCAGGACAGAGCCCTGACTCCTGTTTCCACTACCTTCATAATCCCTCCAAACCCAAATGAATGGTGTGTGGTTGGCTTAGTTTGTGACACTATCAGTATCTCAGACTGTATGGCGTCACACAATAGGTTAATTGGTGAATAATGAATTGGAAAGGATTTGGAAGGAGATGCTCATGGTCTAGCAGAGGTACTGTCCTGACATATACCTGGATGGATTGAACTCAGTCAGGTTACTTGGTGTCCCAGTCAAGATTTTAAGTGGCACCTCCTGAATACAAGTGTAGAGTGTTACCACTGTACTACCTGCTTTGATTAGTGAATGCTGTGTAACATAAGCAGTTTACAGAGGTGAAGTAAATAAATGGTACACTTTATGACAGTACAGTTCATGTCATGGTTTTTATTTGGTCACAGAGAGCTATAATATGTGTACTATAATGTTGCCAACTCTTCCACAAAAACTTGACTGTCATGCAGAGTAATGCTAAAAAATTAGCATGCTATCTTACTGGTCTATGCAACCCCATGCATAGACTCACTATTCTATGCTTCTTGATGCAAACAGCATAATGTCTAGGAGACTCTGAAACTAATTTTTCATGTTGTATGTGCAAAATACAGTTCTTAAGCCCTTACTGTTTTATGTTGAGAAGTCAGTAAAATGTTTCGTAACTGACACAACCCACTAAAACACTCTACCCTCACACACACACACACAAAATCAAATCAAGTTATGAAAGTGAATGAGGAATGATACTGACTACTTAACCCTTGCATTGTGAAAATCCTTGCTATCACACAACTAGCATCCATCTTCAATCTCTTCATTAACTTCAAGTGTGAAATTCATCTAAATAGTATTAAAAAATCCAATTTGTAACACAGGAAGACTGTGTATTACAAAGAGTAACTGCTTATTGATGCTCTGAGAGAAGTAGTCACTTTCTGTGAATTTGTGGAATATTAAAGGAGGTGGTGCATATAGTTGCCATGTGCTTTAAAGTGTTAAACCTGCAATAACTATGTGGCAAAGGGTTTTATTTGACATTAAGTTCTAGCACTGTATTTAGAAAAGAAATGAAAAACGTTATACAGAGAATATAAATGCAATAGATTACAACAATTCATATCTTCAGATTAACTCTGGTTTTAATACTTGCTACTGTAGGTTTACACATTAGATGAACACTTGTACAAGGGAGAATACTGTCTGTCAGGCACAGCAGAGATGGCACTAGCTGGTTACCTCATGAATCAAGTATTTCATGTAACAAACCTGCCTTTGAGACTTGCTGCAGTCAGCAGGTGCTACAGGGCAGAAACCTCTGGAACACTGGAAGAGAGGGGAATCTACAGGTAAGTTCTGTTGTCCATAAACTTGATAGTTTCTGCTGTGAAAACACCACATCTCAAGTGGCAGCTATAGTGTTTGTTTGAATGTGGACTGCAGTTAAACACATGACTCAGATCTGCCCTGTATGTTGAACCACCAGCCACAAAATTGCATGATCAAGCATTCTTAGTGTGATCCTCAAACCTAATTTCATATAGTCTTGGAGATGAAACATGAACATGGTTGGATATGAACCCACTATTATGAGATGAATTCATAATGTTTATGCAAGGAAACATAATATGAACAGCAGAAACATCAATGATTTGTTTTGCAGAGTTCACCAGTTCACAAAGGTGGAGATGTTTGCAGTGACAGATTGTGACAGTTCTGCAATGTTGCTGGAAGAGTTTAGAGAGCTGCAGGAAGAGACATTTGCAATGCTGGGGCTTCACCTCCAAACTCTAGACATGCCTCCCCATGAACTAGGAGCGCCTGCTTTCCGGAAGTATGATATAGAAGCTTGGATGCCAGGAAGACAAATATTTGGTGAGGTGAGACCTTTGTTGTTATATTTAACTTGGGATTATAACCAATTTGACTTGTGTGTAATGTTTACTCATATGCTTTCCATTCTTTCACTTTTTCGGTAGGTTTCCAGTTGCAGTGACTGCACAGATTATCAGTCCCGTCGCCTCAACATCAAGTATCAGCAGAGAGGTTCTGATTCACTGTTGCATGCCCACACATTGAATGGAACTGCCTGTGCTATTCCCCGGATGCTGATCGCACTGCTAGAAACACATCAGCAAGCTGATGGGACAGTTACAATACCTGAAGCTCTTCAACCTTATATGAAAGGCAAGGTCACAATCGGCTGCCAGAATATCCCCAAAATGAAGTTTGTCAAGTCAAAGCATAAGGAGCAAAAACATAAAAACTGTGACTGAAAGTGGGATGAATATTTTGTAGACTGGTGTCTGATTTTCATAGGAGCCTTACTATTTGGCACTGCACTGTGAAGATGAGTGCTGCCCAAGGCAGCCCCATGGCCTATGTTGCACCTATCTGCAGTGTATCACCATTTTGGCTAGCTGAGATATCATTCATTGTATTGTCACATTGACAGGTATTCTTTATAAATGAAATAAAAACATCTATGCATAAGATTGTATCATTGTTGTTCAGTGTAAGCAATTTTATATTATAATTTATGTTAAAATAAAGGTACAAGACAATATTAAACTTCTCTTATTATGATGAAGAAGAAGTAAATGAAAGCTCTTATGGTCAATGTTGGTCTCACTGACAGATTTAAATAACATAAAACAGGCCTGATGAAGAAATTAAAATTGGCACTTTCAAAATCCACAAATAATATCTGAATAAAAAATATGTACAATATGAAATATACACACGTTCTTGGTAGAAAATGAACGTTAACTTATTTACATATATATTTATGGTTACTGAAAATTTTCTTCATCATACACGTATGCACCATTCCTATGGTTCGAGCGCAGCATTTGTATTAATCTTTGCTAAAGGCAGCATGTTCATATTTCTATAACAAAATAATTAGTATAACGGTCTCTCTCTCTTTTTTTTTTTTAGTTAGGTGAACGTCCGTATTACACATGTTACAAGTTTTCTAGTTTTGATATACACGGTACAAGAATACAGTTTCTCTATAATTTCGATATGGTAATGGTGTGCAGTACAATTTCGGCCATTGATGTTTACAGCCATATGACTTCACTCCCGGATGTGTTCATATGAATTACCACTACACCTATAAGGGCTTTTCCACATGAGGCGTTACATGTATATATGTTTTCACCTAAATAAGTGCATGAAGGGTACTTTTAGGAAGCGTGACGACGTTTCTACATGGTCGTAGGCATTCCTGCTTAAGACTCAGAATATTCTTAACATCTGGGTTAGCACACGATTTATTGCTGCTGCCATTATACAGTCTTTCTCCCGTTCCTGTACCTAATTATTTTGGATACAAGTTTCCCAACTATGAAAGTGGAAGCAACATTTACAGTCTACTAAAATAAGGAATGTCTTACAGGAAATGTCAGGTATACACGCTCTCTGTACATTGCAGAAAAGAATGCATTTAAAATATCCTTCCCTCAGGTTCAATTCATAAGTTACTTTACCTTAAAAATAAGATGGTCGCTCCATATACAATGAATAAGTATTATTCATTGTGTATTCCTCAATGTTACTGCAAGTTCTCAGACTTAGCATATTGCACTGATAATGTGGTCTTCTTACCATCTACTTGGCATGTTCATCTGAGACTTCTTGCATCAAGTTCACCTTTGATTTTAAAACTACTCATGGGAGAGAAGCCAGTCACTGCATCTCTAAATCATATCAAAGAGCAACATGCTGATAAAGGTGCAATAGTGTATTGTGCCATCATGGCCTCTCAGTCTCCACAAGAATACTGAACTCTTTGGAACATAGGGGAACCACAGTTAAAAATGAACTACCTGCCATTCTCAGCAGAGGTGCATACATGTCATGATGGGGACTGTAATTATTTATGCAATGCTGGCAATACTGATTCTGAATTTGTCATATGCTGACCATGGTGTGGTGAGGGGCAGATATGATAATATGGAACGTTTTTTTTTTTTTGCAACAAAATGTTTTTCAGTACATTAGGAACACAGATTACAATTTAGTAACAAATGATGTCAGTACTCATTTCAGAGTCTAAGCTTGCTGCATGTACATGTACATGTTGTCATGTAGGTGTGACAGAGGCCTTTTTTTTATTGCTAGTGGGGTGGGACTAAGTCCCTTGTACTGTGGCCACTTTTGGCCTATTGTACCAGCCCCAGATGATAGGTGAGGGTGATTGTGGAGCAATTGGTGGAATGAAGATTGGCAGGGGAAACCAAAGTACTCAGAGAAAACCTGCCCCAGCGCCACTTTGTCCACCACAAATCCCACTTGACCAGACCCGGGCCGCCGCGGTGGGAAGCCAGCAACTAACCGCTTGAGCTATGATGTGGCCATTATAAATATTTACTCCTGTTATTTATTGCCCTAGTTCGGCCAAAGAAAGATGCATGAAGTGAGCCTTTGTCCATTCTCTGTGGAGAGTGCTGACCGCCTCGTGTTGCTTCTGCTGAAATGTGCAGTGACACAGCCACCAAAGTTTACACAAATCTCACTTAACGTTTTGTTACTGACAGATACCAAATTATATTTAAGTGTTGCAGGATCTATGAGTAGTGCTCACTCTAGCTCCTGTTCTTAGGGAGAATAAATCAGGTCCAGCAGATTCCAACAACTGTACCTTACACTTAGCATGACTGGGTTTGTGGACTTCATCCAGACTCTGATATGCCTGAATAGGAAAGGTTTCAGAAACTGGGCCCACTTCTATCCCCACAAATGAAGTTTGGACGGCACATTCTCAGCTCAACATCTAGTGCTTTCCCACATGTCCACCAGAGGATGGACACCAACACAGTATATGAAACACTGTGTATTAGAAGAAAGCAGTCTTCTGGGATGTGGCACCTTCTAGATATTGTGTTAACCGATGTTTCGGAGGAACGTATTGCCTCCCTCTTCAGGGTAGAAGACAAGAAAAATCCACGAGTGAACCAGTAGGAGCACCTGCAACATATCTCTCATCTGGGGACTGCTATGGTGGGCTATTTATGAATCAAGTACCAAAGACTCAGTCTCACCCCACACTGAAAATAAGAAAAGGATGAGCCCTTTCTTGTTCAACAGTTTGTAGATTTGAATGAAATAATTAGTTTATGTCTGTTTTAAATGAAAGAAATTCCGGGAAGAACTAATCTCCGATTTTCACTATGTATTCAGTATTTGATATGACATGAACTGTATAGAAAACACCACATTACAGTTCTTCTATTGTTGCATGCATATCCATTGTCGTGGGAACGTGTTTATCAACTGCATCTCTTCCGGCTCCACTATTCCGGCTTTCAGGAGTCATGTCACATTCCTCCTTTCTTAAGGCTGCTCAGCAATTTGAGTGGCTCTAATTTTGGTATTCCTGGTGGGGGATATAGGAAGTACATTGTTGGTATCAGCTCAGATGCCATGATATACATGCCAAGTTTCATAAAGATCAGTTTAGCATTCAAAAGCTGTTATGGGGGTTGACACATAAGACACACAGACAACAAGATGATCTCATTAGCCTATGGTTATTTCTAGCCTATTTTCCTCATTTGGAAAAATAAAATGACGCTTATGAAATCACCTTACTGTGTGTCTGTCTGGTTTCGGGTGAAGCATGACCCGCTAATGTCACCATTATCCTGTCTGACTAATGCTGAAGTTCCATTCAAAATTCAATGTAGTTCGTATATGATACACAACAGGACAGCCATTACATATGTGATTTAAAACTCTGCTTCTTAATTAGCTATTTGATTAAAAAACACTAGAAATCTTGTATAGCCTGTAGCATTACACTATATTAACTGAGAATACAATTATTACACACAAGGTTGTACAAAAGTAGCACTACAGTTATAAGTGAGGCTGTGAGTTGTTATTGTGTGTGGTGTTTTTCCATGTTTTCAAGGTCATTAACACACAGGTTAGTGGTGCTGTGAAATACATGTCTGCCTGTCAGAGATGTGAACTGTGTATACACCATGGTGATCACCAATTTCAGCAACTTTCAAAATAATACACATAAGTGGTCTTAATTGTAGTGGCACTTCTACACCACCCGGTATATGAGGTTTTTCCTTTTGCATGCCACAAGTTGATTAGATCAGCCCGGCATACTTGCATTAAAACTGCCACAACTGATCAGGATAGCTTGATGTCAATCACTTAGCACAACATTTCTGTCAGTAGGTGATATCAAGTATGATGTATCTATGTTCAGAAGGAATTAGGCTTTCACGGTATCTACACCTGTGGTCACTTGACAGTAATCTGCTGAGGTCTTTCTCTGCAACTGCATTTATGGCTATGGAGCCTTGATATTTCAAACAGCAGTACTTCAGTAGGGCTTGGCAGGTAGACAATTAAGTTTTCACAGGGGTGTAGCTTCAACATGTGATCTTCTTAGTTATGATACCATGCAATGCCATAGTGGTTTTAACCTGTGCAGTCAGTATGTTCCACCAAAATACTGGTAACCACCAACCGGAATACATGGTGTCATACTTTAAAAGATCAGAATGTAAAGTATGCAACATGCTGGGCTGCACCATAGCTCAAGTGGTTAGTCACTGGCTTCCCACCACAGCAGCCCGGGTTCAATCCTGGGTCTAGTAAAGTGGGATTTGTAGTGGACAAAGTGGTGCTGCGGCAGGTTTTCTCCGAGTACTTCGGTTTACCCTGCCAATCTTCATTCCACAAAATTCTCCATCATAATCACCCGGGGCAGGTACACTAGACCAATGAGTGCCAAGTGGACCCAGCTGGACTCCACCCCCCAGTATGCAAAAACAAAATGCAGCATGTTACACTACTTTGCAGTTCATTCTGCAAAGATGACCAAACTCATAAGCATTAAGTCACCAAAGCACCTACCTCTATTTGTCTTGGTTACAATCTTCACTATGTCGATGTGCATGTCTAATGAGATCATATTTTTTGGCAAATGTCTTTCCACAATCCTTACATTCATATGGGCGTTTACCTGAATGGAGAATCGAGTGCTTCCTCAGATTATCAAGTAACGCAAATGTCTTGCTGCATACTGAACACACATGTGGTCTCTTCCCAGTATGTGAGGCACAATGATTCTGAAGGTCCCTGCGCCGATTGAATCCTCTGCCACATAATTTACAAACATGTGGCCGTGTACTGGAGTGTAATATAGAATGAGTTTGAAGATTTGCTCGCTGTGAGAAACATTTCCCACACACAGGACAAGCGTGAGGGCGTTCACCAGTGTGAGTAAGTTGATGTGTCTGTAAGTTACTGGCCTGGCTGAAGGTTTTGGAGCATATTTTGCATACATGAGGGCGTTCGCCAGTGTGGGTCAGTGTATGGTCCCTCAAGTGAGTGATCCTACTGAAACTCTTTGAGCATATGTCACACGAATAAGGCTGTTCTCCAGTATGAATCAACACATGTCGTTTGAGATCTATCATATGTCTGTAACTCTTATCACAATCTTTACAGTCATACCTTTGATATTCTGTGTGTATACGGTAATGTCTTCTGAGATTCACTCGATTTCCAAATCCTTTATTACACACATAGCAAACATGAGGAAGATCACTAAAGTGTCCGATGAACCCTCGATCATCTGCAGAAATAAATGGCAACATAGCAGGATTAGAGTAATTATCCTCAGTCACAGAGCATGAATCATCATGCACTTCATTACTGTCACTTGTTACATTACCAAACTGTTCATTCTGAACAATATGTCCCATATCTTGGTTCATGCTTGTTTCTATGTTGTTCCCTGAACACAATTCTTCATCCTTATCTGAGAAATGATGTGTGAAGTCCAGTGAACTGGAATACCAAGATTCATAATTACAAAGTATTTTATGCTTTTGCATTGACATGAATCAACAAAGTCCTCTCACAATATGTGGTATATCTTTATCGAATTCAAGCAGTTCAATGTCATAATGATATGGTCAGAGAGGGCTCCACTGACCCAGTCATTACCCAACAGCATTAACACAGTGAGGGAATGTCAGGTGATATAACAGGTGATGGAGCCCACAGTCGGTACTTCATTTTGACTTCATTCAGAGATGGTGGGCAGGTAGTATTGCTACATCATTTAGCTAGCTTACTGATATAGAGTTTCTGGTGTTTGTACCTTTGATATCCAAAAACATGGTAAATAAAGAGAGTAACAGTGCATATTTAAACTCACACCACACATGCAGTAGCAGGCCATTAAAATGTCCACACAACATGTTAAACCCAAACCTAATTACCCTGCTAGTAGTACAACACACACTATTAAAGGTCATTTACTGTCACTGGGATTTTGGACTTCGTCCACCATCCAGTATTCTAAAAACTTGAGAACGCGTTTCGGAAACTGGGTCTGTTTCCATTCTCGGGTGAAGGGAGAGACACCTACTCTGTTGGGCCCCTTACAAAGAGCTAACCCCAATCACTGGATCAAGACACCCAACAGAGTAGGTGTCTCCCCACTCACCTGAGGATGGAAAGAGATCCAGTTCTTGATTTTATTTGAATACCAGACAATGGACAAAGTCCAAAAACCCAGTAATTCCAAGTGTCATACACTATTACCAGAACCCCTCTGATTCTGCCATTCAGTGCGTTTGTTATTTACTGACCATCAGTACTGTGAATATATAATGCTGACAATATGATGATTAATGAATGCAGAGCACTTGGTGGAATAAACCCAAATACTTGGAGAAAAACCAACACTAATGCCACTTTGTGCACTGCAAATCCCACATGACCTGACCTGAGACTGAACCTTGGTCACCATGGTAAGAAGCTGGTAACTACTGCCTGAGTTATGGAATGGGCTAAAAAGGGTTAAAAATAGTCAGTTACAACATTAAACTGATATTAACATACTGTGTATCTAATGAGGACCTTGCCAGAAATTCTGTAAAGATATTCCGTCCCTGTGGCTTTTCATATGTTCAAATCTGTGGACCCAACAGTTTATTACTGAATCTATACAGACATGAGATTTAAAACATCTAGCTTCAGTAGCTCATTAATTATTACCATGGAACTGAAAGCCATATACACAATTCTTGCAGTCATGATGATGCTGATTTACATTCTATATAAGATCTAGTTCCACACAATATTTCAGGACTTTATACTGGGTAGTGTCACTGCCACTTCACAACTTTGTATACCTGCCATGTTAATACCACCTGTAGCCATGATATGACAGTCATGCCAAATTTCGTGAAAAAAGATCAGTTCAGATGTTTAAGGGGGTGCATACAGACACAAACATAAATACACACAGCATAGTCATCTGACTTCCTGCTATGAAAAGAAAGTAGATTAAGAACCATTCCACTTTGCTAGAATAAGAGATATTTTGTATATAATACACATTATTATGAGTGTAATGTTGAACAAATGTGTTCTAAAGGCTTACATTTACTAGATCTGGTATCTATATTTTTATCTAAAGGATGTAATACTGGTATTCAGAAAATGCAACATTAGGACAGCTGGACGACTTACATATGCAACCAAATAGAAGAAGAAGAAGAAGAAGAAGAAGAAGAAGAAGGAGGAGGAGGAGGAGGAGGAGGAGGAGAAGAAGAAGAAGAAGAAGGGGGGGGTGAAATTAAGGATGTGCCCATATGTCCCATAGTGGAAGTCACACATAAGAGAATGTGTTAAAATGAGACTAGAACTGCAGGAAAACATTACACACCTGGAATCTCTCACATGCTCAGCAACAGCACCCTGTTCTATCACAGTACTTCCGGCACTTACTTCCTGCTTTATGTACACAGTTTCCATTTCACCAAGGTACTGTTGCCGGGTACCCCTTTGTTCACCCCTGGCTCTGCTCCACCTTTTCTGTGCTTCAGTTCCCTCCATAATTTGTGCTTTAATGTCCTGAAAATGATCACAATGCTGGCAACTTCTTCTGTCACAGTGAAAGTGAGTTCAGCAGAACCATAAGCATCCATGAGGGACTTTAAAGGGTTCCACATGCTTCAGTGGAATCAAAAGTCTAAAAGTAAAGCTGTATTACAACTATAAATTCAAACACCACTTCTATCAGTTATGTGCAAGTTACTTCAATGCATATTTGCTCTATATTCATACCAAAATGTGATATATTAGAGCTTTCTTGTTTATTTCCAACCTCACTGCTTCAGGCTAAAAAAAACTTCAAAAACAACAATACACAAGCTGCTTAAAAATGTCATAAAGTAAAGTAAAGTAAAGCTATCCCTGTACCAGGCCGTGAAGGCCCATAGGATTGTGAGCTGTTGAGGGTCCCACATTATCTAGACAATCAGCTCAAAGATGGCGGTAAGGTTGTCAGCCTTATGCACCTGCTGCGCTTTGGAAAGTAAAGTTCCTGCCATCGGCTGATCCCATATGCATGCCACTAGAACAGATGTCAAGGAAAGCAAACAGTAAGGGAACAGCACTAAGCACAATCACAAAGTGCAAGGTGATGGTAAGTTCACAAAGATAATGTGAAGCTTATGGCATATTATATAGGCAGTTATTTGAAGATGCTTTCAGTATCAAAACTACACAGGATGATAAATGAATGATAACATGTTTAGGATTTAGAAGGGAACAGTCACAGACTAACAGAGGCATTATACTGGCACTTCCCTGGAGGGACTGAAGAGAGCCATGGAAAAACGTCACTGGGGATATCTGGTGTCCTGGCTAGGATTCAAACCAAGCACCTCTCAAATACAAGTCCAGAACATTACTTCTAGATTCATTTCTAGCACAGCAATGTATCACATGACGAAGAAGGTCATGTGAAATTACATTTGCCAGGTTACATCACATTATTATAGAACCACTGACAGGTGTACCTCATCTGAGACACCTGAGATGTCTGAGCTGTTGACACTGGAAGAATCTTCTAGTATATTCATGAATTCTGTTTCACAGAGAGTGGACGCTGGCTCTGTTTCACTGTCCGAATCAGGCTCCAACTTTACTTCATCCATTCTCCTGCTCTGAATCAATGTACCTGAGAACAACATAACACACCTAACCTTCACTGCCTGAATGGTCCAGAACTCTACTGTGCCATAATAAGAGAAAGTGTTCACTGCCAATTCCTTGGCCTGATATGTTGGTTAACAGTTACTGCATACCAGCTCTCACCTTGTCAAATAACAGGCTGTTGTCAGCATATTCTACATTCCATTTTATCCTATAGATTTCACTAGAATGCAGATAAACTTTGAGCACAGCTTGTTGAGGCTTGAAAGAGTCAGAACCATAGTGATTATTGTTTTTCACTTGTTCTCTTCTATTTACATTCTGAATGCAGTAAGTTCAGAATGCACTCAGACTAACATGAAACGCTTTGGGCAAGTTAAAACAGTGTTCACCAGAAACAAAATTTCCATAAGAAATATTGCAATATACTGAAGAAGCCACGCAGAGAACGCATGTTAACTGCGGAGACAGGTGTGTTAGTAAAAAGAAATCAGCACTACTTCAAAAACTGTGTTAAACTGAATTTGTGTTGATAGAACTTGTGTCAGTCAGGGACTAGGTGTACAGCTTCTGTGGAAAAATGGCTGATCTGGCAGGCAAAATCCTAGTATGAGGGCATAGACACAGCATTTGGAAGCTAAAGTATTTCCCAGGATATCACATTTCAAATGCTGGGCTTCAGTCATTCTCAAACTGTCACCACACTTCAAGTGTTTAATGTCTACGTTATATTCACATGTAAGGAAATAAAACCTTATGAAGTTTGTATACTTTTGATCTCACATAAACCACACACAAGGAACCTTGATCACAAGAACAGATCTTTTGGTCAAGATTTGTGTTCAGGAACTCAGTGTGTGTATGTGCATGTGTATGTGTGTGTGTGTGAGACAGTGAATTAAAAAGTGTGTAAATCAGCAACAGCACTGCATTCAATGTAATTAAGAGCGACTGTACCCAAGGAGCTAATAAATCCAATCATCTGAACTAGAACCTCTCATTTTTGTTGTGCATACTACCCTATATATGACAATATAAACAACATTCATCCCAAAGTTCTTACCGATCGAGTAGAGAAATCATTCACCCTTATCCAGTGATCATACACTGTAAAACATAATTAAGTGCTATGCCATGAAGACGTATGGTCCATTGATGTATAAATCCATGTATTCTTGACCTCAGCCCTAGTTGGAGGTGAGTGGTAATCTTCATGCCCTGGCTGTTTTACCCACAAGGAAAGAGTCCCCCAGTACCCATTCAATAGGAGACTGGGTGGGTTCCAGAACTGGTGTGGATGATGTGGAGATAAGGAAAATCTTGCCCCTACTGAGACTCAAGCTCCAACCCCTAGGCCACTGAGCCTGTAGCCAGTTGCTATACTAGTTCAAATTAAAATAAGTCAGTCTACATACCTCAGCAATTAAAATCAGTTGAATCATGTAGAAAAAATTCTTCTTAAAATATAATGAATACTTGGTTCGAACATCAGATATGTAAATAAGATCTAACAGTTTGTGGCAATGGTACATTAATACAATTATTTTCTTTCTAGACATTATCTACTGTCCTTTCTTTTTAATAAAAACAACATCCTGTTTTTATTGATTCCAGTCTTCAGGTAAAACATGCTCAGTTTGGCTCAATCACTAGAGTTAGTCCCTGTATCTGGACACCTGCATGGACACAAGATAGGCCAAGTACAGCAGAAACCATCTGTAGAAGAGAGGACAGGACAGGACAGAACAATAAAACAATAAAAGAAAAAAACTATACATGAATAATGCCTAGCATAAACCATCTGCAAAATATGACAGAACATTGAAAAATAAAAGAAAAACTACACATGAATAAGGTCTGTGAAAAGTTGAGACAGAACAATAAAAAATACACGAATAAGGCCTAGCACCACGGTACTATCACAAGAGAAGTAGTCACTGGCGACATGTCCTCTGTATGGTACAAGGGAAAACACTAATTTTCCCATTTAATCTACACAGAACGGTGCTGTTTTTTGTCTTCTGCTGTCATAAGGGGAGTCCAGATGGACGAGATATATACCCTCTATCTTGTGTTGATGCACCTGTTCGGAGATTGGGGCTAGCTCTCTCGATTGGGCCCAAGTGCGCAAGTTTCACCTGAAGACAGGGAGACAGAATTCAGTCTCCGTAACGTTTTAAATAAAACCATGACGATGGATAACGTCCAGAAACATAATATTTGTATCCGAAATGTATACAAAACTAAATGCAGTCTTTCTTCTCACCGCCATCAACACATGGCATAACCTCAATGCGTTTACACTTATTTACTTACCTGTTTTGCCTACCTCTTTATGAGATCTCCATATCGCATAAATTAACAAAGAAATCAGCGTTTTTCCTGATACGTGGACAGGTCACAGATTTAACAACGATTAGCAATTATGACAGCATGGTAAAATTGGTTCTCCTTCTGTCGCATGCGTGATTTCCAAATTAATTTCACACTCCTTAACTGTAGCTCCTAAACAATTATCTAGAGTTTTAAAACTGTCAGTAGTGACACATTATGGACGCGATTGACAAGTAAATAATTTTTTTAAATGTCAAACTCTGCGTTTGCATTATTCATCACGGCGCTTATGATCGCTTATGATCACTTACGATCCTTACGATTATCATGCATGCCGTCTTGTCACAGACTCGTGTAATTTTTTTTTTTTTAATTCTTAAAAAATGGTTACAAACTATATTTTAGAGTCACAGGTTTCCCCACATGTATTCCGACGAAGGAATATCAAATTTCCGAAGGCCAAAATCTATATTAGAGTATTGATTTCCAGTCATTCATATCGCGTCCTGTCTCTTCGTACAGGTTGGACGAAAAGTCAGTAACCCTTCGCATTTTTGGTTGGTAACTTACGTAAGGTCACTACATAAAGTTCAGAAGCTGTTTCAGAACTGAAAGTAACTAGCCGTGGCTTAGTTCTTTATATCATTTTGGATCTCCCCTGCTGAGACTGCTATAAACAGGAAGAATCATTTCAGCAAATGTCCTAGACGAGCCTTGAACTGGCTACTTCCCCAAAGAAACATTACTTTATGTAACTTGTTTCACTTTGTATTTCAGTAGAAATATCTGTTTACGGTCTCTTCTCCGCAGCCTCAAAAAGCTCAAGACTGGTTCTGGACAATCCAGCCACCCAGTGAGTACCAGAGGCCCTTCCTCTGGGGATAATGCGGCCGTGGAGTGAAGCTGACCACGCTTCTCCTTTCAGTGCTAAGGTTAAGAATATGTGGAGCTACGCTTCCAGTTGACCATACGTCTTCATGTATTAGTAATTTATTAAGCATGGGGACAACGTTTTTGGTCTACCTTTTCAATATACAGTTTTACAGTATTTGCATATTCACTTGCGCATGAGTTATACTACTGTGCGCAGTTTCCCCTTTGTTTGGGGTGCGTTTGGTTTCCTGTGTGTTGAAAGGAAAATGCGTTCACGAGAGTTCTCGTCGAGACACACTCTTGCTTCATACACACAATGCAAATGCAGAAGTACATATATCTTTACAGGTGCTGAGCTTTGCATAGTCATATGGCGAATATTGATATTCCAATTTTGGCACATTTATTTCATTTTTAACGGTATCTCGTGTAATCTGGAAAACAGGTAGTAATTAGATGACACAATAACCATTGGAAACAACTTTCTTTTTGGTCGGTCGTGTATTCAAAGACTTGTACTTATCTCTACTCTCGTCACTTGGAACCTTTGATAAGGATGGGCAAGATCTTCCTATGTTACTACACACAGCGAATATTATATTTTCTATGTTCAGATTCATGAGTCCATTTTAGGGACAAGTGAAGAAAGAAAATAATAATTTTTTTAAAATGCAAACTGGTGAAAGCATCGACCTTCTAGGATAAAGCGTCTCCAGGAAGCGTGATACCGGGCGTTCAGTTTATTGCTGAATACGTTCTCCTAGATGTCTCAGCGGTGGCTTCACCAATACGGCGTTCAGTAAATAAATAGAACATTCTGTATTCAAGTAGATTAAAAAAAGAGGTTCACAACAGAATCTGGTCCCTGATGACTCGAGCAGTAGGATCATGCTTTGTCTACATCGGCCTCTTTTATAGCAAGCTACATGTCATGCGTGTAGTAAAGAACACGGGGTAGGTGGCTTGAGTTCTAGTGGCCCTATTGCGCTTGAGTCTTCATTCGGTGCGCTCCCCTGCCCAGGCACTGAGGTCGACACGGGGAATGGACTCACTTGCACATGCCACCCTCTGGTTCCTGAAACATATAGCAAGCAACTAACACAATAAGGTTAAAATCGCAAGGGTCATTTTCGGCCTTTCTGTATAAATGTGTAATGCGGTTGGGGAATATGATACGAGTAACTGTGCCTCACATGCATAGAACACGGTTCATAGTTTTCCGTCTTATAAAATACTAGCAAACACACTACTTCAGTGTTCCTTAATTCATTGTTGCTATTCTATCATTTCCTAAACTGTTCGGCACCGCAATTTATACTGCAAGATTGTTATGGATGAAACTAACATTTTGACTTTTCTCTCAAATCAGCTATGTCCCTGTTTTTAATATATTAGGAAGGGTCAAAACAGCGCGATATACGATCTATTTTGACCTAGATCAATCGACTCGACGTATTCTTCATCATATCCCTTGAATATCCACTTTAATAATATCCCTCCTCCATTGTCTTCTATCTTCATACTTGATGAACCGACTGACATGGCAATATTTCGTCTCTCACAGTTTCAAGTGAACTTTTTCGTTTAATTTACCCACAAAAACCAAGACAAAAGTATAAATACTTTTAACTCTGTTGTATTTTTTCACGTTTCATTTATTCAAATTATTTACTGCAAATAAGGCAGAATCTATACAACCATTTCACATTTCTAGTCTTTCTACTTCGGGAAGACCAATTTTAATTCTTCGCGAACCCCAAACTTTTCATAGGTCAGTCGGTCGGTTAAATTGCTGCTGATCCTCGCCAGTGCAGTCAGGTCTCGAGACTTTTGGCTAAGAAATTTTTCCCCTCCTAGACATGTACGTGTCTGAGAAAATGGACCACCCCTTCGATGAGGAGAGGGGTCGGTGTTTCTGTGGAGGCGCCACGTATGCTGCACCGTAGATTTATCACGAGGATATCCGTACTGCCAACGTTGGTTTTTGTACCATGTCATCATGGCTACATAGCATGACACACATATCCCGCGTTACCATGACAACTCTCGATCTCGCGGCAGTTACCATGCCTGCTAGGGGAGGCACAATAGATCACTGTGGTCGCGGTGCAAGGGACAAGAAGGCCCGCCCCTTATACATTAATACAGTCATTCATTCATTCATTCATTCATTCATTCATTCATCCATTCACACCATGCCTGCAGATTTCGTCTCCGTGACAAGAGAACGCCATACTTACACAAAGGAGGCTCTGAAGAAGGCCAGCGGTTGCATGAGAGCGATGTCGTCTGAGTTGTCGCACAAGATCCTGGCCAGACTGGCCTTCCGCAGCTGCACCAATTGCTCTGTGACAACAAACATGCGTTACCTCTCTAAGGGAAAGCATAGATACCACGAGCCTTGAATTTAGTTACATAGCAAGTAACGGGGACCCAATGTAATCACATGTCCCACTCGGCTAGCGCAATAAACAGCTACAGAAATGCGGAGTTTTTGAAGGTAGGAACAGCAACGCCAACATAAGCTCCGAAATCTTCAGCGTCACTGAATTAAAACTTACAACTTAGTTAGTGTGATTTATAGAAATTTCTTACGCGTCGAAATTTTACGACTTTCAGTTCTCTAAAGAGGAAGTTCACATTTTCAGAACACTTAATTTCTACTCCTGTATATGTTATGATTGTGGGCGCCAACAGGTTTCGTTCTGGGGTGTGGGAGCCAGAAATTTTGTTTACAAACATATGTGTAAGTATTTTAAGAAGGTTTTTGAGGCTTATCGAATGTTGAAAAAAAAACATATACAGTCTCATTTGAATATAATTGTAATTCTTTGTATTAATACTTCATATATTCTATCCGTTTTTCGGATTTCATTCTTGCCAAAAATTTATGAGGGGCAAGTTCATTTTTGTCCCCCAAGACTTAGCCCTTGCTTATGAATAATCGGGATAGGAAATGGCCTTCAAGTGGTGAAAGTGAGAAAAGGTACAAACTGTGTACAAAATACAGGCAGATCCTTCTGGTGTCATGTGCTTACGTGGCGAGAAGCTAGAGGGTTGGCCACCTTCCTCGTAGTAAAATCTGTCTCCGCGCCTCAGTCGGGCGAACTGGTCACCAACAAGACACACAAAGGTCTGTCCAAGCAGCGCACCTGGTAGCGGCTTCTCGGCAACGGCTGCTACGAATAGATCAATTTCATCCACCGAAGAGTACAGCTCTTGGAGCGCAGCCACGCTCTGCAATCACAACCGCGATCCACAATTTACCAGTTGCACTGACCATTAGATATCAGCTTGTACCTTAGTGGTATAAAGTTAATTCTACAATCGTTCATGTAATTTCACTCCCCATGCAGTATGATGTCTTCTTTATTTGTGCTAAATTCCCAGTCTCTCATATTCGTAAATTAAAGATATTACAAACTGCATCGTCTTTTGTACTGTATGACTATAAAACCCGATCACCAAACAAAATCAAGATTGAAGAAAGCCCTCTTCTGGGATGTGGCGCCGTGTAGAAATTGTGTTAACCGACATTTCGGAGGAACGTATCGCCTCCATCTTCAGGGTAGAAGACGGCTTTCTTCATAGTCACCACCGTGAAAACCTCAAATCTTATAAAATCAAGATTACTTTATTCTAGAACCGTTTCACGATTCTATTTCCTCTGCCTAGGTCTCACAATGTTATGATGAAAATATGCTCAAGAGATCTGAACTGCTAAAGCATATGGAAGGACGAGCTCATGTCTATTTGAAGAATTTGCTCTAGAATTCGATTGCAGAGGCTATACAAAAGACTAAGAACATCAGACATTCAATTCGAATCTATTAATGTAGGCCACGTCGGTTTCCAAACTTCAGAATATATGTCACCTGCGAATCCATGACGTCCAACAAACTGTCCCAGGACCTGGCCCGCGGAAGACCGCAAACTTCCCGCCAGTCATTGTAAGGTGGCAGGCCGTGATCACGGCCCCGTTGAGTGTTCAGTGCGACGAGATCCAACCCGAAGTCCAGGTCGCCTTGAAACAAATGGTCAGTCAGCTGATTTGAGAAGAAACGATCGAAGCGCTGGCTGCTTTGTGTGGACAGTCCGCGAACTAAGTTGTCCAGAACACCATTTTCATACAGCACGAAAGGGGCGAACTGGTGTTGGCTGAGTTCAAGGTTTTCTCGCACGTTGCCAAAGCGGGAGAACCCCCTGTGAATAGACGGAGGTTCAGAAATGTGAACATGATATTCAGTACAAATCGCTTTAAACTAGTGTAGCCTCATTGTGTTCAAAATAATGAACACTATGGCTGGGTATATGTATCGATAAGTATAAAGTACAATTTTAAAAATTTTGGAGCAAATTTAAAATGAGTTCAAGAATCAAAGTGATTAAAGAAAACTTTTCTGATGTTCTCTGTTTATGTCTATACGACACTGTCGTAGCAAAAGACGATCCCAGATCGAATTCGTAATGAAATTTAAGAAAAGCAGGGTATTTTAAATTTCTGAGTACCCGTTACACATTACTACGTCGATCCGCCATATTTAATGTGAACCGTACGTTTATGCCCACAAGGCCTTCCATATGTGATAACCAGGGCCCGGATTTTGATGACATGTCATCTTTTTTTCCTTGTATCCTACGCGATGCTCTTAAATATATAAATCTCGGATATGAGCTGCTGGTTACAGAAATGTAAATTTTATAGGTAATGTTTTGTCATTTTTTAACATTTTACGTTTAAGTTCATTTTTTTCATTTGGGGGGTAATTTTTTGAACTTTTAAGGATATTGCTTGTCATTTTTGGCCATTTTAGGGAATGTTTCTTCATATGTTTTCTGAAATGTGAATAACATGGAAGCGAAGTGTTCTTTCTTTTCTCCTTTAGGTTATTTTTCTGGATTTTTCGGTCATTTCATACGTCATTTTTTAAATATTTCCAGGTCATCAAAATCCGGGCCCTGTATATTACATTTTTGGGTCATATTTTAGGTCATGTTTCTGGATTTTTTCGGTCATTTTATAGGTCATTTTTTAAATATTTTAAGATCATCAAAATCCGGGCCCTGGTGATAACTTATATCATTACACTGCGTAGGATTTGAGGTTCTTATAGCGGTAGTTGTGTAGTCCTTTGTAAGTGAACTGACGTTTCGAAGAAATGTGTTACCTCAATCTTCATGGTGGCAGAAGAGCAAACTCTGCTGCCTGTTTCACCCTGGTTTCTTGCTTGCCTTATTCTTCGACCCTGAAGATGGAGGCGATATGTTCCTCCGAAACGTCGATTGACTTTCAACGGACTACACGGCGTTATGTGCAAGAAGACAGACATCCTATATCACACTGGCTATAAAATCAGTGGACGGACAACTCGAACCAGACAACGGTCACAACCAACGGCTAAGCGACAAGCAGCTTGTGCCTACACGCGGCCAGTCACTTACAGTATGCGGCTCTGAATGAGGGTGTGCCCGAAGCGGAAGGCTGCAGTGGCAAACACATTTGTTATTGATGGGTTCAGTGATTCGTCATACAGCCGAGTGGCGCCGCTATCTCGCGGACTCAGCTCGAACTTCTCCATGTAGTCGCGACCTACAAGAATAGAAACACAGATGGAGATAGTTTAGCAAGATACACTCACATTAATCTTGGAAGGGCAAGCTAACCTTAGTAAGGTAGATTAAAGTGAATAGTCTGATTATTTATACGACCTTACATGTTTCGACCCTTCATAACCATCTTCAGAGGCAGAACAGTAAAGGATGTCAGTTTAACAAGTTTTACGGCCATAACGATAAAGCAGGTTAAAACTGCAAAAGTCTAATTGTTATTCACAAAACTTTTCTTGTTTTTGTTGTTTTTCCTGATTGACATTTCTTGGTCACTGCTTGCAGAATATCTGGATCGCAGACATTTAACAAACGTACCCCATAGACAGACGTACGTGTCGATCCAAAGATGTGCTGTGGTCTCTGAAGTTTGTCAGACCTCAGAGGCAAATTCTTAAGAACGCTTCTTTTCCATGCCTTGTCCAATTCATATAATCCTCCAATAGAGTCTATATAGTTGGAAAGGAGTCCTTTAATAACCTCTCTTACGCTTACCCAGAATGAGCGGCAGGAACTCGTTGTACGTGATATGCTGCATCTCCGCCACTACGATGCGACGGGCCTCCTGGAACAGGGCCTCGTCACCCCACGAGGGGTTCAACTTGGCCAGCTCGGCCGCTACGCGGTTGTGTTCGCGCATCCATAACGTATGCATTACCACCAGTTCCACCTGCTCGTTAACTCGCGTGTCGCCTGAAAAATAGGCCATCCTAGTATATTGACGGGTATATCCGTCTTCGACTAACAGTAAACTAAGTCTCAATCTCCCATAATTCCGACGAAGAAAATGCATTGTAATTGGACCCAAAACTGGGTTGTGAAATGTTTTTGTAACATCAGTCGAGTCCCTAAATGGATGAAACTGACGAATATAACCGTCATTCCAATGAACAGCTTAACCCGGGATTTCAACACTCGCTTTAACGCGAATAAGTAAGCTCTGGGCATAGGAAGGGAAACGGTGTAAAGCACCAAGGATTGTGGCTGATTCCAAACAAAACACAACTTGTGCGTAGAGCGAAGCGTGGAAATGAACAGCTTTCTGATTGGGCGTTAGTGCTGAGAGGGACATTTCTGGGGAGTCCCTTCCTACGCACACTCACCCGCCTTGAAACAGGCAAGTCGCTCCGCGTCATCCGTGCATTCGCCCCTGTTCGCAGGCAGCAGCTGTCGCCCGCCCACATTCTGGATGGCCAATCGCCCACCTCGCCCCTCGCGGAGTTCGCGCTGGGCGCTCAAACTGGAGCCGTAGATGTTGGACCCGTCCTGGTAGCCGGTTATCTGGTTCATCTGCATCAAGCAGTGCACGAAAATGAGATGAGCGTGGTCTATGAAGGGTACAACCTTCTGGGATATAACGCCACGTAGTTCGTTGAAAGTCAACCGACGTTTCGGAATTTCAATACACTATACATGGTGTTATAACCCAGAAGACAGTGCTCTTCATAACCACCGGTGTGAGAATCTCAAATCCTATGATTGTGGTTTGTTTCAAGGTGTTGTCACGGCCTTCGTATGGAGAGACTGCAGAAAGCCAGAGGCTTGCAGAGATCATAAGACACGAGGAGGACATCGTGTACCTGTTCCCGGGGCCCGAAGTTGCACTCCGGACGCGGGGCGGGCAGCGATCTCACGAACTCCATGCACCGCTGCCCCAGTCGTGCAAAGATATGATCATTCCGGGGAAGCGTAATTGGGAAGCAGTCTGGATGACGCAGTTCCGGTTTTATGATGTCACCGTCACGGCAGCATGACAGGCCGCTTCCGCTCTGACCTGCAGGGCACAGAGACACAGTCCATCACTGAATCACAGGAAGGGGAAACGGCAGTACTCTGAGGAAACCTGCTCCGTTGTCACTTTCTCCACTGCAAGTCCCACATGGTGACCTGAGATCGAACCAGGGCGACTAATCGCCTGAGATCTTCCACGGCCTGTGACTCAAGCAAGTGTGGACACATGTCTTCCTGAGATACAGTTTCACTTTCTTCATAACACAAACAAATAGTGTAGAAATCATGTGAGAGTATATTCAATCCGCGATAGATGAAACACCCTGTATATACCTGTGCCTCAAGTTTACTGTGACGTCGAATAGCCCTGTAGAAGTTCACCGACGTGTGGGAAGAAATATGTTGCTTCCAGTTCCTTCAATCCTGAAGATGAGAGCACTATGCTCCTCCGAAACGTTAGTAAAATTCTAGGAAACTGGATTCTGTGACTGCGGAGCAAGTTGCCTGAGCTTGTAACGCTTCTATTTGAGAGGTGCCTAGTTTTTGTCAGGGCCAAGATATCCAATGTCTTGACCGATGTTCGTTTTTGGCTTTCCTCAGTCCCTCCAGAAGAATGCTGGGATATCATGTTGAAGTAGGCAACTACCTCTTCTTTCAACATCCTTTCAAATTCGATATCCATTAATAATTCGACGGTATGCACTGAAATCGCCCTAAAATGAACCATCAGACCCACAACTCCACTCACCTCTGCTGATGGGCGTGTGTGTGAGGTCGTGATCCAGGAACTGTCCCCACTGCATGAGGAGGAGCGTGTAGTTCTCCGACGGGGCGTCCCTCTCGGTCGCGAACTGCGTGCTGATGAGGCGCGGGCTGGGCAGCTCCCGCCCCGTGGCGGCCACGCGGGGGGAATTCACACCTGCAACACACGGAGCCTCAGTCGCTGTGAAGCTGACCACTCATCTCTAGCTAATCCTGAATGTCCATACATCTTCAAGGCGTATTGCTTAATTAAGTGCAGGGAAAACTTCACACTTTATGATGATGATGATCATTATGTAAAATTTACCTTGCGAATAATTAAGCACCACATCATAAAATTATACGGGAGTGGCGGTATAGCTCCACGCATTCTTAACGTCGACATTAGCTGTAGTTGAGTGACGATCTTCACGCCTAGGGCCGATTATACTCGAGACTGGATGGAAGTCTGTGGCGGTCTGGGTGCTGCGGGTGGGGGAATCACTTTTCCCTTCTGGGAATCAAGCAATGAATCGTCGACTCTCCAATCCGTAGCCTAGCCACTGTGCTCACTGAGCTACCGGGCCCCAATAACAATATCAACTTCGCACCCAACGGAAGGGGTGTCCAGCCCAGATATGTACGCGACTCTGGGCTCTGTATTACGGGCACTTACCGTCGCCATACTTCGGGGGCAGTATCCTCTGGAGGGCGGTGCCCGCGCGCCCCCACCGCTCGTTCTGCAGGTTGTTGCAGGAACCGTCGGCCGAGCGGTACTTCCGCGGGGTGCAATTCGCAGGCCGCGGGCAAGAGTCGGCTATCACAGTGTTCAGGATGCTGAACGTGGGCAGCGCGAAGCGGCCCTGGTCCGGGCTCAGCTGGAACCTGAACACAAGCGTTCAGGATCATTAACAGGCTCACTCTCTGTCTTGTGTCCTGTGAGTACCTCGGGCTAAATAGCGCCCGGGGAAATGCTGATGAAGGGAAAGGGATTTGGAAGGAAGCGGTTGTGGCTTAATCGAGGTGTTATCCCGACATTTGCCTTGAGGGACTGAGAAAAACCACGAAACCCCTCAGTCAAAATAGCCGGAGTGCCAGTTTGAGCGTTACCGCTGCAATAACCTGCTTGATTATGGCAGTGCAACTTGTCTGAGGGCTTCGGAAGGGGGGAGGGGCGTGGGGAAGTATTTTCACCTTCGAGAATGAAGTAACAGGTGGTGCATAATGAGGAGCTTTGCATTGTGACCGGGTCATAGAGGATTGCATGGACAGGACGTGTAGTACGCATGTGGACGATGACGCACAGAAAATTTTGTACGGAATAAATGTCGGGAGGTGCTCACTTCAGAGACCTAAGCGTAGATGGGAGAATATTATTAAAGAAACAGGATATGAGTGTGTGGACTGGATTCATGTGGCTCAGAATAGAGACCGGTGGCGGGTTCTTGTGAACACGGCGATGAAACTTTGGATTATTTAAAAGGCAGGGAATTTATTTTCCTCCTGAAAATTCTGTAACGTACACGAAAATGGCTCTGGTGCACTGAGAGTGTTAGTTCGTGGTATCTGTAATATGGTACTTAGTTCATAAAACTGAACACCTGAACATGTTTCTTGTACCGAACTGGACAAAGCAAATGTCTCTTGGATAAACTCCCTTAATCCCATATGACCTCACCATTTGTCATTCATTCTTATCAAGATATCATATTAAACTGCATCATGTGGAGTTGAGCTGCTGTTGCACTTACTCGTTCACAAGGCTCACGCTGGCCTCCACGCCCTTCTGCGCCTCTTCCCCTTGCTGCAGCGTCGCGTTCGTCGTCTGGAAGAACTCCTGGTGCCAGGCGGCTGGCGTCCCCACCTGTGACAAGGACCACAGTCTTAAAAATCCACGCCCTCTCACTCTCTCTCTCTCTCTCTCTCTCTCTCTCCAAGTCACATTTTAATATTATATTCCATTTCAGGTACGGCTATCCTAGACCCAGCGACCTTTTTCCAGCAGCAATTTATTTGCATTTATGGCTTTCCCTGCGTCTCGTCCCGTAAAGTCACATTAAACTCGCCCCGCTGTATTCACGTGTTGCGTCACAGGTTTGGCCAGGCCAGCGGAACAAGCTGAAGTCACTGCACTGTACCCACCTGCACGATCACGTTGTTGGCGAACAGTGACGCCACGAACTGCAGACGCTGCCTGATCCTCTCGAGCGCCACGACGGCCGCGTTATTCAGCTGCTCGGGGCTAAACGGGGGGATGACGACTGAAGGGGGCGGCGGAGGTACCAGCACCCCGTGGTTTGGGCGGTCCAGCCCAGCCGGTACAACTGCAACAGGACGTGTTGGCAGTCCTTCATGTCATGTATTGCCAATAATAATTTTAAATTAATTGTGCAAGATGGGAAAGGAAACTGACGAAGTAGCAGGTTACCTCAGCGCTCTGATTGTCGCCTCCTTCATGCCTCTCTCTTCGACCCTGAAGCTGGAGGCGATAAGTTCCTCCGAAACTTTGGGCTCTATTTGAAATTCTCTGTGTGACAATCCAGTCATGCTCACCGCCGTGATAAACTCAAATCCAACATATACATTCCGTGTAATCGGACGCCTGAAAGCACGGACTCTCAGTAAGAGAGGCGGGGACAACGAAACTAGCATCCGTTTCAAACACACCTAGAAATAACCTGTGACCCAGCCAGAGCCAAGTCCCTTTCTTTCACATCTTTAGAATTCATCGTTCTGAATCAGCCGCCCATCTATCTATATAGCGTACTCAACTGGGAAAGTATCCTTTCACAGACACGGTCCTTGAATGCAGGATCCAATTGGCCCTGGCTGTATCACGTTACACAACGAACCAATTTCCAATAACGTTCCAAATCATTGTTCTCGTTCATTGTTGTGTTCAGGATTCGCGGAACTCGTCCCATTTCCATACATCAAGTCACCCTGGAATTCCCAGAAACAGTCGTGAGGTAAGACCATGATGCAATGCGCGTGAAAATGTCAATGTCGCGACGTTACGTAAGCGCAGTGGCAGAGTGAGCATCTGGTCACGCTGACAGGACAAGACATTATACACTCCTCAGCTTGAAGACTGAGTGATGCTATTTGTCCAAATTTGGAATGAATCCAATCCAAATTTGTATGAAAAACCGATTATTTCATGAAATGTCTTACATTCCTTAGAAGCGAGTTTCTGTAATTTGAAGATGACACGACTTGCGCCCTCTTCCTGTTCGCAGCTGTCGTTCTTTTCATCGCCTACTGACTTTTATTTTTGGTAACTATAGTTAAATGAACAAACAGAACGACTGAGAAGGCCGTGATGCATGTGAGACAGTCGTTTGCTATGTACTTGCTCGGTAAGAAAAATCGGCGTTTTCCTTGTTCACGAGAAATTCCATATGCCTGTCTTGCACTAGTAATGGCTACGTTAATGCCAACAGGATGGTTGCTTGGCAACAGCCGAACCGTTTATTGCTTGACCTCCTACAAATGAATCACAGACTCACATATCTGTGGGTTTTCCGCGTAAATATTTGCGCTAGGTCAGTTAATATAGCGTCTGGACCCATGCTCAGTTTGTGCCAGATTACGAGAGACTTCAGCAGAAGGAATCAGAAGAAGGATAAATGATTTGTTGCCCGAGTGAGCGGATGTAACAGCGGAGAACCAGTCGAAAATGCGATCCGGATGGAATAGTAGTACGCTGTTCTACCATCCTACGGATTCCAAATGGGTTCTTACCTAGTTTGTGTTCTTCACAGGTCTAATTTCTGTTTTAGATCAGGTAATGAACAGAAACGGGATCAGTAGCACAGATATTCCTCCGTGAAGGCCTAGCCGTTCCCGCCACACAGGAAATGCATTGCGTATACATTGCAAGGTCCGAGTCTCCAAGTTATTGGCGTTAGCTACTAATGTCAAAGTTTGTTTATAGCGGGCTTTAGGCCAGTTTATAAGTAATATTATTTACTACAAAACTTTCACTTTCTGAATTAGCTGTTTCGGACCTTAATTGGTAAGTTTAATTCTATTTCTTGAGAAGCTGTTGCTTAGAAAGCACTATTGATGGATCGTTAGGTTAATGGAAGCTTGTGCTTATACAGGGTGATGCGGAAATGACGGATATCTTCTGCAGGACATAGAATGTCCAATAAAACTGTCAGTCTGATTAGGCGATCCCACAAATATCTTTTATAAATTCCCATCACACAGATTATTGCTTATTTCACCTTCTCGGTCAGCTGAGTCGTAATTATCCTTGCAACATTCGATATATACATAAAAAGGCCATATATACCCCACTACCGGATCCGTCCCACATACTCACAATCCAACCGTAATATTCAATATTAGAAATCATTACAAAATTCAGGTTTCAAGAAGCTTTTCAGAATATGTATGTTTGTTATAAAAATGGCGACGGCTGACCACAGAGAGATTGTTGTCGGCAAACCCATCTACCGTCAGAATTGATACTACCTGTCAGCAGTGAAATATCGGTAAGCGTTATTACCACAATCTCACGCAGCATCAATATGATGTTATTGTATGTATGTAACTTTATTGTTAATACTGCGTCCTTACGCGATGGACATCGCGAACTATTTATGTGGCGCCATTCACAGTTGCAGAAACAACAATTCAATTTCGCAGCCTGAAGAACATGAGGGTATTCATTAATTCCCACCTCTTGGATAATTTGCTTGACGTCAGAATAATATATTCTTCCCGGATATAACGATTCTAAGAGCGAATATTGAGATAAACAAAGTAACATCTGTTGCCCCGTGGTCACGTTCATGTCTTGCAGCTAGAGCGCATTGAAGCCCCATCTCCGGCCTTTCACGTGTAATTATGTGCTGCCATCTATGTTTTGTTACTTTCATTAGAATCATTATTTTGCCATCTATCGGCGCGAGGGGGAAGACTCGAACATGGGCAGAGGAATAGCCGACAGACGTGAGGTTTGAGGTTCTCATGGCGGTGAAAATCAAGATTTGACAGCGTGTAGACTGGTAGGTGGGTACCAATATATCGGAGAAGGTAGTACGTTCCACCGAAACGTCGATACACGTACTAGACTACGCGATGTAATAACCCAGAAGATCACAATACGAAAATAAGTCATGTACATATTAAGATATAATGAAACGAAGTAAGTTTAATTGAGACAAAAGAGAGGCTCTGAATCTGACATCACAGAATCGCAGGGACAAGCAAGGGCGTGGCACGTGCAACGAGCAAGTGAGCTCAACCGGCAAAACTGTCGATTTGTCTTAGGAAGTGCCCCGTTCGAGTCTCGGCCAGGGCTGCGGTTTGCCGCAGTGTCCCACAGTTCCTCCAGGCAAACACCGAGATAATACCTCAAATTAAACCCCGGCCGATTTCTTTCATAACCTTTATATTTAATTATTCAGTTATCGCTGTATATCAGCGCAGTTAAATAAACAACATCTGTGAAATGTGCTCACCGGTCGGCCTTTTCTTGAGCGGGCAGCAGACGCCAAGCTCCTGTCCTTGCAGCTTGCAGGGCTGCCTTCGAAGCTCGGGAACTTGGGCGTAGAAAGTGATGCATTTGACGAGAGGTCGACAGAGACCGGCCTCTCCGCTCAGAGTGGAGCAGGGAGGCGGCGGAGGCTCTGATGGGAACTCAATGGCTTCCTGAAGCTCAAAGTGAGTGGGAAGCTGAAGCACTTGAGGCTCGACGAACGGTTGGTGAGAGAATCCGTTCAGTTGTTCCTGCAGACGCCGCTGCAGTTCCTGTTGCTGCCGCTGCGACTCCTGGAGCTGCTGCAGCAGCTGTGACTGTTGCTGCTGGATTATTATCTGCAGGAGAAATGGTTCATCAGGAGACTTCACTGGCTTCCACAGCTCACAAATAGCGAACTGAACAGGCAACATTGCAAGAAACGAGGCTGAATTGCGCCTCCGATAGAATACGAGCGAGTTGCAATCGTATATACAGTACACCCTCGCTAATCCGGTTACAGTTAATAAAATAAGTAAAAAAAATTAAAGATATCCCTGTAACAGGCCTTGGAGATCCATAGAGTTGTGAGATATTGAGGTTCCCACATTTCCTAGACAATCGGCTCATAGATGGCGGTAAGGTTTTCAGCCCTACGCGCCGGCCGCCCTTTAACCCCAAGAATATTCCTGGTACTCATTTCTGTTAGAGGCTGAGTCGACCCCAGGGCCATAGTGCGGCTGAAAGGATTAGGTCAATTGAAAAAAATCCGATTACCTCATCGGGACTTGAACCCGCGACCTTCCGGCTGGTAGCATAGTGCTTCAACCCGCTACGCTACCGCGTGTCCCTTGTTATCCGGATCGAAATATGAAAAATGCTGTTCGCAGATGAGTACATACTTTAAAAGACACGTGACATTTAGGTAAGCTGATGAGTCACTTGTGTGTTCACACACAACATTAACAGCTTCTTCAAACCTGCATTGTGTTGAAAAACAAGTACAACTTCTCAGGCTTCTATCAATGAATAAATGTTTTGTCTTTTTATAGTTCTTAAATAAAGATATATTTTTATTTATTTTCATCTGTACTGCTTATATCATTAGATTCAGATTAGTTAGATTAGTGTTATATTTTTATGGGTAACTTTTGCGTTACTAATCCGGATTATCGCTTAATCTGGATGACCTCTCCCCCTGAATTACTCCGGATTAGCGAGCGTACACTGTATCAGTTCTTTAAAGCACCGTGGTCACTACACCACGTACGTGTATTCTATCTGATGTAACTTTCGGAAACTGCATTTTGCCCACGCATCGCATTTTTGTGTTTCGTATGACTATCACAGTAAACAGCAATTTTCTTTCATTGCTCTGTTTTCACCTTCCAGCCCCCCCCCCAACTTTGTTTACTTTCGGTGCTTGAAATTTTATTTCATTCTCAGCCTACATTCCTTAGTTTGAAAAAAAAAGTACAGTTGAGCTTATGTGATCACCATGCTGACTATGTATCTCCCATATCATCTTTTGAATGCCTGAACCAATATTTATGAAACTCGGTATGTACGAGATGGCACTTGAGCTCATCCCAACGGCGTACTTCATAAATCCTACCCCTCAACCTGTGTGTTTGTATGTGTATACCCCTATAATCGCTAGGCAACGGCTCGGTAAAACGTTACCGTAGCAAGGAATATACACACAACAATTGTGGAGGAATTGTTGGACGCATTGTATTTTATGAGGTTCCTGCGTGTGAAAGAAAGTTGGGCGAATAGTTCTTCCCAGAACTTCTTTTTATTTTATCAGTTTCCTTTCCATTCCTGTTTATCTTCCCTTCCCTTGCCTACTTATTTCCTTCTCCCATTACATCTGCCGTCGGCACACCTCTCGCTGCTTAGAGTCGCTGTCTCCTATTGGTCCGCATGGCCCCAGTACTGGTTTGCCTGCCCAACCACAGAACCAGTTTCCCCTGTGCTCGACATACAATTCTACCCCGGATATAGAGAGAGTGCCTTCCGATACCAAACTACACGCTGCCACTTCCCAGTTACATCCACGAGATCCCAAGACATTAAATATCGCAGGATATCTTCTAGGAGGCAGGAAAAATGTTGTATTATTCAGATGAACGTCAGGCTTCTCCATCCAGGCTAGTGAGCATAGCTCGGATCCTGGGTAACTTCCATACCCGAAACTTTCGTTCCAGACCGTCGGCCTGTTACGTCACCCTGACCCTCTCTATCGCTCTTTCTCTGAAGCTTCAAAGGGAGATGCGGTATCTTCTGGACAGACAAATAACCAACTCGATATGAACCATGACACACAGACACACTGACCTGCTGCTCCACGCTTGAAGCTGCCTGAGCCTGCGCCTGCAACAGCTGCAAGTGATCCTGAATCTGTCGCTGAACCAACTGAACTTGCTGTTGCTGCAGCTGTTCGGGAAACAGCTCCGTCCTGAAGAAGTTACCCTGTGACTGGACACGACCCACGGACAGCAGCAAGCAGAGCGCTGCGAAGTGCGCCATGTCTGGGCGGAGACTGAGAGCGGACTATAGTGTGACCCAAGGACACGACACCCACAGCTGGTGCTGCGTAACGCTCTTCTGGTTGCAGCATGAAGAGGCGCAGGGGGTTGCATAATATCTGCCCGTGACGAGGCCACACTTCGCGACAGCAGGCGCCTACCTGTGAATATCAGGACACACAGACAGTAGCATCGGCCGGTATCGCCGTCCCGTCAGGACAGTAAGAAGGGGAAAACGGAGAAAGTGGAGTAGAAGAGGAAGAATAAGGTATGAGGGAAACAAGGAGGAGTGAAGGAGGGATAGGAGACATGAAAGAAACGTGAAATTAAAAGGTGAGAGGAAAACAAATAACAGGAAGAAAACGGCGATGAAGGAGAGAGGTAAAAATAAGTCGCTGTTCCATTCTGTTATGTCGCCTGTCCATCCGACGAGTGGCGTCTGGAAGGCATAGGGACGTCCCCTTGTGAGGTCATAGCGCCATTGTTAAGCCAGTTGGTACGTGTGAATATGTTGTAGAATTGTGGTGACATGAACAGTATCCCGTGACAAAATATAGCACCACAAAGGAGATGTGAAGGCAAATCACTTTCATAACTGAGCACAGGATGCATATTCCGGCCGTCTTTACCTCCACAAAAGAGTCAGACCGAGCAGAAAGTCGTTCTGGCCATGATGGCCAAGGCCAATACTGAAACGACAAGCGGAGTGTCGATCCTGTGTATTCCAACACGTACATTGTATGCTGGGGTCGCCAATCTGTAGATACATATGCAACAAATCGTTCTCACAGTTGACACCGTCACATACCTCAGGGTTCCTGTTGTATCCCAGCGTTGAAGTCTCCGAGTATAACAGTCTTATTGGGGAATCCCGTTCCTACCTCACAGAGAACACATCGTGTTTCCTTAACTAAGACTAATCGGTTCATGATATCTAAGGAAATGGTCTTGGTTTAGAAGAGTCTGTCTTCTAGGATGTGACGTCGTGTAGTCGGGTAGATTGCTTACAATCTTTCGGAGGACTATACTGTCTTCATCCTCAAGGCAGAAGAGTAATCCGAGGGTGGAAAATAGTGACACGGATGATGGAAGAGAGCGACGAGTTCTTGAACTCAGGACAGTTTACTCTGAGATCCATACGAAACACACAGACACACTGTGGGAAGAATGCGGAGATCTGTAGTGTTAAAGCAGGTACTGCAAGTAGTGATCACTAAGATTTTAAGAGCCAACGACAATGTACGAACTTCATAGTTTTACCTTGAATGGTAGGACTGATGATTATGAATTGGAGAGTGCAGTTGCCTGAAGCTACCAAAGAGCACCCCATATATTTCTAAGGCCAGGGACCTAGACTGCCAAACTGACATGTTCCAGTACATTTAATATGCAATGTGGAAAGTTAATACGGCGTGACCCTATAGAGGATCTCGGAGCAGTCTTACAGTATCCTAGCAACAAATGCATCCGGTTCTTCCTCACGCGGCTAGGCAGTGGCATTGATAATATTTCCTTCCTGCCTTCATTACCTAGCCACGTGTCCAGCATGGTGTGTAGTGTCGCGTGAAGTTTAAAGGCGAAGTTCTATTTCTGCACTCAAACGGCTGACTGATGTCTTTGTAACAGCGTGACGTAATGGTATAGGGCAGACTGCAGATGGGCGAGGCGTAATTCGATGGAGTTTCACTTGTCAACATCTTATTGCCTCACCTCTGTGTCGCACACACGCATAGTTGTTCACTTAAAGCTGTACTGAAATAGGAAACATTGTACTGTATACCGCACGTTACAGAAAACGTAAATTAATATTAACGAACTTACTGGTAATGAAGAAAGCAGTCTTCTGGGATTTGGCACCGTGTATATGTGGTGTTAACCGACGTTTCGGAGGAACGTATCGCCTCCATCTTCAGGGTAGAAGAAAAAGTATATAAGAAATCTGCTAGCAAAGAGACCGTGAGAACCGGTAATCTTACAACTTACTGGTAGTAACTCTTATTTTGAATGCTTGCGTGAGTCCAGTGGACCATGTATCGAGAGACCGGGGTAACAGTTCTGACATAAAATGTTCTCGATTTGTGTATGGTTTCAAATGCATCACCCTGTATAAGATTTTGTTTTGTAACTTGGTAAACAGTGAAACATTTCTGGGCTTACATTTTTCTGCATAACTGAGGCTGGGAGTGGCTGCAGCGAGTCCTGACAAATTTCTACAGAATTTACGGCGGCAGAATTATTTTACAGGCGGAATAGGCCAAACCGCATAATCCAGGATATCTGAAAAAAGACTATTAATTTCTGGGACGTGACTCCGCACAGTCTGGAAGATGTTTACTGACGTTTCGGGTGAACGTACTGACTCCTTCTTCAAAATTGTATTGTGCAGAAGACCGTTCGATTCTGAAGACAGAGGAGTTCGTGTGAAACGTCGGTAAATATCTACCAGACTACACGGCACTACATCCCGGTAGACTATATTCTTCTCAGTTACGGAACTAAGAGCATCAAATCGGACAAAACGAAAGCCACTTTGCAAGTCATTTGCTTGGCCAGATATTCAAATTGTCGGTAACTTAGTGGCTTACTTAGGCAGTTACTTAATTTGTCAGCCTAACAGTCAAACCGAAGTCTACCCTTGTCATGTTCTGGAGGTGCTGGGTTCGAATCTTGGCCTGGACACCTGCTATTCTCAGGTTTTACGCAATTGTCTTCGGTAGTTCCAGGAAAATTCCGGGATAGTAATTTGAATAGGCCACTGCCGATTCATTCCAAATCCTTTCCACTTCATGAACCATCCCACCATTCGATGCTGTAGAATGTACATGCTGACAGCGCCCTAAAGTGACCTGCGAGTCAGGTACCTGACTGGCGCGACATATTGCAATGATCTTCGCAGTTGTTCCTCCCTCCCACAGCTGGAGCTGGCTGCAGTGACTTCAGCTGTGGGAAGAACCCGAAGGCTGCTGGGTATGACCGAATGGAAATGGAGGGCGTCTGGGTGAGGGGTCATACAACTGTCACAGAAGCGAGGAAGCTAGAAAATTGCAGAATTGATTAGGACTGAGATATGTAAGTGTTTTTCTTTTGCTAGTGGGGTGGGACTAAGTCCCTTGTACTGCGGCCACTTCTGGCTTATTGTGCCAGCCCCAGATGATAGGTGAGGGTGACTGTGGAGCAATTGGTGGAATGAAGATTGGCAGGGGAAACCGAAGTACTCGGAGAAAACCTGCCCCAGCGCCACTTTGTCCACCACGAATCCCACTTGACCAGACCCGGAATCGAACCCGGGCCGCCGCGATGGGAAGCCAGCGACTAACCGCTTGAGCTATGGCGCGGCCAAGATATGTAAGTTAGTGGAAGTGTGAAGCACCTGAATGACTGTACAGAAGACACATGGAAGGAGTAGAACTCACGTCGTATTTTGGTTTTAAACGACAATTGATCAAATGGAAGACGTAAATATCGGTGGTAGGATATTATTAAAATTAATCTTAAAAATAGAAGATGTAAACTGAAACAGGGAAGCAACGCTTTTGTGATACACGAAGACTTGATAGTTCAGAATCGCGAGCAATGGATCAAATTAAACTGGCAAATCAGTAGGGGCTGCTAGCTTAAATTAATAAACGTGTGCCCAGGGTTAATGAATATATGAAAAGTTATATTCATTTTAAGGGATACACATAAAGCACTGCCTATTTTTCCCGTCCACTTTGGTGTACTGGGGTTTATCCGCCACTGCTTCCATCACACCTACGCCTTTTTTCGAGGTGAAATAATCCAACGCACCATACGCGCATGCGTCATCCGTCACATCAGCCTCACTTTCACTGCTGATGTTACCTGCTGCCGAGCCCTACAGGCTGTTCCTCAAGTCCTGAGATCCTGAGCCTTGCTGCGCCGGGTAGACGCAGGGATGTCGGGCCTAAATTATTAATTTCGAGAAAATGCATTTCTTGATACTTTTACCGGTTATTTAGTGGTCGCTACTCAGGGTCAAATGATCACTTGAGAGTGGAAAACGAATTGGAAAGGACCTGCTTGTTTTGTTATATGCATAAAAGTGAAGTCGTTCCTGTGCTTCATTGAGGACCCCGTCACTAAGACGTATAGGGAGTGGAGTTTGGTTCCATGTATTCTTAACGGCACTAGTCAGCTTCACGCTCCGGTTGCTATACCCCGGTATCTCTTGTGTAGGAGGTTTGGTGGGTTGCAGAGCTGGGCTGGATGCTACAGAGAAATATCTTGTCCCCGACGAGAATCGAAACCCGATTCCTCGGTCATCCAGTCATTACCCAGTCGCTGCAGCTACTGAGCTATTCAAGCTCAAAGCTATACATCATAAGCACAATGGGCTGGAGACGAGCCAATGGAACGGGGTTGACTTTTTAGGCACCCGGTAATGGCTCCTATGTTTATGGAACATCCGATGCATAACTTGGGCTCCAGAACAAGATCAGTAGCCTCCCACACGGAGAGGCTGTAAGAAAGTGAAGATACTCGTCGGGAGATCTTCATTTGTTCGGGCATCACACGGCAGCCCAAAACTGACTGACCGTCTGACTAGGCAACTGTTGGGGATATGAGGTTCTCACGCTACTGAGGTTCCCGTCTGTAACACTGGGTAGATTATTCCACTGGGCACTCCAGTTTCCCCTGCCAGACCCGAGCTGGTCCGTTAGCCCGAAGGGAGGCCACAGTATTGAGGGGCCCAGTGTCACTTCACTGTGTGGTGTTCTTACTGTCTTGTGGGATGTGACACCGTGTAGACTGGCAGACAGGTACCAACGTACCGAACTAACCCTCTGTCTCCATCTTTAAGGTGCAATAAGATGAAGGCAACTGCTCCCCACCAACCTACCAAATTACACGGCGTCGTATCCCCGAATTCTGCGATCTTAAGTAACTGTTTAGTCACGTGGTACATGGTCCCTCTTTGTTACTGACCACCTTACAAGGCCGTCACTGTCCAGACTGTAAAGCGCTGAATGGCAGGATGACAGATAAATTCGGAAGAACTTGAGAGGCAGTGGTCGTGGCCTAATCTAAGTATTGTCCCCGCGCAATTATCACGAGGCACTAAATAAAACCATGAAATTGGTAAGTTAGGATAACCGGTGAGATGCCCTCGCCGGGATTCGAAACGAGCATCTCTCGGATACAAATCAGAAGCATTACTGCTGCGCCAACCTGGCCGGCGGTGCACCTCGACCGCTGATAGTTGCACCTTGGAGCCACTGTCAAGTCCAGGTCCATGTAACGTAGCTGTCAGTAGAAACGAGCAGCAAAACAAAACTTCAATAATGAAGCGGAGAGAATCGGGAAGGGTACGATCGTGACCTACTAACGCAGCATTTGCCTGGAGGGACTGACGAAACCCATAAACATCTGTCGGCTCAGGGCCGTGACCTCCAGAATGCGAAGTCAACAGTTCCATCCCATCAACCTCACATTCTCACAACCCACTCCTCATTTATCTACTTTAATATTATATCCTCCTCGGCCCATAGTCTTATGAACATTTGTGTACGTTTGTTTTCTTTCTCTCGTGAGTCACGACTCAACTATAGCGCAAGGCGATAGTCCCGCAACACACACATGTCGGAGAAGTCTCCTACGCACAAGGCGAATCCAATAACTGCTTTTTCGGGAGAATGATTCGTCCTGACGACGCAGTATCAACTGCACAGGTTATATAGAGCTAGGAACTATGGAAACTCACAAACTATCGGTCAGAATAACTGGCTATAGGGCTGAGGTTTGAACCAAGTACTTCTGAACACGAAGCAGCACTGTCAACCACTACACCAAGACGTTGGGAAGATTAAGGTAGGTCATACCTGTAGCATGGGTGAGGATATGAACTGCTGCAGCTTCAGACCACTACGAAGTTGAAAGTAAGCATAATATTAAAATAGTGGTTTTGTCTATAGCTAGATATCTGCTTGGTGACAAGCAGCATGCCAAGTATCGGATCCATAGGAGAGGTTTAGGGGATTGTTACGGGAAACAGGTAACCGATATAGCTCAGTTGGCATAGTGATTTCGCTACGGACTTCCGGACTTCCGTTGTATATCTTTTCCTCAACGCAAAGACAGGCTCTGGAGTCCGCTCAGCCTCCTACGCAATGGGTTCCAGGGGTTTATTTCCACCCGGCGGTGTAGCGGCCATGATTAAGAATGCGTGGAGCTATACCTCCACTCCGCCATAATTGTGTTTAATAATGTGGTGGGACATGAACTTACTGTACAGACCTGAGTGAGTGCTTCTTGAGAAACCGCGAGCTGCTTAGCTGCTCAAGAATTGCTCAACGTTTCATGAAACCCGAAGGTTCATTACCATGTTCACAAGAGCTAGAGGTACATTACTGGAAAATGAATATTATGAACGCCAGATTTTGGGATAATGGCTGTGATTCAGTCCTGCTGGTAGCCATGATGATACAGAGGTCTCTGTGACTTCGCACCACAATTGACAGTCTGGTGATTAATAAAAATAACATCTGAAAGTTTGTGACAATGACATTTTCCATCTCTGTTTTCTTTTATTTCAAGCACAACGTTTCGCAGACTGGATTCTGTCTCCGTCTTCCTGTAGAAACCTACTCGGTTGGGCCCAGTCGACAGACTGCCAAATGAATCCGAAACGTCGTGTTTTAAATAAAAGAAGAAGGCGATGGATAATATCCAAAAACTCAGTAACTGATGGTTAATGTGTTAACCGTGCATCTATGAAGATATGCAACATATTCTAATTTTGTATTAACTCACTAATGCACTCGTAATAACAAGGATCTGATGAACTCTACCGCAGTAACACTCACCCGTTAGTCTACCCTGATGATAATAAACTGTGTGTATGAAATGTATATTGCCAACATTAAGCCAGCAATACAAGGCAACAACAGACACAAACGACGATTACAGAACTCAATGCAAGAAGAACTGTGACGAGGTTACTTCAAGATGTAAACTTGCTAATTCGAACTGTTTTTATTTAGTCGAACAGTACATAAACTGTAATAGATATTATGATGCTGATACTGCATCCTAGTACACACCGCTCTCGATACACAGCGCGGCGTGGTGAATCTTGTATTCACTGCCAAAGACATCTGGATTTAGTCCTGGAAATAAAGGTAACACAATGATCCAACTGCCGTGGTATTAACTTAAATGACACAGGCCAGAGCAAAATGTGATATGTAGATTTAGTTATACAGAACCTGGCGTGAGGTAATCAGTAATGAGAGTGAGGGTTGTTATGAATGATAGACGAAACCTCTATGCAGTGTCGAAGTTAATTTTGAGTGCATCTTAACATTCACGTCTCCTGTACACCTCCATTTTGAGGCGCATGTGAATAGAAGGGATCAGAGAAAAGTGATGACATTTCAAGATGCTACTTTGGGCATCTTATATATTGCTGCTTGATATTTAAGAACGTTATTATGTGATCTAGTGGTCAGAGTTCCTAGCTACATAACCAGAGGTGCCGGGTTCGATTCCCGGCGCTACCAGATTTCTGGGAAGTAGTGGATCTGGAACGTGATTTACTCAGCCTCGTGAGGATACCTGAGGAGTCACTTCAAGGAAATAGCGGCTCCGGCCTAGAAAATCGAAATTAATGGCCGTGGGGATTCGTCGCGATGACCACGAGACACTCTCTATCCGCTAAAGTTGGCACTAACTTCGCCTAAAAACGGCGGTCGCTCGGTCGATATAGTTCGCTTGCGGACTGAAACCACGGAGTCATATTAAATATAGCATCAAACGCAGCAAAGGGGCGAATACACATATATTTCACTTCATTATTTATTGAGAGCATCCTCAGAAATTACAAAGGCAACCCAAAGGGTGATTAAGGCAAGCACGGAACTTAATTTCAACAATTCTAGCCCTCTTCCCTAGAAATAGAGTTTCAAATGAATGTCCTTCTTTACAACATAAAGAGTAAATCCTCTTCAGCACTAAGCGAATGAAGTTCGGACTTCCACGGTGCACAGAAGCATTGCCTGTCTATAGTGTGTTGGCAACTCTAATATGCAATGAATCCCTTAGAATTGCGCAATCAAAATTTATTTCAACAAAATTTCAGTAAGAGCAGAATAAAAATAAAATAAATTATGAAGCGTTGATTGGACTTTAATGCTTTACGTTAGGGGGCACGCGGTAGCGTAGTTGGTTGAGGCACTATGCTGCAGGCCGGAAGGTTGCGGGTTCGATTTCCGATGAGGTCATTGGATTTTTTCAATTGACCTAATCCTTCCAGCCGCACTATGGCCCTGGAGTGGACTCAGCCTCTAACAGAAATGAGTACCAGGAATCTTCCTGGGGGTAAGTGGCGTTCAGCGCGTAAGGCTGACAATCTTACCGCCATCTGTGAGCCGACTGTCTAGAGAAAATGTGGGAGCCTCGACGTCTCACAACCCTATGGGCCTCCACGGCCTGTTATAGGAATAGCTTTACCTCCAATACACTGCGTTGTACTAAAGGTTCCGCCCCGTACAATCACAATTCAATCATAAAATCCTATACGGTACAGAAGAGCAGCGCTTGTAAACAAGCACTTTTCATTTAAACGGCGACAGCTGATAACAGATTTGCTTGCAGATCCATCTAACAATAGAAACAGTACTACCTGCAACCTGTCCGTAATGTGATCTGCCGGCTCACTAAATTGCCATCCCACCCAGCAGGAAAATGATTTTCTTATATAGTGAGGTTATGTTTGCAACAGAGTTTAATTTGCGTTCGTAATGAGCTTTTGATACTGGGGTGACGGGAAAGATCATGCACCGTTCCCATCCCTCCCCAATATTTGTAAATGTCGCAGCACTCACCTCAACTACTACAGGACCAGACTCGACTCCAAACCAGAACTCTGAGAAGGACTTCACAACGGTGGCCCTGCAAGGGAAAGTTGTATTTAAAATAGTCTTTGTGGTGCAGTAAATGATTCACTTGGATTTACAGTGCTGCCACCTGGAAGCTTATTGTTGTACTAAACAAGATCATTCAAGAACACAAAACTGTCAAGTGGATTGGTTGTGGTGGCCTGATGCCATTGCCACCATGATCACCTAACTTAACTCCTTAGACATCTCGTTACTGTGCCCTATGCCTCATTTCCTACAGGTTAGGCATGAGTATGCCTCTACATGTACACATCATGCAGAATCTTAACAGTCATCAAGCAGAACATAAACACTTTACTTACTGGATAAATATGCCTTGTACGTTTCAGCTGTATAGGGCCATTACCAGAGGCTTGCATGTTAAAGAGGGTATTGCTTAGCATACATTAATCTACAGCAGTAATATTTACATTTAAATCCCATTGTAACTGAAGAGGAGAGAGCTCTAACGGCTGTTGTGCCACTCTAGCACAGTACACGGACATACAATGAGACAATAACATATCAATCATGTTCTGTATGGAGCCTACATACAGAAAGCAACATCAACAGAAGCCAGGACATCTATAGACTACGCAGTCCATCAGCAAAGACCTCTCTACCCTCTCAGCTATAAAGAGACCTAAAGGAAACTGCTGCAAGTACACTATGGAATCCTCCAATAAGATGTCAGCGCTGTTGGTAGCCGCATAGGCACAGTTTATCAAGTAATTATGCTTCTAACTACTACACGTTATACTTCACATTCAGTGCCACCTCATTATCAATGTCACCAGCATTTTGTATGCAAAATATTGACTATCAGTTGTTATGGTGGTTCATTCTTGATGTTGATTCTGCTAACAGGTGTTTACATCGTGTGAATGTGGGCAGTTTTGTCGACGATTCGAAGGTACATGCTGCGCCCATCTTCAGGATCGAAGCAAGCAGGGTAAGTGTGCATGTATATAAAGGTTTCGGTCAAAAAGACCCATTTGCGGGAAGATAGGGACTATGTAAGATTTGAGATAGGGACTCCTGTTAACTGTCCCATTGCATGGGACCGATACCAGTCCCTATGGTTCCCCCCGTGAGATCCATTGGACTGACCCACGTTGCTCACTCGGAGGGGGCACGTGTCTCCGAAACGCCGGAAACACTGCCCATGAGCAGAGGCGAGCGACACACAGTGAAGCGCCTCTATTGGGGCCTGAACTCACCTGAACCTCACTGTGGTCGCCTCTTCCGGTGCCAGCCAGCGGAAGCTGAACTGAGATATGGGGTCGTAGCTGATGTAGCTGACGGCGTTCTGTGGACAGACATGACACATGGGTGTGAAACTTGGTCACTCACTGGGACATATTATCTGCAGTTAACATATAGCAAACTGGACCTACCTAATTTTAAATCTCATAAACTTACACAATTACGTTGATTCAATCAAAGGCGGTACAATGGGTTAGACATGTAGAACGCAAGGGACAATTAAATGACTCGTTCTATAAGTCGCGAGGGATGACACCACCTCAGATACTAATGGGAGATGATAATATTAAAATAGATACCGAGCAATTTATTATTTACCACAAGGTTTACACTTAAACCCGTTACATTTCGATGATCAAGAATGGATGACTGTGAAGGATGAATTATGATAGATCTGGAAGTCGCGATGGGCTAATTACAAGCATTACTCTTTCCCGGCAAGTTTGGCGAGATTTAAAATGTTAAAAATTCGAGAAACCATAGTCAGTATCCGAGCCACGATTCCAATCCGATATCTCCCAAGCGGTAACCACTACACCACGTTGCTCGGAAGGACTGTATTAAACCAAGAGGTTGTACAGTAGATCGAACTGGCTCGGAGTGCCGTCAAGTAGCGGCTCAGTTCCGCAACAAGGGATTTCTCGATCAAATGATTAACGATCACTTCCTGAAGGAACGTTCTGTATAACAACATTGACTGGGTCACGTGTCTCTACTTAGCACATGCACATTTGAGATAGTTTTTGTTTATTGCTAGTGGAGTGCGACCAAGTCCCTTGTACTTTGGCCACTTCTGGCCTATTGTACCAGCCCCAGATGATAGGTGAGGGTGATTGTGGAGCAGATGGTGGAATGACGATTGGCAAGGGAAACCGAAGTACTCGGAGAAAACCAGCCCTATCCCCACTTTGTCCACCACAAATCCCACTTGACCAGACCCGGGATCGAACCCGGGCCGCCTAGGTGGGAAGCCAGCGACTAACCGCTTGAGCTACGGCGTGGCCTTTTTGAGATACTTACTAACATTACAGTTCATGGGGCATTTAGGCGGTAAGTTCCTTTCATGAGGGTTGGCAGCAGTTGCAAATTATTCGCGTAAGTCCTCTGTTCCATGGAGCTTGCATGAATAATTACGTTCTCAGTCTACCCCGGTGACCCCGGAAACATGTAAATAATACACAAACAGACTATGACGGATTTTATTTGGGAGGTATCCGTCTCGAATCCCGGCCATAACACTTCCTTTTATTAGCGTTAATGTGATACTTTGAGGCATGAATAAGAGAGAGGTACAGAAAGAAAGATAGGGAGAGAAGATAAAGTGGGGGAGGTGGTGAGAGACAATTAATTTGGGGTGGGGCAAGAGAATGTGTCCCCTGTGAGGTAAGAAATTCATTTATATATTATTTAGAAGAACTTCAACGCTCAAGGAAAAAGTTTCTTGAGCCTTCGAGATCAGCTCATTAATATATACAAGTTCAGTTCGTGCCTCACAGGAAACACATTACGTCTCCGCTACAAAGCCCAACCGGTTAATGTTGTTTATTGTGAGAACCATATGGAACCCACAGATACACTCTGTGGGCAGAGAACTCAGTCCGTGCCTTACAGGAAACTCATTACTTCTCAGCTACAAAGCCCAACCGGTTACTGCTGTTCAGGGATACAGTCGCTGTTTATTGTGAGAACCACACGGAACACACAAACACACTCTCTGGGCAGAATTTCATGTCAAGGTAGGTGGCACATATAGTTACCACTTCTAGTACTTACGTTCGTCCCTTTGCCGCAGTTGGTCAACGTCACGTGCTTGTCGTCAGATGACAGGAAACGTCCTACTGGCTCGTCGTTCCCGTTGCGGGCTTGGACGAAGAGGCCCCTAAACTGCACGTCATCCAGACCGGCCAACTCGACTGCAAAGACAGATGTTGTTTAGACATGGGGATCGGCTAGTCATGTAACGCACAGAACACAGGGGTTACACACGAAAGATCCAACAGAAATGCAAGATCTCTGCTGTCTCATGGGGCTGGAACTTATTATGTCAGAATCACGTGGGGACCTAGACCCATGGAACCGTCGCCATTTCTAGAACATCTGTTTATGAACTTAAGTCAAAGCCGCTTAAGAATATACGTACTCTTCGCCTGATAGTGTTCAGAACAGAATAATATTGTTAGCCTCCTTTCTTAATTTTCAAAAAATAAAAGTAAGCTTATGAGATTGCCATGCTGTCTGTGTGTGTGTCCGTGAATACTTCACCGTCAACTTCTGAATGCCTCAACCAATCTTTATGAAACTGGGTATACATATCACGGCACCTGAGTCCATCTCAACGGCGTTCTTCATAAATCCCTCCCATCAGTCTGCCTCTCTATGTGTGAATCCCCTTACCGTTGCTAGGCAACAGCTGGGTAAAAACGTTACCGCTGCTGCCAATAGATGCGTGGTTTTCTATGCGATCCGTGTCCTATCGAAGAAAGTTGGAGAGTACTCGTAGTTCTTCCCGAACTTCTTGATTCTAATGTTTCCTGTTCTTTGGGATATTACGAGTACCATTTCTTCCCAGCTTTGATCCTTGCTACAGATGCCTCATTCCTACCTGTCACCTGGCCCCCGCGGGCCACCTTCACAGGAGAGGCGGAGACTTTGTAGGGCGCGTCCGAGTTCTGCGGCAGCGAGTTGTTGTGGCTGGGCAGCATGCTCTGGCACACGGAGCTCAGATTCTGGTGCACGTCGGCCAGCGGCGTCGTGGGCGCCTCCGTCGTCACGGCGAAGGAGATGAGTCGATTCGGATCGTCCGGGATGGGCGAGCCGGCGACGAGGGACAGCATCGCCACCAGTACGCTGTGAAACAGAGGGTTCTGCGTTCGAGTCTGACTGTGCACAAATGTCGTCGGTTTCCTTAACACTGCAGGCGTATGCTGCACCACGCCATGAAGTGTTGTCTAGAACATATCCTTGTTCACTGTCCAGTACCAACCCACTACACAGTTCCTGCAGGCAGAAGTAAACTGTCCCGCTGCTTAGTTAAGTACGTATGGAGAAGTGGAGGTACAGAGCTATGCATTCTTAACTTCATTACTACACGGAGATAAGTGGTTAGCTTCAGCCCCGGCCGCTTTGCCCTCGGGGAAACTAACCCCCCTCCCCCAGTGCCTTTTGGGTACGAGGCTAGGTGGGCCACAGAGCCGGTTTTGATGCTGTGGAGAAGAAATCTCATTTCCCTTCCGAGAATCGAACCCCGATTCCATACTATACGGATCCGTTTCTGGGGTTTGTGTTGGCGAGCAAATTTGGTACAGCACAGTTAAGACATCCACGTTTTTAGGCAACATTAGTCACGTGTTATAACCTGAGAGGTTAGCCCCGCTCCTCTGGTTCAGCATTGGTCCCGAGGGTTGTAACCGTGACGAGTTTCTTCGGCTTATCCTAAGCCCCTTCCAGGGAAATCCAGGCTCCCTTGAGCATCCTGTCGAACTCATTATTCACTAGTCGCCCTAGCCAGCGGTGGCCACATCTGCTGAATATTAGACGTCAGGGAGCCCCAGACGTGCACTGGATGGCGTACTCCGTTCTCGAGCCACAGTTTAGGCAGCGTTACACGAGCGCACAAAATGCGTCTGTTGTAACGAACGTCATGGCGTCCGTTGTAGAAATAAACAAGAAGAGAATGGTACACTTTCTTCTGGCTCCATTGCAGACAAAAAACTACGCACCGCATTCTGCAACTGTGTGGTGTCCTCAGCAACGTCCGTCATAAAGTACGTTCGTTACAAAGGACGCATTTTGTGCGCTCGTGTGGACGCTGCCTTAACCACGCCTGTTAAATACGCACTTCAAAATTACTGACGGCTTGCTTAAACCGTAACAGAATGTCTTTTTGACAAGTCAATGTCCAGTATGCCTACTCGCCTGCCCTTTTAACCTTCCGGAGCTCGGAATCCATCTCCATAATACATAAGAATTTAGCCCATACCTCAAAGGAGGTTCATTACGTCTCCGCTACAAACCCCAACCGGTTAATGCTGTTTAGGGAAACAGTCGCGGTTTATTGTGAGAACCATACGGAACACACAAACACACTCTGCAGACAGAATGCAGAGCTTTCTAATGTCAAAGTAAATGGTACATATAATTACCACTGAGCTGTAGAATTATCCGCTGCAAGTCGCTTACCTTACGCTCAATGACTCCATCTTGCGGGTGATCAAACTCTGCATGCAACTCGCAGCGACCGCTTCTAATATACACATCCTTCCCTTCGTCCCTCCGCCCTACCCGCTCTCAGACTACGATAACCACTGTGCGCTCCCAATATGCCTAATCACACTACTTTCGACTCATCGCGAACCCCTTCTAGGCGTTACGTCAGTGAGCGTTTGTTTCCTCGTCCTGTTTGTCAGGCAGAAGACATAGAAGTCTGACAAACAAGGTGCTGTAAAGTGTCTTCATGGTTAAATTTCCTGTCGATGTTTCAACTGATCAGATTTCTTGGCTACAGAACTGATTCTTAAAAACAAAGTGGTAGCTATATGTACTACTTGCTTTAAAGCTAAGAAATTCCACATTCTACCCCAGTGTATTTCGTACGGTTATCACAATAAACAGCGATTGTCATCTAACAGCATTAACCGGTTGGTCGTTGTTATGGAAACGTACTGCGTTTTCTGTGAGGTAGTCTTTTTAGTTCCTTGGGGTGGGGTGAGACTGAGTCCACTTGGTAAGTCGGACACTAACTCGCCTATTTCTGTGAGGCATGAACGAATTCGCATGTATTGAAGACTTCTCTCTTCTGGGAAGTAACTGAGGGGTGGGGGCGAATCTGAAGGCTCCTAGAGCCGTCAGACAGTCCCGTGGGACTCGGAACCAGGAATCACTGCGCTGGCGAGGACAAGCAGCAATTTACTGAACTGGACCGGGAAATATGGCCATGTATTCACTGAAAGTCAACCGACGTTTCGGTGGAACATTTCGGCTAAATCTTGAGGGTTGAATAAGCCAATCGAGCCTGCTACATTTCTTACTCCGCTTATTCTTCGAACCTGAAGATGGAGGCAATATATTCCTTTGAAACTTCGGTTGATTTTGGCATTAGAACCTACAGCTATCGCTGTATGTATTCTTTGGGCGGTTAAGCTCAGACCGTTAAGTGACTAAGCCACCTTGCGGAGTAAGCTAAGTGTGCTGAGAGAGGCAATGCGGTTGGGACGCGAAGCTGACCACTCACCACTATAACTCCACTCCCCCATACAGTGCTCAGTTACTCACAGAAACAGCAGGAAGTGCGATAACGGCGAGGGACATGACACTTACAATGCGGTCACGAGCCTCAGTAAGGCTCGACAAACAGACGGACGGACCGAATTACTTCGTAACAGGGCCTATACTTGGGCTTAGAGCAACAAACAAAAGAATGCGCAAGCTCGCAGGAGCAGAGAGTCGTGATTTACTGAAAACGCCTGAAAAGCGCCAATGAAGGCGTCAACAGGCCGAGGTACGAACACACGTTCCGCTTAACCATAGTGTTCAGGTGTAATGTTGGTAAACAGTGCTGAGTAACGTTCAAACCGAACAGCGTCAGGTGTGATAACGGTCAGTTAGGAAGATGGCGCGCAAGGAACGTGAAATCCCGACAAAAACGGAAAGTTTATAAGCGGCCATGCAGATTCTGACTGTGCTTCATCAAGCACCACGCCATGGAGAGTGGGATGGAGTGGAGGTGTATCTCCACGCTCATTCCCATAACTGGCATGAGATGGAGGTGAGTACTCAGCTTCACGTCCCGTCCGCTTCATCCCTGGGGGGTTCCCCATTGCGAAGAGAAAAATCTTTGCACCTGCCGGAAATCGAACCACAACTTCCCGGTCATTCCCAGACCTGACTGCTGTGGCAAGACATGACAGCCTCAGGAGGAAGGAAGCCACAAGGCATGCTTCCTGAAATGACGTCATAGCCATAGTTTGCTGCTTATTTCATTGCATTGCGACTCCGTACGGTGTGCAACACGCGGCCTGTGTTCCGTAAGAGGCGCGGAAACCCTTGAACGTTTCAGGGAACGCGGACCGGACGTTGCCTCACGGAATTTGTTATTGTTGTTATTACTCGGAAGTGATGTGACAATATTCCATTTCCTCCTTAAATGCAGTTACACCGAGCAAGGCTGCCTCTGCGGTATTGGTTCCCGACTTGTATTGAGGAGGCGTCTGGTTCGAATCTCGACCGTGTAACCGCTTATTTTGACTGACGATTTCGTTGTCTTCCTCAGGTCCTCCAGGCAACAGCAGGGACAATACTTCAACTAAGGCGACGACAGGTTCCTATCACATCCTTTCCAATTCATTATTCACTATTCACTGATTATCCTACCAAGTGACAGTGTACGGCATAACCTCAGATACTGAAGACGTCGCGAAACAAATAATATAAACCATCGATATAGGCTGGGAATGTAGTATGGGCGGAAAGAATAAGAGCACACAGAATCCTTCTGAGGAAACCCTTTGAGAACTACGAAGTTCGAGCGGTAACTTGAACGATAATATTAAAATGGCACCAAAAACTATATGCTTCAGTGGACTCGAATAATCTGATCGAAGATTATAAGTTTAAACGTGTGATTTTATTTAAGCGGTGCTGAAACTTCAGGTTCCAACAGCCGAACAGAACTATGACATTCACTGCGAACATATCGGGTAGGGAAAACAGTTCTGTTTCGACACAGTTCCAGGGCACAGTGCGGGAGTGCCTGGAACTGGAGGCGACAGAACAGGGTCGCTTTGCATGGCAACACGCGATGTCGTGCGCTGAACTGACAGCCCGCGTTATCCCGCACACAAGAGCCCAGAACTGAAACCACTGGTACCGACCAAGTTCCCTTGTTTCGCGAAGTTAAACACGAACTGGGGAGAGGACGTATGGGGGAGGTGAGGTCAGGCTCCCACATTCTTAATCTGACCACGAAATGGATGCGAGCTTCACACTTTGGCTCACGTGTTCTGGAATAAATGTCCCACTCGCAGGGCCCCGGATTCTATCAGTACAGAGATCGTAAATGTCCTTACAAAGATTCCAAACAAGACCGTCAAAATCTAAGTCAGTCACTATACTGACTGAGCTATCAGTTTCTGTAGCGGGGAAACAGTGTGCTTTCTGTGAGGTGGGAACTGAACTGCATATGAGGTTGAGAGCATTTCCATGTTTCAAACGATTAGTGACAGACAGGCGATTTGTATCATGCGTAAATTATTCTCAAAAAAGCAATGAAATTAGACTATACTGGACCTCAAATATCAAGTTTCATCGAAATCTGTTCAGTAGCTTCTGGTACGAAAGATGTGAAGATTAGCCGCTGTGCAAAATCTGAGACTTACATGCAGGTCGGCACGGAAATAAAAGTCTTCTGGGACCTGACGCCGTGTGGTTTGGTAAATTTTCATATTTTCTGAAGATGGAGGCAGGAAGTTCCTCCGAAACCTTGAACACTACCTACAAGAATACACGATGTGACACATCCTTCACTGTGGTTATCTTACACAATACAAAACGAAAGGTCCACAGATCTGAGGTAAAGGTAAAGTTGAGTGAATTTACCGACTACACAACACTTTTTTATTATCACTACATGTTTCGACCTTAAGAGATCATCTTCATGTGTTTATACCTGAAGATGACCTCTTAAGGTCGAAACATGTAGTGATAATAAAAAAGTGTTGTATAGTCGGTTAATTCACTCTACTATTGATTAAACACATAACAGGATGCAAGAAACGATTAAAGGTAAAGTTGTCCCTGTGCTCAATGAATTAAGCACTACGCCATGAAGGTGTATGGGGGAGTGGATGTATAGATCCACATTTCCTTGACTTTCGGTACTAGCTGAAGGTGAGTGGTCAGCCTCACGCACCGGCCGCTTTAGCCCCGGGGAAAAAGCACCCGGTACCCATTGGGTGGGAGGTTGCGTGGACCCCAGAGCCGGTCTGGACGGTTTGGAGGAGTGAAACTTCTTGACCCTACCGTGACTCGAACTCCGACTCCTCAGTCGTCCATCCCATAGCCAGTCGCTATACCGACTACGCCGCCCCGGGTTCTAATTACGTGACTCAACGAACTGGTTAGCTTAGCGGTAACATTCTAATCTTATATTCTGTGTGTGTGTGTGTGGGGGGGGGGGGGTACCCTGACTGAGGTTCTCGTTGTTCGTATCAGTTCCTCATGACAAACGCTGGGATATTACCTCTATTAAGCCACGACCGCTTCCTTCCAAATCCTTTCCAATTCGTTACTCATCAACCATGTTAACATTCTGCACTGCTGACAAGGTCATGAGACAATCCATGGCAGACCTATATGCGTTATGAGATTAGGCAGTGTGAGTGAACCTTGAGGGAAGTGATATAAAAGCCTAGTAACAGTTGCGGCAGGTATCCGAGACGAAGTATAAAGTATCCTGACTGAGGTTCGCGATTTTACTCCGCACCTCCAGGCGAATACCAAGCGTACATAAATTCCGGTCACAGTCACTTCTTGCTACATCTTTCGCAATTCAGTAATCCCACAATTCGACGCAGGCAGGCCACTATCAGCGTCTGACTCCGTAACCAGCAGAACGCCGGCTCAGAGATGAAGCCACCGAGGATGTGATACTGTGCTGCGTGCCCCTCTGCACCGCCGTTTGGTACACCACGAACCCCACGCGGGGTTACCGGGGATTGACCCTGAGGTCTGACCAGCGTGCTTGCACCACGCCATGAAGACGTATAGGGGAGTGTATGTATACATCCACATATTCTTGACCTTGGCTCTACCTGGAGGTGAGCGGTCAGCTTCACGCAGAGGGCACTTTACCCACGGGGAAAGATACCCCCGGTACCCATTAGATATGAGTGTGGGTGGGCCCCAGAGCTGGTCTGGACTCGGTGGAGAAGAGAAAATTCTTGACCCTACCGGGACCCGAACTCCGACCCCTTGGCCGTCAAGCACGTAGCCAGTCTCTATACCGACTGCGCTACCACGGGTGTACATTTACAACTACATTTTCATGATTTATGTATATTTAATGACGTATCATAATTTGGAGTCACGTCACGAACTGAACTGAGGAGGAAATGGGTAACCCCCGCTCTGCTGACGTAGTTCAGCAGCAGGCCTGTTCGTGGAACAGCTCTGATACGGAAGGAGGAAAATATGGACACGAGTATCGGACGCTGTGTCAACAGGTAGCGCTGCGGTCGTTACGCATTGCTGGGGGCTCCTGCGTCACCTCCAGCACATAAACATTACACTGCAGTCGTCGCCCCAGTAGGCACCTTCACAGCACAAGAAACAACCACCCAGTCCTGTAGCTACATACACAGACGGCACGTCGAGATGACTCGTGTCAGGGCTTGGGTTCTGATCTCTGCGCGTGCCTTGTGCTTTGCGCCACTTCCTAGAGGTAAATGTCGACATAAATTGGGCCATATCCTTTCCAATTCATTATTCACTAATCATTCATTTCCAGTCAGTGACAGCGTCGCGTAAGAAATTACAAATAAATGAAAATATATAAAACTGTAATCTTTCCTGCTGTTTTGTTTGGTTGTGAAACTCGGTCATTCATTTCAAGGAAGAAGCACAGACTGCGGGTGTGTGAGCGCAGGGCGTTGAGGGGAATGTCTGGATGTAACAGGGAGAAAGCACCACGAGAATCAGGAAAAATACACAATGAGAAGCTTTATCATGTGTACTTCTCGCCAAATATTGATTAGGGCGAAGATGTTAATTATGTGTTGAGCGGAACATGTAGCACGCATGGAAGTGACGAGAAATTTTAATCGGACAATCTGAAGGGAAGAAACCACTTGGCATACCTAGGCATATATTAAAGAATAATATTAAAACAGAGGGCGTAAACATAAGCTATGAGTTTTTGTACTGGATTCATCTGGCTCAGCATAGGGACCAATGGCGGGCTCTTGTGACCACGGTGATAAACCTTGGGGTTACATAATATGCTTGGAATTTATCGTCTAGCTGAGCGACTAACAGATTCTCGAGGATAGCTGTGATCCATGGAGTACTTTTCGCGTCAGCAACAGGATGATGCAATGTTAAGTTTGTCCCTTGTAATCACGGTTTTTCTCAGTCCATCCGGGCAAACCAGGGTAGCACATCAACTGGGGTAAGGCCACTTATTTGCTAGTCACTCCATTCAGATGCTTTCAGCGTCGTTAAACAAACCGTAGATATGCAAATGAATTCAATTTTGCTACCCCGTTCTTCTGAGGGAACTTTCAGACCTGTCGTCATTGTGCCTTCTGCGTCACGCACACAGGTACTGCGTGAAACACTGCATTTTGTTGTTACTGTGATGAGAAACCGGTACATTATTATTATTTTATTGCAATATGGTAGTCACCTGGTTGCAGTAGACCTTACACGGAACAATACAAAACAAAGTACATACAATAAACACGGTACACACAGTGCAAATCCAAAGATATGAAGTTATAAAAGGGCAGGTGCTTGTGTTACGTTTCACTGCACTCGAACAAGGACACTTCACATTACTTCACTTGTCTCCATTCAAACTCCGCCTAAGGCCTCTTGTAACAATTTCCTTAACCCTCTTTCTAAAAGTGTTTAGTTTACAAGGGGAAAGACGCTAGTATGCCTGCAGGTAAACTGTTACAATGTTTTATGGTCTTATTTACAAAGGAATATTTGCCAACATCTGTGCATTGTCTCCTACTCCTAACTTCCCAACAGTGCTCGTCCCTACTCAGGTAGCATGGTTCAAGCAGGCTGCACAATCGCCAGCCTCATTCTCTCCTGCCTAATTGTTACCACGCAACCAACTCCATGGAACTGCATGGTAACTGAAGGCTCGCTATATTATCCACAAAAGGTCATTGTTGTTTTGACACAAATTTCAATAATGTCCTCCCATCTACGTCTACGTCTTCCTAGTAGTCTCTTTCCCTCACGTTTTCTTATAAAATATTTGTATACACTTATCACCTATTTCATGCATGCTACGTGCACATCCCATCGCAGCCTCTTTGGTTTGCTCATCCTAATAACATTTAGGGATGAGTACAGATTGCAAAACTTCCCATTGTGTAATTTTTTTAAACCTTCCGTTATTTCTTGTTACATCTCTCTTAAGGATGTGCCCAATGTTGTCAAGCACCCTCGTTGCTAAGCGGTCATACCTGGCATAAATAATCGCTGTTGTTCTGTTACTTGGCCACTGTTTAGTTAGTAAAGCAGTCACTACACAGCGCTACAAGAAGTTAGCCATTGGGAACAGACAGACAGTCACAATATACAAGCGATTTCATCAGTACAATTTATTAAAAAAACTAAAATGAAAGAACAATGGTCTCATTCGCTAGCTGAACTGGAACAGACATCATCAGAATGTTCTTGTAAATAACACGTTCGTAAGTGTAAAAGAGCTCCCGGAACAATGTAAATTAATATGTAAAAAATGAAAATAAATACTTGTGTATACATTTTGCTGTAAAACATATACAATAATACATCAAATGTTCTACGAGGTCACTGAAAAGAAGCACTTCTCAATAGCACAAAATGGGTACTCAGTCTCAGGTCTAGTTGCAAACTTACATCTCTTCTCGGATAAATAACTGCAAAATAAAACTGTAAGCAACTGACGAAGTTACACATGCTCGTACATTGCGCGTACTTACTTACTTACTCCTTCGCTCTGCCGTCCTCCAAGAACCTTCGCACCAATCTTCACTATTATACACCTTCACCTTCTATCCTTCACTTCCGGCCGTCATAAATCATTCTCTGCATCCTCTAGTCTTCTCAGTCGGATTTTGCGACTTTTCCTTTAACTTCTGGCTTGTATTCAAACCATCTTACACACGCAGGGCCCAACTTACCGCACCTCGCTGCAGCCGCCAAACAGCCGTCAATAAATATCACTGTCTTCTGGGATGTGACGCCGTGTAGTCAGGTAGAGAAAAGTGCTGTCTGCATCTTCAAGCCAGAAGATGGCCGGGCCTGGGGGAACTTGTACGAGGGCTGGGCGGGAGAGGGGGTAGCAGTCTTGGAGCACAGAGCGAACCAATAGCAGTAAGGAAAAGAGTATAAAGGAAATTTTCCCTTTAAGAGGGCTGGTTTCTGGGGGGGCGAAGCAAGGTAGACAGATAAAACGCGGAAAAAGCAGAGAGGCGGAGGAGAGAAAGGTTAAACTAACAAAACTGGGCAAGTAATTATGTGATAATTTGACAGGAAGCGAACTAGTGAAACCTGAATAGCCAACAGGGGGTAGTCCTCCAGGTTGGCGATTGGGTGAAGGACGAGAAACCCCTCACCTAAGTCACAGGGCCCCATAAACGTGACATGAACAGGCACCTACACCCTAGCAGCAGGAAACACAGCAGGGGTGCCAACAATATAGTTAGCGTTAACCCTATTTCCACTCATTATCTGAATTGTCGTGTATCTTCTGATTTGTCTGTATCCATGTGACGTAATCACTGACCGGGGTGTACACAGGACCAGGGTTGTAATACGATGCTATGCCCGCCAGCACACCTCCGCTGCAGACCATAGGGCTGCCAATCTGCGCGTCGGGTTGCAGGGACTGCGGACACACGTGAAAATCAACTTCATTGCTCAATTCAGACACAAACACACATACACGTTGCTGCCGACTTGCCGCCACTGGGTAACACAACAACACATAGCATCATATCAGAGGCAATAAATAGGTCACGACTATTTCTCTTTAAATCCTGATATACATAATATTCATCGTCATCTTTCCCTCTCATTTGGAGATAGATAACTTTTGCATTTGAAACAGTATCATATAATAAAGTAACAAACAATCAATCGTTACGAGTACGAAATTCGAGCTTCGAGAACGTACACCCGGAGAATGAGTCAATTTAATGGGTATGTTGAGAAGTTGCAGGTCAAGGCGTGAATTCTTTGATAAGTGGCCAAGTTTGTTTGGCTTACGCGACAAGTTAACTTCCAATATCACTCCAGCGTCACCCAGACTGGAGCATTTCAATTCGTGTTTTAAAATATAATCGGCTATTCTGTAAGCAATATTTGTCCATGCACTCAACTTCTGAGACAGAGGAAAACAATTCTGGAAGAGCTTTCCATTTCCCCCAGTGCTTTAACATGTTGCGCGCGCAAATCACGTGACATGACGCTCGTGTTCACGTACCTTTGGCTTGACCTGACCCAAGGTAATGCCATCGCAAGGTCTGTCCAGGAGGTCACGATCAGACGTTGGCAGGCAGAGGGCACATGCAGCAGGCGGCATTCGGGATGCGGGGAGATGCAAACGCAGGAGACCTGTTCACAACAGGGTGGTCATCAAAACTTGCTCACTCGAATAATATCTGTTGACACAACAGCTGAAGCGTGTAAGAGTTACGGTCACGTGAAATGAGGAGAATCTCTCGGGAGCCGGCCCGCAACTGTACCTATGTCGTTGAGGAGCAGCTCGGCGCCATGGTTTCTGTACTCTTCATGCACCACGACGTCGCGAATCCGGGTGTGTGACGTCACTGCGCCTCCAGCGCTGACCAGAGTCATCTGGGCTACCCCCATATCGAACACTCTGAAACACAAACACAACCCTGCTGCCAATTCCATGACATGACGGGCTGCAGAGACACTGCGTTCTGGATTGGAAATGCAGGTAGTTTGGAGAGAGGGACACACGACGTCCAGTTTCAGGATAGAAGGGTAATCGAAGCCTGCTTCCACTCGTTACTTGGTTTTCTTACTGTTCAACCCTGAGAGTGGAAGCTATAGATTCCTCAGAAACGCCGGGCTGTCGTCGAACTAGACAGAGCTACAATTCAGAAGACTCAGAGCTAACTATCTATAGAAATGATGAATTCCTCTGACCTGGAGATGCATTTGGCCGATGTGACGATGGTACTGGCGTCCAGGTAGCTGCCCACACACACAGGGACGCTGCTGTTCGCATTCATAAACTGAACCAGCCAACACTGCGTTCCAGGGAACGTCCGTGCAGCCGCAACTCCGCAGAGTAGTGAGCGTTTGCTGGTTTCTGGTGTTGTCGCAACGGCTGGCGTCGTGCTGGAAGGTTTGGAGGTCCCTGAAGCACTCGGAGAACCGGAATTTCCAACTGTGTCGACTACAACAGGCCACACTGTCGGTCCTTCGGAGGTGACCACAATCTCGGTGTGAATTACGGTCGACGTTGGAACCGGATCTGAGATATTGTTCAGGAAAGAGGTGTCCTCTTGATTCTCACTGTGAGCACCAGACCGCAGCTGGTATCCTGCTGTTGGATTAGCAGTGGAAGACGAAAGACTCTCTTCAGTGTTACTGATTTTTGTATGTTTCGCAGATACTGTCATTTCTACGTCTGATGGCAAAGTTGTGATTTCGGGGAGCTGCTGAGTACCGTCTGAGCTGGAGTGTTCAGTGAATGTTTCTGAAGCAGAGAACTGTTCAGTTTGCAGCGAAAACCTTTCGACCTCCTCTACGCTTGGCCTCATACATGCATCTGTTTCATACGGTTCTGTTATATCTGGATTCTGAAAATCTTCTGTAATACTTTCAGCGCTCCTTGTCGATTCACTGACCACACCCTCAGCTTCAGTTGCTGTGGGTACTACATTCCCATTGCAGTCACCTGAACATTCTTCCTTCCTCGGTACAGAAACTCCGTCACTTTCCCTGACAGAAGGCTCCCGCACAGTCTGTGCAATGCGTCCCGTCTCAGTGTCATCAGATTTCCCAAATGGCGTCACGGTATTCTCCGATAAAATTGTCACTGTTTCGTGTACTGAAAGTTCGGTTTGAATCGTGACAGGAATTTCATTAGTTATTTCAGACATATCGAGGATATTTTCGGGAATTTCTGATTCACTGTTTTCAGGTTGAGACTCTGTGTCCATACTGTTCAATTTAGAAAATGTCAGCTGTAAACCTGTCCCGTCAGCATCCTTGTACAAGGCTTGTGTACTGCTCTCAGTAACAATACTTGCCTCCTTCCCAGAGACATGCCTGTCATTTGCCGACACTGATTCACTTACAATATGCTCGATACTTTCACTTTTGGACACAACTGAATCTTGGGTTCTTGATATTAGGTTTTCTGTTGCTTTGTACAACAGTGAATTATCCAATTCTGAAGCCTGAACCGAGTTAGATGTCTTTGTCTGTGACCCTGAAAGTTCATTAGCATCTGCCACTGAATTTGGATGAAAGTCTAGCAGTAGTTTTGTGTCTCCGTATAATTTTATCGAAGCTTCGCCTGATTCTGAACTTGCCGTGGTGCCATTTGTAGGTATAACCGAGGGTTCATGCACTGGCTGAAGTGACGTTGTTACCACATCGCCCACAAACGAAGTTCCTGTGCCTTCAGAATCTGCTTCACTAACCGTGACCGCAGGATAAGCCTCAGTTGCTGTGCCCGTAGGGCTCAGAGTTTCCGCTACAACATCTGTCGTCCACGTTTCGAAATTAGCAGATAACTCATTTTCATGGTCCGCTGTCTGGGCTACCGTATTACTCGGAGTGAAGTCTAGATTCTGAACCTCCACATCCCTGTGCCTCACTTTGTCACCATGGACCACAATTTCCGTCTCAGCTCTGACCACACTTGGGCGTGCCTCCACAATTCCTCGGTCAGTAAGAACCATCATCAGCGGTCCGTCGAAATCGACTCTTGATTGAATCGGTCTCACTTTCGAGCTGCTATCACCAGTAACATTGATGTCACTAGTAACATTATCACCAGACGATTTCACACCAGAATTTGTGCTTGAGCTCTGGTCCTGCATTTGTGTTGTGAAGTCAGTCACAGATGATTCTGTAATCGTTGTCCTCGTTGTTTTTTCTCCACTCCTTGTCGTGTCATCGTGTTCTGAACTTGTCGGTTCGTCATCTCCTAACACACTTTGCACGGTGGTGTTAATGTCAGTCACGTACCTGTTGGACTGAGCGTCGAACTCCGTCGTTTCTGTCACTGAAACTTCTTCTTGGTTCGTTGTACGTGACAAAGCGTTGTCAGTGACCGTTTCAGTTGCTGCTGTGCTGCTGGCATCAGTCTCTGGCAGCAGAGTCCAAGAAGCATGGGATGGGTCCATGGGCCCAGCGCTGCCTGTCTCAAAGCCTGAAGCTTCAACACTCTGAACAAAGTTACTTTGATCAGACTCATGACTGTTACTGGCCCCATACGCCTCCGCGCCTGTGCCAATGCTGTCTGTGTTGGAGTAGTCACTGAAGGGCGCCAAGTCGTTGTCTGTCAGATGGACTGGAAGTGGGAGAGTTTCTGGAGGAATCGTTCTGTTGGCAGCATTGTAGCGGCAGCAGATGAAATGCGCACTCGGGGTGAACGCAGACCTCAGGCCGTCACAGTGGCCACCTTGATCGTCAGGCAAGAAGTCCTCATCGAGGGTGCAATCAAGCCCTAGGAGACAATAGCCCGTCCCTGCGCGGCATGACCGAACACCCATGATAACAAACAACCCTGGAGACAGAAGCACATGTTACAGTCACGTGAAACAGGCATCCGACTCAAACCTGGGTATTGGAACAGAATCAAAATTGAAACAAGAAGTTCTGGTAATAACTAATCACCTACTTTTCTTTGCTACGACACGGACCGCACAGAAAAGGAGAGAATTAGGAGGGATACAAAGACACAGAGACAGCAAGGTGATCTCGTAGGATTCTTTTCATTTTTTAAATACGGAAAATACACTAAAAGGCGATATATAATGATAAGTAGGAGGTCGTGGTCTATTTAAAGCACTCACCTAGAGACACTGAGGAAAATAAGGAAAAATCTGTAAGGACTGTTGGTAACACGCCAAGAACTGAACTGAATAGCTCTGAAACACGAATCCTGAAATGTATCCTCACCCTGACTAAGTCAGTAGAGCTTGTTACAGGATGTAACAGATCGCATTGTGGGCTATATGCATGCATTTCAATTCAATTGGGCTACTCTCGAATATTTCCTTCTAAATCTGTCGCAGTAAAACTCGAAGCTATGTCACGAGTCGGCCAGTCTCTCTTGGTGTCAAGCACCCACCTGGGGCCCAAGACCAGATCTTCCTTACTATCAAGAAGTTGCGGGTTTGTTGACATGGGGCGACCTCTCTCACAAGAGGATGGATCTGTCGAACACAACTGCTGCTGGTCTTCGCCAGCACAGTCATTTTCGGGCCCGAGGCCCGTGGAATTCATGACTATATTTTACTGTCAGATTCGACACTTCCCCATCCTGGAGGGCCAGGTCCCCGTATTTATATCCCCCGGAACTAGGTGGTCCAGTTATACCCCCGGGCACTGGGTTCCCTTTCCGTCGCCTCCTACGACTCGTAGGGCTACAGCTGAGGTATTCGAACCCCCTCCATGCGGGGTCTTTGAAATCTGATATATGCTGGTTATATTATAAAATACAGCAACAATGGCACCGCTTGCATCTAGGTCAACAATTGCCTGAATCGATTAGCATCGGAAATCTCTCACCTGGGTCAACAATGGGCAAACAGTTGGCCAGTTGCAGGAGTGACACGAGTACAAACACAGGCAGCCTCATTTTGCAGCGATCCTAACGGCATGTACCTGAAAAACAGCAAAAAGTTAGACCACACATATTTCTGTGTTGCCCATCAGGGCATGCAACATCCGTGTATCAAATATCCCTGTTATTCCTCCGTCTGCATGACATTCATTATGGACAACTTTGTGTGTATGAGTAAACTTGACCTTTAAGCATTGTGGGGGCTTTGCGTTTCATTGTGATATTTTAATGATGGTTATTTAACGACGCTGTCATAGTCGAGACTATATGGCGTTGCAAGATAGGCCGATTAATGAAAATGGAGCAGTTGGTGGAATTAAAATTCCCTACAGCACACAAATCGGAACATGGCGGGCATTGGTTCAGGTCTCGCAATTTCCATGTTCAGGTTCCAAAGAAGTTCCTCAGCTCAGGTGCTCCCTTTCCCTACATATATCCCACTTCTTACCACTCTCATCTTACCCTCCTACCCTGAGGATGGAAACATAAGTTTCCCCCGAAACGTTGGTAACGTTATACAACAGCGTCAGTTTCCAGAAGGCAGGAATCCTGGCAGCCACTTCCGCGGGAGCGCGCAGACCTCGAACTGAAGTTGATCAATCGATTAACAGTCGTAGTAAGTGGTTGGCAATCAGCAACACCTGCACGTAGTCAGTTGCACATGAAGGCCATGAAGACAGCTGAAACCGCACTGATTAAACCTGCATGCGACTGCCATTTATAGTGATTTGGGGGAACTTGCCTTTGTACCCGCGCTATTTCCGGCAACTCACTTCCGCGCGTAATCGTAGAACACATTAAAATCGCCTCAGAACACGCCTCAAACATGCGTCCCCATTTTTAACCAGTCCCGGACTCGGCCGACAGATGTCAGTGCTTTCACAACTGGACAACAATGTGACACGCGATATTCTTGCTTCATTTGTGAATACGATACAGGCACTGAGCGGTATTTATCGTCAGAACAGGCCAGTGTCAATAATTTCGCTGTCGGGCAGAGGAAGTGTGATGGACCGATCCCTCAAATAGAGTTCAAGACTTAATATTTCAGAGTCAGTTCCGAGTTGTAACATGCCAGATGACCCAATCCGCTCTAGGTGAAGGAGATGTCGGATAAACAATGCGGTCTTGAACTTGTGGTCAGCAATCGCTTTGTGTCAACTAATCGATAATGAAAAGCGACTTAGATATATTGTTAATCGATTCAGAACCTCAGTGCGCCCGATTAGGATGTAACCAGATGTGTCTAGTGACAAAGGGCAGTCACAGTTGGTCGCTAAGAAAAGTTGGGGCCTAAGGGTCATTTCTTTGTCAGGATGTCCCGTTGAGAATAATCATGGCCGATATCTGAGCTTGCATTGAGTACCTTCCACTCCAGAAGCTGTTGCTGTGTTAGTACCGAGAGGGTTCGCTCAGCGGTAATGCTCTAGACTCGGCAGGGACATCACTCATACACAGCTTCGATACTGACGCCGTCAAGTAGCCCACATAGGAAGGTCCAGTGGCAGACGCTTCTGAACTCGGTAATGAACTTCGGACTTTCATAAAATGCGCAGAATTTGACTGTCTGAGCAACTATTAGATTCTAAAAAATGATCAGTTATATAGTTAATTAGCCGTAAGGGTGATGGTGCAAAGTATTAAGCATCGCTTGGAGATTCTCAACACCTGGTGGGGAAGAGAGTGGCTGACAGACCTGGCCTGCGGACCGCGGTTTGAACATCCTAAACTGCCCAGAAGGACGGGCTACTTCCTGTCTCAAGCTGACAGTTGCATGAGTCTTGGTGAAAAAAGAGATTCACAAACTCTCTCTGAAGATGGAGGCCACATATCCCTCCGAAATGTTAGTAACCAACGAAACTACAGTCGTAGAATTCTGCCCTGAAGATGAAAGCAATTTATTTCTCCAAAACAGCGGGAGATATCTACGAAACCGCACGGTGTCACACTGCACAGTACCGCTGAGAGCACCTGGCATGAGCAACGGATGAAGCTTGGAACTGAACCCTCGGACCGGTTCCAGGGCTGGCGGCCTCCCCCCTCCCCCCGGCGCTAATTTGCAGCGACACTGCTGCAATCCCTGCGTCTAAGCACCACGGCATGCAGCGAGAGGTATATACCGACGTACTGCACACCTCGACACACGATTACGCACTACTACATTTATGCTCCGGCTAACTTTACCGGCAGAGAAATATTTCAGTGACAGAGAGAAGTTCCCATCAAAAAACTCTGAGCCTCATCATGTGTTTTGACGTCACTCCTCCGGCTTCGTTTCGACATTCTTACCGTCAAAAACAAAATTAAAAAGCACTGCAAATAAAGCATCAACCTGTTTTAATTAACTGAGAAATGAAACGGAAGTCATATTAATGATTTCTTTGTGGCGGATTAAGTTACGGCACTGTCGGTGTGTGCACTGCATAGCAACCAGTGGTAGTGTGGACAGGACCTGGAGGAAGCTGTCATGGCCTAACCGACGTACTATCGCTCAAATTAACGTTGTTGGTGTGACACGCGGAACAGGCGGTTTCGGATATCACAAGCTGAGGGTTTACATCGCGAAACCAAGTTAAGGTGCAGTGTCATGACATTCATACCGAGTGCTGTGTGAAGGCAGGACGGGCCACACGCGAGAGCTGTACTGTGCGGTAACCACGTCAAGTTCGGATTGCCAACGTAACCTACGGACTGCCGTGATCTGGCACCAAACGACTGGACTGTCCCTAACACAAAACGGTTAAGTTCTGACACACAGAGGCACAGAAGAGACGCTGACCGGTGCCTACCGCCCCAGAATTGTACTGTCAGGCTTTTGTTTCTTGCTTAAGCGATGCAAACATAACGTTAGGTTTTGAGTTGATTTTAAAATATAGCTCCTAATCTTGCCAAGGGGGGGGGGCTTCCAACCTTACGGTTTCCGCAAACTAGACTTTCAGAAACAAAACAAAAATAAACTCCGTGGCCTGTAGTCCGTAAGCGAACTATACCGACCGAGTGACCACCGCTTGTCGGCGAAGTTACTGCCAACTTTAGCGGATAGAAGGTGTCGCGTGGCCAGCGCAACGGATCACCACGGACGTTAATTTTGGTTTTCTACACCGGAGCCGCTATTTCGTTGAAATAGCTCCTCAATTATCATCACGAGGCCGAGTGGACCTCGTTCCAGACCCACTACTTCTCAGAAAATGTGGTAGCGCCGGGAATTGAACCCCGACCTCTGGATCTGTAGCCAGGAACTCTGACCACTAGACCATGCAGGCGGTCAGAAAGAAAACAACTGCATATTAAAATGATTCAAATTTGCACCGTATTATAAAGGCATACACTCACAAACCGGAGATGCGACGACCGTCATTCCGAAAGGCCTACATAGTTATATCCAGATACTAGTGCGACCTCCAGTGGAATGCTAGGCATACCGGTTTCCCAAGTACCTGTGCACTCACCTGTTGTCCTGCGAAGTGCACGCCCTTCACCGCATTCCCTGCAGAGTTAACTGTTCATGCCGCGGCCACACTCACACTCGCAGCTGAGGTTTCTTGTCACTGTGGCGGTCGAGACCTCACGCCTTGGCCGTTCCGTGTGCTTCTTTCTAACTGACCGCGACCCCTTACGTTCAGTTCAGCTCACAAAGAACTGCTCCATGGCCGAGACAAACAAAACTAAGGAGACCTGCATAGTTCATGCATTTTTGTAAGCGACCATAAACTTCGAGGGTATACAACCTAGCACACATGTGCTGATTCTTCTTCGGTCACTTGATTTTAAACATATTCAAATACTTTTGGAAAGTTATTATTAAAAAAATGTTTACAAGTCACCGTACATAAAACACAAACAAGTACACAGAACACTCAACCCACGTAAGCCAAACGCAGTTTGTGGTTGTTTAAAGAAATACGTCTAAACTTGATAAAATTTGCATTGCGAAGACGCGGCTACATCCCACCCCAAAACCGTGCTTCAAACGAAAGGCAAAGAAATACTAAGAAAACTGGCGGAGATTATTCTGTTGCGATGTTCCTCCTAACGGCAGCAGAATCTGGTCGATGTACAAAATTTAGTGAATTTTGTTAATTTACCGAGGAACGCAAGTGACGGTGTAAGTGAAAATTAAAAACAAAAATTCACCGTGTTACTTTACATAAAATTATAATTTTTAAAGTAGAGTTTTGACATCTCTGTAACGTAAAATTTGTAACTTGAAATCAGAACCCTGCATCTAGTGCCCAGACTATCGCCGTTTCACTGCCATGAAACGATTGATGCAGCCTGCCTGATCACCTGTTTCTTGCTGCCCGCTGAGTGATCAGTGATCACTCGGCCAACATACCTGGCCGTGCATGGCTCACCGACCCCAGAAGGCCGTTGATCTTCTCTCCGGAAAAGCACGACAAGAGCCGAGGAAGCGCGAATTCAAACCGACCGGCCTTAATTACAGAACGTGAAACAAAACAAGAAATACAGAGAGAAAAAACAAGTCGCAGAAGTGCGGCTGCCTACGTGACGGCGATACTCTCAAGGGACCGCGCCATGAAGTCGTGTGGAGAAATGAAGTTGCAGTTCCACCAGTCTTAACCACGGCTGTAGAGGGACGTGAGTGGAGAGCTTCAAGCTCCTGCAGCTTTACCCCCGGTACCTAATGTATAGGAGGCTGGGTGGGTCCCAAAGCCGGTCTAGACGTTATGCAGAAGAACTTTTCCCCGTATTGGGGATCGGACCCTTAACCCTCGATCAACTTTCAACCTTGGCATTATACCGATTTCTCCACATCTCTTTTTATTGGCTTGCTTCATTCTCTATCTTTCGTACTTTCGCTGGCCTTCTCTCTGTACCTCCTTCTTGTATTCAGGAGGTGTCCGGTTCGAATACCGGCAAGAAGTACCAGCTATGATGACTGAGGATTTGGGGGATTTTCTTCAGTGATTTCAGATGAACGCCATGACCGCTTCCTTCCACGCACATTCCAATTCATTAGTGACTAGTCACCCTCTGCTTAAGCCACGTAAAGCGAGACAAATAAATATACTTTGAGAACCAGACTTGCTTGTGACGTTAAGTCAGGCGGTGCATGTAGCGTGCTTATAGGGTTCAACGTACAACAATGTAGGAAATGCATACATGTCCCGAAACCGTTTGTAAATTAAAATGTGACGTCAGATGTGAATCCGACGCGATGTGAGTCAGTCATTTGTCACCTCGAGTTGCAGGAAGCGACTGGTAGTTCCGACAAAGAGAATCCCCTTCCGGTTGTCTACTGAAGTGCAATACTGTGTTTCTTCAGCGCCTGCCATGCCCAAGTTTCTTGCCCTCCCGGACTCTGAACCGAGGGTAATTAACCCCGTGCAGTTGTCACTTCAAGATGTGCTGCAACTGCCACAAATACTGGCCCTCACATCACGCACCTTCTGGAGGCTGCCACTAGTACAGCCTCACATCACGCTCTTTCTGGGAGCTGTCAGTAGTACAGCCTCACAGCACGCACCTTCTGGGAGCTCTCAGTAGTACAGCCTCACAGCACGCACCTTCTGGGAGCTCTCAGTAGTACAGCCTCACAGCACGCACCTTCTGGGAGCTCTCAGTAGTACAGCCTCACAGCACGCACCTTCTGGGAGCTCTCAGTAGTACAGCCTCACAGCACGCACCTTCTGGGAGCTCTCAGTAGTACAGCCTCACAGCACGCACCTTCTGGGAGCTCTCAGTAGTACAGCCTCACAGCACGCACCTTCTGGGAGCTCTCAGTAGTACAGCCTCACAGCACGCACCTTCTGGGAGCTCTCAGTAGTACAGCCTCACAGCACGCACCTTCTGGGAGCTCTCAGTAGTACAGCCTCACAGCACGCACCTTCTGGGAGCTCTCAGTAGTACAGCCTCACAGCACGCACCTTCTGGGAGCTCTCAGTAGTACAGCCTCACAGCACGCACCTTCTGGGAGCTCTCAGTAGTACAGCCTCACAGCACGCACCTTCTGGGAGCTCTCAGTAGTACAGCCTCACAGCACGCACCTTCTGGGAGCTCTCAGTAGTACAGCCTCACAGCACGCACCTTCTGGGAGCTCTCAGTAGTACAGCCTCACAGCACGCACCTTCTGGGAGCTCTCAGTAGTACAGCCTCACAGCACGCACCTTCTGGGAGCTCTCAGTAGTACAGCCTCACAGCACGCACCTTCTGGGAGCTCTCAGTAGTACAGCCTCACAGCACGCACCTTCTGGGAGCTCTCAGTAGTACAGCCTCACAGCACGCACCTTCTGGGAGCTCTCAGTAGTACAGCCTCACAGCACGCACCTTCTGGGAGCTCTCAGTAGTACAGCCTCACAGCACGCACCTTCTGGGAGCTCTCAGTAGTACAGCCTCACAGCACGCACCTTCTGGGAGCTCTCAGTAGTACAGCCTCACAGCACGCACCTTCTGGGAGCTCTCAGTAGTACAGCCTCACAGCACGCACCTTCTGGGAGCTCTCAGTAGTACAGCCTCACAGCACGCACCTTCTGGGAGCTCTCAGTAGTACAGCCTCACAGCACGCACCTTCTGGGAGCTCTCAGTAGTACAGCCTCACAGCACGCACCTTCTGGGAGCTCTCAGTAGTACAGCCTCACAGCACGCACCTTCTGGGAGCTCTCAGTAGTACAGCCTCACAGCACGCACCTTCTGGGAGCTCTCAGTAGTACAGCCTCACAGCACGCACCTTCTGGGAGCTCTCAGTAGTACAGCCTCACAGCACGCACCTTCTGGGAGCTCTCAGTAGTACAGCCTCACAGCACGCACCTTCTGGGAGCTCTCAGTAGTACAGCCTCACAGCACGCACCTTCTGGGAGCTCTCAGTAGTACAGCCTCACAGCACGCACCTTCTGGGAGCTCTCAGTAGTACAGCCTCACAGCACGCACCTTCTGGGAGCTCTCAGTAGTACAGCCTCACAGCACGCACCTTCTGGGAGCTCTCAGTAGTACAGCCTCACAGCACGCACCTTCTGGGAGCTCTCAGTAGTACAGCCTCACAGCACGCACCTTCTGGGAGCTCTCAGTAGTACAGCCTCACAGCACGCACCTTCTGGGAGCTCTCAGTAGTACAGCCTCACAGCACGCACCTTCTGGGAGCTCTCAGTAGTACAGCCTCACAGCACGCACCTTCTGGGAGCTCTCAGTAGTACAGCCTCACAGCACGCACCTTCTGGGAGCTCTCAGTAGTACAGCCTCACAGCACGCACCTTCTGGGAGCTCTCAGTAGTACAGCCTCACAGCACGCACCTTCTGGGAGCTCTCAGTAGTACAGCCTCACAGCACGCACCTTCTGGGAGCTCTCAGTAGTACAGCCTCACAGCACGCACCTTCTGGGAGCTCTCAGTAGTACAGCCTCACAGCACGCACCTTCTGGGAGCTCTCAGTAGTACAGCCTCACAGCACGCACCTTCTGGGAGCTCTCAGTAGTACAGCCTCACAGCACGCACCTTCTGGGAGCTCTCAGTAGTACAGCCTCACAGCACGCACCTTCTGGGAGCTCTCAGTAGTACAGCCTCACAGCACGCACCTTCTGGGAGCTCTCAGTAGTACAGCCTCACAGCACGCACCTTCTGGGAGCTCTCAGTAGTACAGCCTCACAGCACGCACCTTCTGGGAGCTCTCAGTAGTACAGCCTCACAGCACGCACCTTCTGGGAGCTCTCAGTAGTACAGCCTCACAGCACGCACCTTCTGGGAGCTCTCAGTAGTACAGCCTCACAGCACGCACCTTCTGGGAGCTCTCAGTAGTACAGCCTCACAGCACGCACCTTCTGGGAGCTCTCAGTAGTACAGCCTCACAGCACGCACCTTCTGGGAGCTCTCAGTAGTACAGCCTCACAGCACGCACCTTCTGGGAGCTCTCAGTAGTACAGCCTCACAGCACGCACCTTCTGGGAGCTCTCAGTAGTACAGCCTCACAGCACGCACCTTCTGGGAGCTCTCAGTAGTACAGCCTCACAGCACGCACCTTCTGGGAGCTCTCAGTAGTACAGCCTCACAGCACGCACCTTCTGGGAGCTCTCAGTAGTACAGCCTCACAGCACGCACCTTCTGGGAGCTCTCAGTAGTACAGCCTCACAGCACGCACCTTCTGGGAGCTCTCAGTAGTACAGCCTCACAGCACGCACCTTCTGGGAGCTCTCAGTAGTACAGCCTCACAGCACGCACCTTCTGGGAGCTCTCAGTAGTACAGCCTCACAGCACGCACCTTCTGGGAGCTCTCAGTAGTACAGCCTCACAGCACGCACCTTCTGGGAGCTCTCAGTAGTACAGCCTCACAGCACGCACCTTCTGGGAGCTCTCAGTAGTACAGCCTCACAGCACGCACCTTCTGGGAGCTCTCAGTAGTACAGCCTCACAGCACGCACCTTCTGGGAGCTCTCAGTAGTACAGCCTCACAGCACGCACCTTCTGGGAGCTCTCAGTAGTACAGCCTCACAGCACGCACCTTCTGGGAGCTCTCAGTAGTACAGCCTCACAGCACGCACCTTCTGGGAGCTCTCAGTAGTACAGCCTCACAGCACGCACCTTCTGGGAGCTCTCAGTAGTACAGCCTCACAGCACGCACCTTCTGGGAGCTCTCAGTAGTACAGCCTCACAGCACGCACCTTCTGGGAGCTCTCAGTAGTACAGCCTCACAGCACGCACCTTCTGGGAGCTCTCAGTAGTACAGCCTCACAGCACGCACCTTCTGGGAGCTCTCAGTAGTACAGCCTCACAGCACGCACCTTCTGGGAGCTCTCAGTAGTACAGCCTCACAGCACGCACCTTCTGGGAGCTCTCAGTAGTACAGCCTCACAGCACGCACCTTCTGGGAGCTCTCAGTAGTACAGCCTCACAGCACGCACCTTCTGGGAGCTCTCAGTAGTACAGCCTCACAGCACGCTCCTTCTGGGAGCTCTCAGTAGTACAGCCTCACAGCACGCACCTTCTGGGAGCTCTCAGTAGTACAGCCTCACAACACGCTCCTTCTGGGAGCTGTCAGTAATACAGCCTCACATCACGCTCTTTCTGGGAGCTGTCAGTAGTACAGCCTCACACCACGCTTTCTGGGACTGTCAGCAGTACAGCCTCACACCACGCTCTTTCTGGGAGCTGTCAGAAGTACAGCCTCTCACACGTTAGTACCCATGTACCAGATTACACAGTGTCATAATAGACGCCCATAATATGAAGACGAGATCCTGCCTTTGTTTATTCAATGAAATTTTATAAATTTCAGGGAGATCGCCAGGGTAGCTCAGTCAGCATAGTGACTAGGCTACGGGCTTGTCTATCGAAGGGTCGGGGTTCAAGTCTCGTCAGGAACAAGAGATTTCTCTCCACTCCACAGCGGCCAGGCCGACTCTGTGGTCAGCCGAGCTTCCTCTCCAATGTTAAGGGGTAAAGCTGACAACACACGTCCGTCTAGCGTCTAGGTTAAGAATATGTGGAACTATACCCCATGGCGTAGTGCGTAATCAAGCACAGGGACAACTTAAATCTGTCTCATGAACTCCATGGTTCAAACGGAGTTACTGAGAAGAGGCACGACCACCTGCAGGGTCAGGCCGCGCCCGAGGGGCGGGACCAGTCTCGCTCGCAGTCAGTCGGTCAATGCAGCGATGTCGCGCGGCACAGTGTGCTGCGGGCTGCCTACGTGCGCACATGGCCCGGAGGATCAGCCGGTTAGAGAGCTTCCTAAAGCGAGCCCTGCCTGGACCAGTGTTCGACGGTATCAGGTAGGCTGACACATAGCAACTCGCCTCACTATTCAAGAATATTATGGAATATAACGCCGTGTAATCGGCTGAAAGTCAACCGACGTTTCGGAGTTGCTTCCTATCTTCTTCACGTTTCTTCCTGCTTGGCTTATTGTTTGACCCTGAAGGTGGAGGGTACATATTTATCTGAAACGTCGGTTGACTTTAAACGGACTATAAGGCGTTATATCCCAAAAGATAGAACTCTTTTTAACCACCGCTCTGATAACGTCAAATCCTCTAAGAATGAAAACGTGCGAATAACGCAGCAATTTAGGTAGAAACGGGTGGAGTACTATGCTCTGGGTTGTGACGCCGTATAGCCTGGTTCTGCCTCCATCTCATGGGTGTGAGAGTAAGCAGAATTCTACTTTCTGTTTGTTCGGCTTAATCATCGGTCCTGAAAAGAGAGACAGTATGTTCCTGCGAATCACTGGTGAACTTCTAAGGCAATAAAGGAAGTCAGGTCCCAGAAAAGTTCAGTCACCGCTGTCAGAACTTCAAGTCAAACACAGAAACATACTTACTGTATACAGCCTAATCTATTAAACATAAAATATTATTCGGGCTTAATTACACCTTTCAATGTATATTAAAGTGTTCACATTCCCTCTGCTGTCTAAACAAGTAAAAATCAGAACATACATAACTATTATTTTACGCGCTATAATTTATGGGTGTGAAACTTAGTCTCTCATTTTAAGGGGAGCACACAGACTGAGCGTGCTGGAGGAGGGACATCACTGAGCACTGAGCAGCTCCATAACTTGTACTATTTCTCCACTCGACATTTAACTTATACATTTGAGGAAGCAATGTGTCACGCGACTCGCCTCTAAACAATCGCTCCAGTTGATGCAGCATCAATTGAAATTCATTTCGAACGAACTGTAGTCACCTCTCCCAGCACTGACCAAGACCAGTGTTGCTTATGTGTTTCAGATATTATGAGGGGTGTGTGGTCAGGGTGGGTAAAGACGGCTTAAGCTTCAAGTACGTAGTGATCACTGGAAGGTCGCTCCTGCTAGCTGATCACCCGCCCCGAGATGTCCATGAAGTTGTACGATTGGCAGATGTCACTAGCATCACAGTGGTAAGTGTGTGCCCATCCTCCGGGACTGATGAACATTTACTCTTTAGAGTGCACCACATGCTTTAACACACTAAAACCCTGCATTCTGCCCACAGAGTGTATTTATGTGTTCCGTATGGCTCTCACAACAAACAGCGACTGTTTCCCTAAACAGCATTAACCGGTTGGGCTTTGTAGCAGAAATGTAATGTGTTTCCCGTGAGGTACGGACTGAGTTTTCTGCCCACAGAGTGTATTTGTGTGTTCCGTATGGTTCTCACAATAAACAGCGACTGTTTCCTTAAACAGCATTAACCGGTTGGGCTTTGTAGCGGAGATGTAATGTGTTTCCTTTGAGGTACGGACTGAATTCTTAAATATTTGCATCATTTAAATGACCTTCATGTTCCTAGGGCAAATTCTGAGCTTGTAGACCAGTTCCACAAGCAGTACTCCCAATGTTAACACAAAAATACATCTCTCCCTAATGCAGCCCCCCCCCCCAAAATTAACTCAAGATGATGTAAAAACCCCGCTCAGTAACTTCCCTCTGCTGTACACTCACAAAACGATTCACTTCTCAATGCTTTACCTTCTCTCTAACCTACAGTTTCCAGAAGGGCAAGCTGACACTGCCTGGGAACCTTCTGAGACGGCAATTTTTTCCTGTTTCCCCCTTTTCTTCAATATCCTTACCACTTTTCTTCTCTCTCTGTTTTCATGAATCTTCATAGGGTCAAAGGTTCATACACGTGTGCTGTTAAAACCCTCCTTTTGTTCCTTTAGCTACACAGTGACCCGCCTCACAAGTCGCTCTCTCTCAGAAGCAGAAGTTACGACGCTCCTATACAGAATGTCCGGGAATTTGCGTCAACTACGTGGATCGTTTGATGAACACTGACACAGAATTTGGGTGGGATGTATAATTTGTTATCTCTCCGATAATCTTCATTCCACCCACACCAATAATTTCAGAGAAATTTGGTATCAGGGAGTGGCCTACACTAAACGCTATTCCTTACATACCTGTGGGCTTCATATCGGCCACCATTTTCTGATCTCCCCAAGGTCAAGTATGCAACCCTCATTGCCTCTCCTCCCCCCCGCCCACCCTCCAAAGTTCAATCGCACGGCAATCTCGCGTGCCGTTTGGGTAAGACACGCCAGATGCTCCTTTCAGGCACGAGAAATTGTAATTTTAGAAGTTGGCAGCATGATGGTCATGACGCACGTTCAGCAGAATTGAACTGAGAGAAAATGGGAAAGAAGATTTTTAGTTTGGAAATTGCGAAGCTTTGCGTGTTCAGTTTGTCTTGGTGTCCACTGTTCGTGCGTTTTCATAGCAACTTCAGGTCTGAAAGACGAGAGAGTCGCGAACTGGCAGCGGAATGTAGCTCAACACAAGAGACCGACAACCGCGCGGGTTAACGTAGTGGCCACGTTTGGACTCGCATTCCGGAGGTGTTCGGTTCGAGTCTCTGTCGGGAAACTGGCTATCCTAACTGAAATTTTTTATGTTTCCTCCGTCCCTCAAGGCAAATTCCGCGATAGTACATCGACTGCGTCACGACCGCTTCCATCTAAATCCTTTGCAATTCATCATTCATCTTATTATTTGACCCTAATACTCTTAGATACCGATACTGTTGTGAAATAACGCACCAGCAAACAAACGGCCGGTTTGCGGACCACATACCTCGTTCGTAACAGGGAAAGTGTTGAAACTGTAAAGACAGACAGGAGAAGCAAAAATGAAAACGAAAAACAATTAGGAACGAAACAAAGGAAAAGCAAAAGAAATGAAAAGAACACAAAGAAAAAGATGAAATAAAGAGCAAAAAGACGACAGAATAACATAACTATAAAGAATAATTCATAAACGGCTATTATTTTAGAGCGCAGTGGTTACTATATATATCACTCGCTTTAACATATCCGAACCCTGCATTCTGCCCACACAGTGTATTGCGTGTTCTGCATGGTTCTCACAATAAACAGCGACTGTTTCCCTAAACAGCATTAACCGGTTGGGCTTTGTAGCGGAGACGCAATGTGTTTCCTATGAGGCACGAACTGAGTTCTCTGTCCACAGAGTGTAGTTGTGTGTTCGGTATGGTTCTCACAATAAACAGCGGCTTTTTCATTAAAACAGCATTAGCCGGTTGGACATTGTAGCGGAGAGGCAATGTGTTTCCTGTGAGGAACGAACTGAGTTCTCTGCCCATAGAGTGTATCTGTGTGTTCCGTATGGTTCTCACAATAAACAGCGGCTTTTTCATTAAAACAGCATTAGCCGGTTGGACATTGTAGCGGAGAGGCAATGTGTTTCCTGTGAGGAACGAACTGAGTTCTCTGCCCATAGAGTGTATCTGTGTGTTCCGTATGGTTCTCACAATAAACAGCGACTGTTTCCTTAAACAAAATTAACCGATTGGGCTTTGTAGCGGAGACGTAATGAGTTTCCTGTGAAGTACGAACTGAATTCCTATATATTATGTATATGAATTTCAGGTTTCCGGGTTAAAGACGGCGACAGATTCGAGCGGTGTCTATTTCGTGCCAAGGGTCCATTAAACTTCCAGCTGCGAGTGAGGCTCGTTAACAAGCCCAGAGTGCTTTATTGGCGCGGGGTTTCCCCCTCGATAACACAACCAACATTACCCTTGGGGCAAGCGGTAGTTGCCATCGACCACCCCCTGGGGCCGCGGGGGCAAGGGACAATCATACTTAACGGCTGCAATAATTGCGTCGGGCTGATTGGTCAGCTGCAATGTTCAAGGGCACGAGTACAGCATTCGCCTCTGTAGATGGAGGCAGTGCGTTCCTCCGAAATGTTGGTAACCAGAAACAAGACAGACGATCACAGTTTGAATTGTGCGGCTGTTTAAGAAACTTCGTATGTATGTTTCTCACCTTGTGGGCCGTAAAGAGACGCGAAAGAATTTAACCCGCGTTGATTTTAATCTCGACAGCCCCATCAGCGTCAAAGTATGAATGAGCCTTATGTTACTTTGCAAAGCTGTTTAAAATGCCAAGGTTATATTTACGAATGAGACGGCAAGGCCACGACTGGTCAGGAATAGCTAAGGGTTTGCAAGGCGATGGATCCCTACTCTGTCCCTCTGATACACTTCACTCGCGTGAATTGCTCTTATTTTTAGAATTACCCATATCGCGTATCGATTGCTCGGCTTTCCCCTCTCCCCTCCGTCAAGCTTCTCACAAGGAGCCCCACTTACACGTGAATTGAATGTATATTCGTGCCGAACCGCGCGGAGAACACCCGTCTTCACACCCCACGGGAATTACAGACACGATGATTTATAAATCTAAGGCTTACGTCACAGCATTGGAATGTTTGGTTGCTATGCTGTACAGAACCCGTGGCTCTGAGTGCACTTTGGCAGGAGGAAGACATTTGGGGTGCCCTTCACGATATGAAACCGTGAATATAATATTAAAATATTCAACTAGAAATTTTCACAACAGCGACTATGAAGAGTACGATCTTCTGTGCTGTTACAGTCTTGTAGTTCGCAGAAAGTCCAATGTTTCGGAGGAATATACCACCTCGGTCTTCAGGAAAGAAAAGTACGCCGTGAAACACCAAGGAGAAGCAGACGACAAGCTTACGGGCTGTTTCCTTCTTGGTGTTTCTTCGATTGTTTAATTTTTCGAGCCTGAAGAAGGAAACGATATCATCCTTCGAAACGCGAGCTCTCTGCGAACTACACGTTGTCACAACCCAGAAGACAAAGAGGGCGAGGCACGGCGCCCGGCCGTGAGACTCCAGATGTGACACTTCTGGGAAAATCCGGCACCACTAACATGTTTCAGGGACGCTCTTAAACCTGCTCTTTTCTTCCAGGAGCACGACTTCCCCGATTTCCTAAAGGGACCCCAAAGGGACACATGTCAACATATCCGGATGGAACACCGGAAGCACGGGCTGCGTGACTCGAGGGAGGAGACCTCAGACAGGTAGGGTCACGTGAGAAGTCACAGGAGAGTCGAGAGGGGTGTGATCACAGGATGCCTAAAAAGGCATGGTCATAGTAGGCCTCACAGGGTAAGGTCAGGGGATCTCACAGAATAGGGTCACAGGAGAATCGAGAGGGTTTTGATCACAGGACCCCTAAAGTCATGGTCATAGTAGGCCTCACAGGGTAAGGTCAGGCGATCTCACAGAAGAGGGCCACAAGAGTCCTACAACAGGCGAGGCCTCAAGCGACCTCCTACGGTTGGGTCACAGGAGACGTTAGAGGAGATCTCTGAGTTGTAAGGTCACAACGGGGTCACTGCCACCGTCTGTCTCGCTGTCTCGCCACTTACTGCCTAATGAGGACGTCTCCACTGTTTGCAGCCAGATGCTGGTGCCCACAGAAGCCGGCTCTCCGGACGACCGCCCTATAAGCGCGACGCCGACCCCATTGGGTCGCCCTGAGGCTCCCGCACCGGAACCAGGTAAGGCTAACTGACTGATAGCCCCATGTCCAACTTCACACCAGGAGGTCTACCCACTGTCGGCTGTCAATAGTGGTTATACAGTTACAGTTAACACATTATTAGATAATTACAAATTACATGTAAACTAAATTTGAAATTCTGTTAACCTTTATTCGATATTGGCGTTTCCTCCTAACCCTGTATTATGGTTACATAACCATGGCTCAGTCGCAGGACCCTCGTTTGTGAAAACATAGTTCGCCGTATGAAAGTGAGCTTAACCATAATACAGAAAGATCCCTAAAAAAGAATCTGCCCTGATGATGAAGGCAGCAGATACCCACCTACCAAACTGAACGGCATCACGTCCCAGAAAATAATAATGGAGAACTCACAATATTCCTCCGCATACAAGTATATCACATAATTGTGTAAGCGTTGGGGTTTCTATAGCAACGAACTATCGAGATGAACAAAATTATATTCCAGCTCATGAACGAGGGAGCAGTCTTTTGTTTCACTGTATCGTGTCTATTCTATGAGCACCGATAATGTTTTGATGTAGATGTGTGAAGTGTAGTATACTATACAAAGGAGAAGATTAACGACTTACTATTCATGTGTGCTGTTCGTGGGAGATCACGTTAAAGGTTGGCCCCGACATATCATTCGATAACATGTAGGACTGGAAAGCAGTAAGGGAGACGGAAGGGGGAGTTTACGTAACATACGGCGAGAATTCCCGTTGAATTTTCTGAGCGCGCTATGCTACCTCAGCATCAGATAGCCGAAACATTCATCTCAGTCAGCTGAGCGGCTGTCAGCTTATCACGGACGGTTCTGCTTGGTGCCATAAAGCAAGAGAGTGCCGCATGGACTGAAATCACTGAACCTGAATCATTGACCAGGTGCAGAGAACGCGCAGGCCCGCAACTCGCCAGACATAGGGGCGCTTCTGCGGCGCGTGGAGACACAGCGTCCCCACATCCCGAGGTCCAGGAGCTCCTTGGCGCAGTATCCGCAGGCGCAGGTCGCAACGAGTCGCGCCCACAGCTCGCTTGACAAACCGCGGTGAGTACTTGCGCCCCTGGCGTAGTATGACGGTTATACTCGACGAAGATATTTGGACATACTGACAGCGTACCGGCTAGGCTACAAGCTGCACGACCGAGGAATCGTGGTTCGACTCCAGGCAGGAACAATAGATCTCCCCTCCAGAGTGTACATCTCAAGGGGTACCGGGTGCTATGTACCCGGAGGTAAAGAGGCAGAGGCGTGAAGCGGACCACTCAACTCCATTGTGTGTCGAGGTTAAGAATGATGGAGCTATATCTCCACTCCCCATACGTCTTAACGCCTTGCTGCTTACTGAATTAAGTACTGGGACACTTTGCCTTTTAAACAGACCTATAACAGTAACTTGCATTAATGGTCCGCGCCATTGCTCAAGCGGTTAGTCGCTGGCTTCCCACTGCGGCGGCCCGTGTTCGATCCCGGTTCTGGCCAAGTGGGATTTCTGGTGGACAAAGTGGCGCTGGGGCAGGTTTTCTCCGAGTACTTCGGTTTCCCCTGCCAATCTTCATTCCACCAGTTGCTCCACAATCACCCTCACCTATCATCTGGGGCTGGTACAATAGGCCAGAATTGGCCGCAGTACAAGGGACTTAGTCCCACCCCAGTAGAAATAAAAAAAAAAACTTGCATTAATTACAGCAACAACGACCACGTACATTTCACCTTGACGTACAATGACGGTTATGCATGTCGACTTCTTTTTTATTCCTTAACAGATTTGAGGCCCTAAGCGGTATGTGTGTGAAGGAACCATCTGATGTGTATACTACTTAAAAGCCATGTTTTATTTCCCAGAAAAAAACAACGTATAGCTTGCCATGATAACTGAGAAAACAATGGGTAGATTTGAAGCTACTGCAATCCTTGTGACTTTCTTGATGAATATGGGAATATTCGGCAATAGCCAGACGTAAATTAAACCATCTGCACACAGAGGGTGTCAGTGTGACGCAGCAGGTACAGTGATTATCTGGGCCTGTAGAGTCCATTACTGTCGACCTAAATAGCCCAGGAATGCAACACGCAAGGCACGAGGCCTACGCTAATGACTACATGCGGCCAGACCGCAGCTCGTAACGAGTTACGTGTAATTACATCCTGTCGCGTCTTCCAACTACTAAAACAAAATCCCGCTTTTGGTCATATCTGGCACAGAACAATAGGCCATTATGCACTGTCTGAGCTCATAAAATGGCATTTCCAAATGTTTCAATCGACACCAGAATTAAGTCTCCGCGTCCAAGGAAACCAGACCAACAATTAATAGTTTCCTATTGTTGCGAAATCCCGTGCATATATTAGTTTATGAAGTAATGTAAATGACTGTCGATGAGGTCACTGGATTTTTCAATTGACCTAACCCTTCCAGCCGCACTATGGCCCTAGGGTTGACTCAGCCCCTAACATAAATGAGTACGAGGAATCTTCCTGGGGTTAAATGGCAGCCGGCGCGCATGGCTGACAACCCAAATGCCATCTGTAAGCCGACTGTCCAGAAAATGTGGGAGCCTCGACGTCTCACAACCCCATGGCCCTCCACGGCCTGTTACAGGAACAGCCTTAACTTTTTACCTGTAAATGACTACCACAACTTCAAAACAAATTCCAGAAACGGCGAGCTTTCAACGCGAAGCCCTGTTTGCAATGGCAGAGTACAGACAGACAATGTGGCGGACTGCATTATGAAATAACAGTGGACAATCGGGTCGCGTGTGTGGCGACAGCGACGCTTATAAAATATTACCTCCTTTCGGCTATTTTTGAAAGTTTTATATTCTCGGGGCCATATTGTAGAGCGGTCAGCCGACTGTATTTGTTCAATTGGGGGCGTATTGGGGGCGTAGATGTATATATCTGCACGCATACCTGGAGTTCAATTGGAAAAGGAATTGATTGCTTTAAATCTGGGTCGCTTTTGTCTTTTGCGTGCGGAAGCTTTTTCTGAAACGAGTGAATCTGGAGTGCAAACGCGTGAATTACGGCTGGCTTCGATCCCCGGCTTCCTCCATTTCCTGTTGGTTCATTTCATTGCTTTCCTTTACCTACTTCCCATTTCAATTCTGCTTCCAAAGGTTAAAAAAAAGGAGTGAGTGATCATAACCAACCGAAGTAGCTCAGGTAACACAGTGAGTAAGTGAACGGGCTGGGCGGCCGAGGAATCGGGGTTCGATAGCAGATGGGGGAAAAGAGATTTCACACTTCTCCATAATGTAGACACATGCCATGGGATCCATGCACCCTCCTATGTAATGGTTACCGGGAGCTGTCTCCCCGAGGATAGAACGGTCGGAACGTGAAGCCTCCAGCAAGTAAAAGGTTAAGAAAACGCAGGGCTATACCTCAACTCCATCGCTTTTCTAATCTGATCCGACAACGTATTTATTTACCAGCGTGCCACCGGATTATGCTTTAATGGTGAATTGTTGCTGCTATAAACATTATTGTTGCGAACGTTTCCGAAATAGTCCGCAAGTCGTAAGGTTTGCCTGCTTGTAGTTTCCATGGAAACCAAATGCAAACGTACCTATGATAGAAGCAGAATATGACCGCAACAGACAGGAGGATTTTAGCCAATATTTCAGTGTCGGCTTCGGCCCCAAAAATTGCATCCCTAGATTATTATTATTATTATTATTATTATTATTATTATTATTATTATAACAACTCTCGGATGTCACAGCGTGCATATTCAGTCATATCGTGATTTCAAACTGTCCCCCGAGAACTGTGACGTGTCCTGCCTGTCTAAAACACCTTTCAGGGCACGTGACGCCTTGAGTAGCCAATCTTACGGCAGAAATATCCCTTGTCTTCAATGAGATAATCAATATGAAGTTATTGCTTCCAATCGTGTGTTGCAAATAGGATCTAGTGGCAACCATTTACGTAACTATCCGACGATGAAAGCTCAGAGATGCTTTGAGGCGGAGAGGACCAATGGAAACCGCAGAAAGAGATGGGAATTGTCACATCTTTCCTGATGAATTTTCAACGGACATTTCACTGCTGCCAATGAAACGCAGAAGTACATTCAACGAATAAACCGGTAGCAGTCAAGACAGAGCAGCCTAACGAAGCGGTTTCTCTTGACCTGTGCCTCACCATCCTTGAATAAGGTCAAGTTACAGAAGGATAACAGATATTGATCATGCATGACACTGACACACTCATACTGTCGACATAGCAACTGGTAAACAAACACGTCACAGCTCGTATCAGAGGCAATTACCAGCCACAGGTTACCCAAAATATACGATTCTTTCCTATACCGAACGTAGTTTCAGGCTGACCCGAAACAAATATGCGTACACCTGATAGACGTTTCTGTACGGAATATCACTACTGGGTGACTCAAAACATGCGAGTCGTTTCTTTCGCAATTCCTATATTATTATTATTACCCGCCTGTGCGGTCTAGTGGTCAGAGTTCCTGGCTACAGTTCCAGAGGTCTGGGGTTTGATTCCCAGTGCTGCCAGATTTTCTGAGAAGTAGTGGGTCTGGAACGGGGTCCACTCAGCCTCGTGAGGATAATTGAGGAGCTATTTCAAGAAAATAGCGGCTCAGGTCTAGAAAACCGAAATTAACGGCCGTGGGGATTCATTGCGCTGACCACGTGACACCCTCTATTCGCAAACGTTGGCATTAACTTCGCCGACAAGCGGCAGTCGATCGGTCGGTATAGTTCGCTTACGGACTCAAGCAACGGAGTTTGTTTTTATTCTTCTCATTATTATTATTATTATAACTGTTTCTGATTTATTTACTTACTTACTCATCACTTGCCTTATTTCTTTATTTATGGCCTATATGACGATGATAACAGTGGGTTACACTATACACGTTCGAATGATTGGTGATAGTGGAAAATGAATTGGAGAGGACGTGGAAGGAAGCGGTCGTGGCCTAACGCTACATCTGCCTGCAGAAACTGAGGTTACCACGACAAATCTCAGTCCGAAGAGGCCGGTGTCTGGCAGGAACAAAGGAACTGAAATGTATTGCGTGTCTGCAGCCCTCGCAGGGTGCGTGACGTGGACGCGGTACGAGGCACCCAGAAACCCGACTCTGTACAGGAGGCAGACTTCCACCTGTACGTTCTTCAGGCGGGCTCTGCCCTGCTGGACCACCTCCAGAGCGGCTGGAGGGCCAGGATCCTGGTGAGTTCATAGCTGGACACCATCACTACATCGCTAGATTGCCCATTACCGTTAATACTTCAAAGAAAACACACTGCGTTGCTGAAAATTACTGCCTTCCGGGATTTGACGCCATGAATTCTCATTTATTTATTTATTTATTTGTTTTATTTAACGGCGCTGCCAGTAGCTCAGGCTACACAGTGTTGAATGGTAGGACGATCAGCAAATTGGAAAGGATTTGGGGGGAAGTGGTGCTGGCTCAGATCAGGAACTGAGGAAAACAAGGGAAAACCTCAGTAAGGACAGTCGGCGCTCTGGCCGAGATTCGAAACGGCCACCACCAGAATGCGCATGCAAAACGTTGAAACCAGAACCAACTTGTGTGGGGACGCCATGAAGTCTGGTGCATATGAACGTTTCAGAGGAATTTGCTGCCTCCATCTTCAGAGTATTCGAGTACAGGTCCCTCCTAAACCCTGGTAAATATGTACAAAATTATACAGCGTCATCCCAGGAGACAGTAGTCTTCATAGTTACTTCCATAAGAACCACCAATCTCATATTACGTCTCCGCTACAAAGCCCAACCGGTTAATGCTGCTTAGGGAAACAGTTGCTGTTTATTGTGAGAACCATACGGAACACACAAATACACTGTGTGGGCAGAATGCAGACTCTGAGTGTGTTAAAGCGGGTGATACATATAGTTACCAATGGGCTTTGAAGACTAATACCCAACCAAAAGTAGTTCAGTTCACGTGTTTGCCTAAGCTCTATTATAAATTTCGTTCCATTTACGCCAACTTCTCCCAAGTGGATTGTTTTATTGATATTGCAGAGCTCGACTCTGGAGTTAGCCGGCTGTCAGTTGGGGGGTTCGGCGTGGGGGCACAATGTGCAGCACCTGGACACCGTCTATCAGCGCTACAAACGGCAACTACTGGATCCAGACAATTCGCCACACCGAAGTTTCGCGCTTCTGCAAGAACTGCACACGAGCCTCCAGAGACACGCGGACCTCAAGAAAATCTTCTGGAAGGCACGTGATTCACAAACGAGTCTAACGACAGCGAGTCATGGCAGTGCAATCATTACATTTAGAGTTGGCCTATCCAAAACCTTGCAATGATGGCATTTCAGTGAAATTACTGAGTGTCTGGGACTAGCTCTATCGATTGGGTCCCACTGAATATGCTTTCACCTGAAGACAGAGGAGAATCCGGTCTCCGAAACGTTTTGTTTTAAATAAAGACAAGACGATGGATAATGTCCAGAAACACAATAATTGTAAGAAAATTCTGGCTAAGCCCGCGAAATTCCACCATCTGACGCATGTGTCCGGTCCTGCGGGCGTTGGGGCAAGTGGAGCTATCGCTCCACGTATTCCTGCCTGCCACGGGATTAGATGGATGTGAGTAGGCAGATCCACGCTCCGGCCTATCTGTCACCTAGGGAAAGAGCCCCTATTACCCATTGTACAGGAGGCTGGTGGGCCCCAAAGCAGGTCTGTAAGATGTGATTTCCTTTCCGTTAATCGGTTGTATAGCCCGAAGCGTACTCACTATACTGACTGAGCTACAGCAGCTCCTAATGCGTACTAGTGTTGCAATAAACGCTATTGGCATCCTGTATGCAGTGAGAGAATGTGACGTCACCTGTTCGCTGTGCTCGCCCACAGGACCAGATGCTGTACCACTTCCTGATGCAGAGGCTGCAGCTGTCCTTCCCAGGGTCACCCCAACCCCTGGGGGGCCTCGCCACGCAGAACACTCTGTATGCCCGGATCGATGAGCTGCAAGTGGCAGCAATGCTCCTGTACATTCTGTTGGAGGCCCTGCGAGACAGCGACAGCATCAATGACAAAATCCAGGCACGTGAAGGGCTTTTGTTGTGACGGGAATAACCAAAGATTTCTTGACCACCGAAGCAATTGAAGATTTCTTTCTTCCGGAATGTGAAGTCGTATAGTTTGGTACATTATTACCGTGAAGATGGAAGCAGCAAGTTCCTTCGAAACGTTGGGAAGCAGTTAAAAGGTATATTTGGCCTTCGTCCCTATTGGTTCGCTAAGTGCGCCAGGCCTCCCTCTCTGTATGTCAGGGCCATTCATCTCAATGCTGCTCTTATTCTTCCACACTGGAGATGGAGGCAGGAGGTTCCTCCGAAACGTTTCTAATGATCTAACATAGTACACAGCGCCCCATCCCAAGAGACAGTGAGCTTCATACTAAGTCCTGTCAGGACCTCAAGTCTCGTGTGATAACTCCAGGATCTGCATGCATTTCCCATTGCTCCAATGCGTGCCACATACCCTTCCATTCTATCCGATTTCATCATTCTAATACTACAGTAAAGCCTCGCTAATCCGGAGTAACTGGGGGAGGGGAAGTCATCTGGATTAGGGACGCAAAATGTAGCCCCCCCCCAAAATGAAAAATTTAGTGATTAAAGTAGTGCTGATGAAAATAAATAAGAGACTATCGCTCTAGAGCCTTTATTTAAGAACTATAAAAAGACAAAACATTTATTCATTGATAGAAGCCTGAGAAGTTGTACTTGTTTTTCAACACAATGCAGGTTTGAAGAAGCTGTTAATGTTGTGTGTGAACACACAAGTGACTCATCAGCTTACCTAAATGTCATGTGTCTTTTAAAGTCTGCACTCAACTGCGAAGGCCTACCATATACAGCAAGCACTACAAATTACAAAGCTGCTCCCTGGGCTACTGTCTCTACGCTCCTGTCGCTGCATTGTACCCCCCTCACATGAGCCTTAGGTCTCACAGTCCATGTGCAGGGAAGAAGTGAAGGTGCTCTGGTGCCCAATTAAGCACCACACCATGAAGATGTATGGTGAAATGGAGGCATAACTTCACACATTGACCTTAGCATGGGATGGAGGTGAGTGGTCAGCTTCACACTCCAGTTGCTTTACCATCTGTATCCACTGGCCAGGTTACACAGCAGGTTTGAATGTTCTGGATAAGAGTAAAATCACCTCTCCTGAGAATCGAACCCCAAATCCTCATCCATCCAACCAGCAGTCTGTCACTATACCAACTGAGCTAGCATGACTCTATCCTTGTGAATTAGGCAAGACTATATGTGACTCTGAGGGTGACATAAGCAGTCTGCCCCCACACGAATCCTGTGGCATGGCAGAGGTACCTGGTGTGAAAATCAGGCAGGGAAACAACTCAATTCTGTCATCCCAACACTTTCAAACAGCCCACAACCATACCATCTGTTGCAGATGCTTCAGTTCAACCGAGGTGCCGTGCTCAAGAGGCTACTGACCCTGCTGGTCACCCCGCCAAGCATCCCCAACAGGCATCGCACAGTCTGCTGTCACATGCTTGAGGACTTCCGTGAGTTCGGCTCTGGAGGGTGGACCAACCTTCCAGAGGCAGAGGTAAGTAACACAGCTTGCGATGGCAGGCATGATATCCACATTTCATGGTGGAGTTCCCCCTGAGCTTAACGAACCACTGGAAGCATAATAGTTACTGTCTGCTGCATTGAACGGTGAGATTCACTGGCGGCTAGAATGTTGTCTGCATTCAAGATGATTTACAGCAAGATGAATGCATACATCTTTCAGCTGTTCAAATTTCCTTTTGTATTACTGACCTTTGAGCAGCGTTATCATTGATCAATTGTTGCTTTCTATTGTTTGGTGACTAATAACAACAGTTATGCGATTTCCAGTGTTCAATGAATAATCGATATTGGATTATTCCAGATAATCCTCAAGGGGAATAATCCAAAAGGTGGATAATGAAGGCGTATGAACCAAAAAGCGAGCAAAACGCAGTGATTTCACTTCGTTGTTTCGACTCCCTCTTAATCCTCAAGATGGATGCATAAAGTTGCTCTGAAAAGTTCATTAACCTTACTGAATTGCATGGCTACATCCAAGAATTGCCTCTATGGGATTTGTGGTGCATAAAGTGACAATGGGGTAACCTTATTTCCCACCAATTTCAGTTTTCCCCTGCCAACTATCATTCCACCAATGCTCTATATTCAGCACTTATCAAGGTCTGCTTCAATTAGCCCACACAAGGTGACATTACCAAGTGATTGTCCACACAACTGATGTTTGAACTTTCTGTGAAGAAAGGTATACATGGGGCCTATTGGAACCAAGATAAAATAATATTTTGATGATGGCCCAAATATAAAGTTGTGTAGAAATCCATTCAGTACTTTCTGACAAAGATGTGGCTGGAGAGAGGTGCGGGCCCTCCAAACAAAGCTTTCACTTCATATCTCTTTCAAAGAACACTTACAGAAGAAACTAAATCTTAAGTTACACCCACAGCAGTAACTTATCAATGTCTCTGCTTCCAGCTCATAAAAATGCTTGCTGAGGTGACGAATGTCTCCACGGCCATCTTGTATGAACTCCTTCTGACACTACAGAACATGATCCAGAACAAATCAGCACTGAAGCTGACCAAACTGCTGGATGGGGTGGCCATGGTATGTACATCTCCAAAATGTATCACAAGCAACACGGCCTGTGCCTTAACTGCTTCACTCCTTGGCAACTAAACTGGGTTGGTTCCCATTTCAACAAAATGTTACAATATCAAGATGAAAGACATATGTTAAAAGCTTAATCTAATCCAAAATGCAACTGATTACCTCACTGCTTCGCTCTCAGGAATGCCACATGAAGCGCAGTGTCAGCCAACTTCTTGGGCTCCTGTTCCCATCCCCTGCACACAAACTGACGCCTCTGGAAGCTGTCCTTGTATATCAGCACGTCTTCGTGCTCAAGTGTCTCATGGAGAGCCTCAGCAGGGTACAGGATTATGTTCAGGAGCAGTTTGAGGAAGAGTTCAGGTTCGTGACTCATGAGGCTGAAATTCAAAACAGGAGCATCATATTGTGCAAGAGTTCTATTGCTTCGACAAGTTGGAATCAAAAATAATATTCAACAAATGATGAGGTACAGTCTGTGGACTTCTGGGTTGTGACACCGTGGAGTCCTGTGGCAGATACCCAGCATGCTGGGGAAACATGACTGAAGTGTGCTGCATGAGGAGCTGATTCAGTTACACAGGCAGGTCACAAGGATGGTGAGGGCATTAGAAAATGGCGTTCAGTCTGAACCGATATACAGGAAATGTACCCTTTCAGGGAAAGAGTATTACCTTTTATCTCCAGATAGGAATGCAACTGTAGTACCATATTCCTCTGAAATGCTGGTATCTGCCTACAAGACCACACACAATTACAACCCTGAAGAGCATAATCTGAACAACCTCAGAACTTAACAAGTTCAGGTTCAGGCTGACAATCTCATCAGGTCGCTTTTCAGAAGCACACCCACATTATGCCACATGTCCTGACCCACTGTTTCAGATATTACGTTCGCTGGTCACGAGTCAGTCGCAAGTTGCCAGACAGTTACCCAATTAAGCGACTTCTGCAACAACTTGTGGATGGGGTGCAGCAGTTGGCATCTAGGGGGCACACAAATCTGATCCCTCACAATTCGGCTGACGACCTACAGTAATTTACCAAATCCAGCAGCCTGACACAATGATTTGTGTTAATATCTCTTTGCTTTTCTTAAACAATAATTACAGATCGTGAGTGTAAATGGTGAGAAGAGTGTCCATAGCTACCTCTGTCATGCTCACTGTGTTTCTCGCTGCTACAGCTAGAGTGGTGTGAACTGTAGACATTCTGTCTTCAGAAACTTGTTACACTTATTCTTCTTAATTATAACCAATTTCCACTGATTGACAATAAACTATTTATTACTCTAGTCATCTGAATTATGACACCATGTAGTCTGTGTAGGTGGTTATCAGTGCTTCAGAGAAACACGCTACCCTTGCAGGAGGAGGCAGTATGTGACTCTGAAATGTTGGAATTCATCTGTCACACTATATGGTGCCATAACGCTCAAGACTATAACACAAATCTTCATGATGGTGAAAACAAATATAACTTAACTTGTCTGTTTACTGTTTAAATTTATTAAACTGGTCAGATGCTCTGAAAATTAATGAAAAAATTTGACGACCGCCATCCCCTCCCATAGTTTCCATGGGCAACCTTACCATTAAGCCACTCCTACACGACAGCCCTTGAGGGACACTCCGAAACACAGTTTCACTGTATGTGTGAGACATAAAATTGAAAAGTTCCAGAAAGAAAGCTTGGTAGAATAAGCATAATAATAGCCCAGAGGCATATTTCATCAGGAAAAATCACCACTGTGATACCAACTGATGAGAACACAATACTGAATGAACACCTGCTCTGCAATGCTGCCATCTTATGCTCCTATCATAACTAAAAGAGAACAGTTTCCTATTTGGTTTCCACGGAAATGATCACTGACAAAATCACTGCCCTCCTCAGACGATCTATTTAGCAATATGTTTGTTATATGAGCTGTGGGCTCATAAACTGCTCAGTACTCACCGTCTGTTACTGGTCCTAACTTATCAGTATTGATTATTGCACATGAAAAGCAAATGAACATTTGCAAGGTGATGAGCAATTGAGGTTGTTCTTTAAATTTACAGATACCTTGCATTTGAAGAGACTGGACACTGATGTAAGTGCCGACACATTATTTGGGGCCCTTGTTTGTTTTTAATTCAACAAGAAGTTGAACTGTGTGTAGAGTGATGAAACACAAATTAAATTACTTTCTTAAAGTATATCAGCCTCCATCAATATGCAGGTGAACTGACTGTACAACCACAAAGTTCTGAGGAGGTGGTTCATATTAAGAACTCTTTCCTTGTGTGTATGTCTCACATAGGCATTGAGGCAATGTCAGAATAACTACATCTCTTGTTTTCTTTACATTCCTACAGGCCATGACATAACTCATGCAATTAGCTAACAGCCTCTCAATGCAGCAACCTGGGTTCAAGCCCAGGTTACTTCATGTGGGATTTATGGTGGATGTAGTGTCACTGGGATGGGTCTTCTTGGAGTGCTTCCCATGCCAGTTCTCTCTCCACCAAATGTTCCATTTTCCTCCATCACCACCCAGGAATGTTACAATGGGTCATTTAAAGGCCCAAGTACCAAGGGACTCAGTCTCACCCACCCTACCCTAAAAATACAATACAATAAGTATTCAAGTCCCACTGTTCTGATTGTTCATGACATAGAGTGAAGCTTTTAAATAAATAATACAACATACTCATGACTGAGCATATATAGACATGTGGGTACTCCTTCACAATGCACTGCCAGTGGGAAACGAACACTTTGTGATTGGTGCTCAGTGTCAAGCTGTTACAGAACCCCCTGGCTCACAAAGTGTAACCTGTAACATTGTACTCCCGATTCTTATGCCTTGCAGACATCGTCAATCTGTCATGGCATTGCAAGATTTCAGCTTCTTACTGAAATATCGGTGGGGCACACGGTAGTATAGTTGGTTGAGGCACTATGCTACAAGACGGACAGTCGCTGGTTCATGTCCCGATGAGGTCATAGGATATCTTTTCAGTTTACCTAATCCCTCCAGCCACATTATGGACCTGGTGTTGACTCAGCCTCTAACAGAAATGACCAGGAATATTGCTGTGGGTAAAGGGTAGCCAGCGCGTAACGCTGACAATCTTACTGCCATCTATGAGCAGAATGTCTAGAGAAAATGTGGGAACCTCAACATCTCACAACCCTATGGGCCTCCATGGCCCATTATAGGGCTACTTTTACTTTTTTACCGAAATATCGGTAAACTTGTACTTGCATTGCACTGCACGATGACACACCATGCGATTATCATATTTCACATGGGACACAAATTTGGGTTCCTTGAAAATGGAATTTCTACATTAGCTGAGCAAATATTATTTTCCCAAGGACTCTGCTCTGTGAAGTCAGTTCGTCAGAAGGTCCCCCTACGTCCATCACAATTGTGTTTATTTAATGAAGCTGTCAGCAGCTTAGCCTGCATAATCAGATAATTCGTGAATAAAGAACCAGAAAGGATTTGGAAGGAAGCAGACATCACCTAATTTAAAGTAATTAGCAATAATTATCTGGAGTGACCAAGGAAGAGAATTAAAAACCTGTCAGGACAACCAGCCAAGGGGCTGGCATCTGAACTAGAAACATCACAAATACAAAACAGAAATATATATTTGTTGCATTATAAATGTCAGTATGAATGACTACTGCCCTCAGGAGCACATCTCTGCACAGGGCAGAACAAGGGGCAAAACATGTAACTCATAAACATTTTATATTTCACCAAACATTTTAACAATAATTCCAACATGTTTCACATTTATATAATTTCATCTGAACATCAACATACTTTAAATGAACAAGAATACACCATCTGTATAAAGCTCCATCCAATCTGACAAGCCCTGCAATACTTGTGGTTAACAATGCAGTCATACAAATAAACAAACAGGTATACAGTGTAGCCCCCCATTCAAGGTTTCTTAGCAAAACAGCGGATCTGAACACTAAAGTGAACATTAAATAAGAGAAAATCCTGTTATGTATTTCATGACACCGTCAGTAGCTTGACTATACAGTGTCGAATGGTGCAGTGTCTGATGAATGATAAATTGAGAAGGATTTTGTGGATGAATTAAGCTACTATCACAGCATCTGCTTGGAGAAACTGCATCAGGATTGCCAGTGTTCTGCCTCTGATTCCAATCAAGTACTTCTCAAATACAAGCCTAAGAGTTTTACCGCTGCACTGACTCACTCCGTAAAGGGGAACACCTTAAATTACAGAACATTAAATGGAGGTTCCACTGTAGCTTGCTGTGGCTGATGCCTCTGGTAATGGTACAGTCAATGTGTCTGACATGTGCCCATCTTGTCACTCATGAGATGTGAGTACCTATGAGATGAGTCTTCATTACCTCCAGATGATTACTTGCAGACAGGACCTGCGCCTTAACATGGGGCTCTGAACCATGGAAGGATCATGCATCCTTGCAAAATGATTTAACATTAAACCTATTGTACAACTTGTAAAGATTAGTGGGTTTTGGGGTGTGACACAGTGCAGCCTGGTAGAAATGTGCTGCACCATCTTAAACGACAGGTGTAGAGACAGAGGTCCAGCCCGAAACACTGGCAACAATCTACCAGAAGGACAGCGTCACAATAGAGTCACCTCCACAAGATCCTCACATCTTGTACAATTTGTAACTTCGCAAATTTTCTAAATTACTATCTTTGGAACAATTTCATTATAAATTTCTGTTCAGTTGATCATTATTATTATATGAAGATTCATTTTAAGCTTCTTCAGGACAACATGATTTATGATTCTGTTCTGTAACCAAATGTTTTCTGTCGTGAATAATGTCATGCCACAACCTGACAACAAACTCACAGTGGGCACCATTTATATGAGGCAGACTTACAGTTTTGTGGGGAATCAACTGAACCTCTGAGGTATATGACGTAAAAATTAAAAAATGTATACTGACATATTATGCTTCAAAATTAATCATTCCTGGCCAATTAAAATTTGTTCAGTAAAACAGATGTGGCCAATCTCAAATACATCGCACAATTTTCATCTAATTAACGCCCCCCTGAAGCCAAAAATGTCTGGTACACATCCAAGCCAATGAAGTAATAAGCTGGCCAGCAGACTTGTGTAACATATATCTGATGTGGCAATTGTGTAAACCACCTATGAGATCAGAGAAAATATGCTCTTTGGAATGGTTGGCCGTTTCCTAGTCTTATTCGTCTGAAGGATGTAAGCAACTTTCTCTCTGGCTTCTGAGCGAGAGATATCTCCACGGAGACTTAGCAGATGAACCAGATGATCCTGTGTAACATCTGGGTACTTATCAACCAAGCCATGGAGGTCCAGGGACAAGATCTCCGGGTCCTCACTTTTGAGAACTTCAGCTAATGTGTTAATAATTTCAAACGGGGAATCAAATTTTGCTACTTTTGGTGCAAGTCGTACAAAAAATTCCTTCACCTGTTCTGCCTCAGCCATGATTTTAACCGCTGCATCTCGTCTCTCTTCATATGTCTTGAATGTTATCTTCTTCTGAAGCAAGGCAGATATGTAGCGCTTTGCAACCCAGTTCTGAGCTTCAGAGATGACGTAGTCAAAATTGCGGACACGGAGATGGATGTAATCCTGGAAGTAATCTTCCAGGGTGACGCAGATTGTATCGACAGGAATGCTGCTCATCACCCACTTACTGGTGATCAGGTCCTGGAACTGTGGCTCCAGGTCAAGAAATGCCTCTTCGAGAAGGAACTGAGCTGCCTCATCTCGCAGTTGCTAGAGGCAAACACATTGGGTTAGTCGCGCTGCCACAGCAACTAGCACACTTAGCTAGCCAGTAACGTTGTGATGTTCATCGGTCCTGCTGGTTTTGTAATTCTGTCAGGTTGCAAGAGACATTATTAATCTTTACCAGACATAAGGTGGATTGCTGCAATGGCACATGCTCATGGCCTGCCAGGCTGAGCGTCACGTTTGTCACTGTTCAGCTCTGCATACACGAGGCTCAGTTCAAATCTCAGTCCCCAATTTCCCAGCAATATCTAACATTTTATAGTTTGTTTCTGCCTGTCATAGCAAATACCAGATTAAACTTAACTACGTAAACCACAGCTACATCCAAATGTACCACTTCATTGACCTTCAATAACTCTGTTTTCTGCCGACAGAGTGCACTTATATGTTCCATATCATTCTCATAACAAGTGGAAACTACTTCCCTAAACAATATTGACTGGCTGGTCTTTGCAACAGAGATGCACTGTGAACTATGTGTGGTAGAAATACATTTTTGTTTTTAATATCATTTAAATTAATTTAAGGCATTAAAGGGTCTGAATGACATTCTTCCCAGAGATCTGTTATTCCTTGCATAATACATCTGACACAGAGCACCATCAGCAAACCAAGAAGCTAGAAACAACTCAGATGTGTAAAACTGGCTCAAATGACTCAGCTATTTGCAAATAAAACTCAATTTAAACAAGCTTAATGTAACGTCTGGTACTGGCATTCTCTCCACTGACCTGGAAAGCATTGAGAAGAGCCTCAAACTTCGTGCCTGCCTCGTTGTCATGGAGACCAGGCCGCCAGTAGTGCTGCTTCATCAGTTGTGCCAACTCCACAAATTGTAAGCAGTTGTTCACGATCGTGATCATGTAGTGCGTGAAGTATGGGACCTACAAGCAAGAGAACATTTCAACAGGTAACAGATGAACACCAGAACAACAACCAAGACTGTGCCACAGGCTGCACAAGAACAGCCAACTGACTTTGTAAGAAAGGAATAACACATGAAGGAAACATGTAGATTTATTTTGTACGTTGTTTAGTAATTCTCTCAGCAGCTGTGCTCTATAATGTTGCATGAGAGGATGACAGATGAATGGGACTGATATGAAAGGAAGTCTTGGCCTAATCAAGGTATTAAGCTGGTGCTTGCCTGGACTGATTAAGGAAAATCATAACAAACCTCTATTATACGAGATGGGGGTCCCAGTTGAGATTCAAACGAAGCACCTCCTGAACATGAGTTCAGAACATTACTGCTACATCAACTGGTTTGATGAAATGGATTGACTGAGCCAGAGATTCTGTCAAGAACTGTGATTTTGTTTGGCAGTAATGAACCTTCAGTCCATGAAACCAAGGAGCACCGAGGGAAACAAAATATGGGGATAACCTGTCAATAAGGGTAATCAAATTAGATTACATTACCTTACTTCTGTCTTCAAAGTGTCGTATTTTGAATTCGATGATAGCATCACGGTACATCTTTCCGTACTGTGTAACCTGGTCCATGCTTAACAACAGAGCCTTGAATGTCAGATCTTGACTGAAAACAGAACCAACATGGCGCATTGCACTGAGTTGTGCATCTTAACCTTCTAAGCAGGAACACACTACTTTACAATATGCCAACATTCTTGCTTTTGCAATCAGGGTGTTACTTGTAAATGGCTCTTAAAGCAAGGAAACATTACTGGATTGTCTACATCCAATGAGGTAACTAGCAGGGTGAAACCTTCATTTCAGGTTTAACTGGGGACCAGTAAGTCGAAGAATTAACTGAGGAAAATCATAAACGGAAGAAATCAGACTTTGAGATTACTGACTTTGGAGCTTCAAAATTGAATGTTAAAATGAGAGACACCCTTATACTGGGGAACATCAAATGGGGATTGTACTGCACACGCACACTCATCACTTCTGTCACTCAACTCCTTCACAGGTTTCATTTCAGCACCCTTACACATTAGAAATTAACTGAAATGGTAAGTAAGGTTACCACATGCTTCAATGTTTGATAACTTGGCTTTCCACTCATGGAGTGTTTATGAGTTCAAATCGGCAGTGAAATGGAAAGTGATGACTTTCCCAACACATTTGGCCTATTTCTGCTTGAGTCTTGACAGAGGAGCCATCTCAAACTTAACTGATGGGACAAATGGGCATGTGTTTCGAGGCAATGGAATTATGCATGTTTTACAAATGGCTGAGGTTACCAAGATTGGGCAACATGGGAAGAAACTTCTTCAAAATTTATTATACTCCTTCTTAAAATGATAAATTTGTAGATTCATACAGGATCTGGAAATGAGCATCTATGTATTAATGAAAAGCATAAAATTTCATCAGCTGTGGAACTATTACCTTCTCAAGAACTCTGCTCGACAGAGCTAAGACGAGTTTCAAAATTCTGAGAGTTAACAAGTAAGTACAGAAACTGTTATACTATTCTTGCAGTTACCTGATTGTTCGTGTCACTTGCAGATTCTGATCAATCATCTGAAAGATAATGACTGGAGCGGACGTGTGGAAGAAACCCTGATCATCCCCTTCCGGAGCTGTACCATTGCCCCAGTCCAACTTCTCCGTCTCCAGAGTTTTCTGCATCCACTCCATATAGTTCGTCTCCATGTTCTGCAAATTTACAGCAATGATGAGGTATTCTGATTCAAGATTTATCTGCTTATTAAACCATCAATCAATCAATCAATCCACTTCAATACTGCAGTTGTTGCAACCCCTCAGCACAACCAATCACTACATGAATTACATCCATAAATACAGCAATTTTCCTGAAGAGAGCCTTTTGTGATCCAGTCCCCACTTATACAACAAACACATACTGTGTGTACACTGAGTTACCTGGATATGAACTCACCTTCAGGTACTGCTGTTGGAGACTGTCAATCACAGCATTGTTCAGCAAGGGGCCAATAGACGATGTGTCAATGTTCAGTTCTGGATGCTGCATCAGCTCGGGACCAGTGTATGTGTTCATAATCCAAGACAGGATCGACACATACTCGTTCCCTTCGAGCCCATTCTGTATGACCTCCTGCAGCTGCAAGAACCCAAACTTACTCATTGCTGATGTTGTATTTTTATTTATGCTTTGTTTAACAATGCTGTCTGTAGCCCAGGAAGCATACTGCTGACCAACAGCATCATTAATCTTTTATCAGTAGTGTGTCCCACTGTAACATCACATGCGGAGGTCATCCAGGACAATATATCAGAAAAAGTCCTTCAATTAAATAAATTCTGAACAACCCATCTATTAAAATTTAAAAGTTTGTGACAATGGTGCATTGCTACAAGTATTATGTTTTTGGACATTATCCATCGCCCTGTCTATTTTCTATATAAAAAAAGGTCCTGTTTATTTTTAAAAATACATTTCGGAGACTGGATTCTGTCCCTGTCCTCTGGACGACATAAGGACTAGCTCTGTCTACTGGACTCAACTGAGTCAGTTTTAGCTGAGGACGGGGACAGAATCTAGTCTCGAAACGTTGTGTTTTGAGAAATAAACAGGACTTTTCTTTTTTAAGAAAATAGACAGGACGATGGATAATGTCCAAAAACATAATACTTGTAACTGATCTATTCTTTTGCCTGTGTTAAGCATATATACGAGGGGGGACCCAAAAATAACCGGAAACGACCTGTTGTGCGCGCATGCTTTGTAGTTGCGAGTTGTGCTGCTAGGTGGTGTTAGCTGGGGGTCTCCCGCGACTGTTAGTGAGCTGGCGTCAGTCTGAGTTAAGTGGTTTGTCTGTGGTGCTCTGTTGTGTGCGTTCCTGTTTCAACCCTTTGGCGATTAGTGAGATGGCCGACCAGAAGGAACAAAGAGGGTGTGTGAAATTGATGAAGATCGTCGAAAGACCATTGACCAACTTTCTGAGGAAACGAACATCTCATGGAGCACGGTCCAGCGAATTTTAACCGAAGGTTTGCACATGAGACGGGTGTCTGCAAAATTTGTTCCTCGCTTGTTCGGAGATGACCAAAGAGAAAACCGCGTGAATGTTTGCTGCGACTTGAAAAGTGAAGTGCATTTTTCCTTAACAGAAAGCAAAATTTCATGCACACTCTTTGTTCCTTCTGGTCGGCCATCTCACTAATCGCCAAAGGGTTGAAACAGGAACGCACACAACAGAGCACCACAGACAAACCACTTAACTCAGACTGACGCCAGCTCACTAACAGTCGCGGGAGACCCCCAGCTAACACCACCTAGCAGCACAACTCGTAACTACAAAGCATGCGCGCGCAACAGGTCGTTTCCGGTTATTTTTGGGTCCCCCTTCGTATTATCATTGCATTCGGATTTGAGGTGCTCAAGAGCCCACAAAATAACTTCATGTACCATTTATTCATTCGCTTCCTCTCAATCAAATAAGAGTGAAGCAGCTGGTCCTTCAGATCGACCCCTATCATCGATTTGTTGTAATCTAACATCGAAATGGGTCTGACCACTTTCTTGCCTCTAACTGTAACAGTCCTGGTGTCATGACTGTGACAGGTGATCACAGTCACGATTTTCTTGTTGCTCCTGTTTGTGCTACAATTTCGCCTTTTTTTTTTAGTTTCATGTTTTTCACTTTTAGTGGCACATTCTTGTGGTTCAAACTGAGAGTCGCAGCACAGTCAGTCTTGTTTGTGATTTTCAGTATCTTGGTTAGAGATTATAGACTGAACCAGACCAACAAGTGCTTTCTACTTACGTGATGGGAAAGGGCAGTGTGGTACATGTGCACAAACTTGTTGACAATGTCATAATGTGGAGGAAAGCAGGGCACACAAAGTGTCTTCACCACACGCAGATCTTCAAGAATGAGCTGCCGTGTCAGCTGCAACGAAGAGCAGTCATGTCACTGACAATATGATAGTTGTTCACCTGGTCAGGGCATTGCTCTGATGTCATGCAAGATTCATCAACATGCTCATAACGTCTGTATATGGCCTCATCCTGAGTCACTTCCATTCAATCTGTATGTTCACAAGCAGTTTCTCAACTGTATAGGACAGTTTCTGTCCTGCCATGGATAATCTTGTCTCTGCCCTCGACATATGTCACTCAGCCCATCATGTACTTGTAATGGTCTAAGTCGTGGACTTCACGAGTCTGATCCTGACTTTCCCAGGAAGTTTTGCCCACCTGGGCATATAAATAGAATCCTAAGGTCACGAGATGTGTTACTTGATTTTACAGGCTTAAGAAAATTTGACCTGTTTCATAAAGGTATGGCTTATTGCCATCTGAATATGGGCCCATGCATTATCAGTTTTAGGGATATTCAAATATAAGGTGTGTTAATATGAAACCCATTCAAGCACTGCGCTGAGTGAAGAAGGCCATTAACAATAGTCTCCATGGACAGGAAAGTAACCACCCCACCCATGCACCAGTTAATGGATCCCCTCCTCAAAGAATCCCCAGGGCTGCCGCAGCTGGAATCATTTCACCACCCTCAGACCCAGACCTATACAACATGTCATGGACAGTGCCAGGCCACACAGGGACAGGTGTTGTGGTGGATCACACTGACACACCTCTCACAAGCATACCAAAATGCTTCCTCTTGATGGCAGCCTGACAACAATGTTGCATTCTGATGGTGATGTCATGTGAGGTCCCTGAAGAAACTGGAGGCTTCACTAGCCCATTGCGACGGATTCTGCACCTGGAACACCTCCCATTTCCTGTACTGTGCCCATTCTGTTGCATGGCTAGCAGTTGACTGCCAGTGCATCAAGCACCCAGCCCCATCATCACAACCAACAGCATTCACTAACAGTGGCACAATGGGTTCCAGTCCTCATGTATGTTAAAGCAAGGGGCCAAAAGAGAGAGACAAGACCAACAAAAACAGTTCATCAAACAGTACAGCAAATGTTACAGCAACATTAAGTTACCTCCAGGTAACGAACCAGCCACATCTTGTTATCATTCCGTTCATCCACCTGTGTGCCTTCTATTCGTTGGGCCACAGCTTTCTCCAGGACTTCCATTGCTTTCTCACGCCATTTTTTGGGCCGTCCTGGAGGCAGGAATCCACTCTGTTTTTGCCGCTGTGTACATAAGAACCAAAGGAGCTAACTTCTGAGTTGTAACATGAGTCAACAATTACAATATCACTAAATAATTAGCATCATCAAACATGCCGCTGAGAAGAGAGAAACAGAGACCTGCAGCGCAAAGCCGTCTGCTTTCTCTTCTCTCTCGATGATGCGCAGGGCAGTCACGATGACAGTAGGCTCCTTCCTGACAGTGTTCAGGGTCCTACTGAGCACCAGACGCAGCTGCTTCTCCAGTAGCTGTGACAGCACCTCCACATCCTCAAAGTACGCCTTTAGCATAACTTTGTCTGCAGGGGCCTGGTTCGGAAGCTTGTGTAGCTCGTACAGAAGGTCATCACGAGAGTTTTCCAGATCTGTCAGGCTCTGCAATGTAAGCAGAACATGTACTTCAATTCAACGTACATGACATGGCTCTGACACCAAAGATAGCACTGAGTTTCTAGTAATAATGGAAGAATTGCTCAACACGAAAGGATAATGCTCATTTTCTGTTGTCATATATATAAGCATTTATAAGCCTAGATAGTAGTTATGATTAGGAACAGAAGATGGAAATGTGATGTATGCTTGAGTTGGCATTCCATGTTCACTTCTGTCACAAGAACTCACAGTGTACCCCTAGACAGCAGCAACACCTACAGCACACTGTTATTCTAAAACATTCAGTGTCTTAGTATTAATACAGACATCTTTAAAGAACATTTCAAACTACTTTCTGAGCACATCTTATGCTTCGAATTCAACAATAATACTGACAATTGCAACAACTTCCTGTTGAAATTTCAATGGGCCTCATTTCGCTTAGTGGGGGGTGGCGTCAAACTGGGTCCACTCGGCATGGCGGCCACTGATTGGCCTATTTTACCTGCCCCAGGTGATTATGATGATGGAGAATTTGGTGGAAAGGAGACCAAACTACTCGGAGAAAACCCGCCCCAGCGCCACTTTGTCCACCACAAATCCCACTTGACCAGGCCCGGGATCAAACCCGGGCCGCCAAGGTGGGAAGCCAGTGACTAACCACTTGAGCTATGGTGCAGCCATAATGGGCCTTATATTCCATCTGGTGACAGAGCAAAGTGGTGTAAACTTTGGAAAACACAAGTCTCGCATGCACAGGCACCATCCTGTTCTGTGCTGACTGTGCACCTGGTGTGTATGCAGCAGTTTCCCTTCGCTGATCCACTGCTTCGTCTTCTCAACACTCTCAGGCACTGTGAAGATGTGCTTCAGGTTCTCCATGGCCGTCACGTACTGCGAGTGTCTCATGTTCTCATCACGGACATCTTGCAGCTTTGCATAGAGTCCTGGCACAGCTGCAAACGATTCTTCAATCCACTTAAGGCTGAAAAGAAATATTCAAAAAAGTGCATAACTGTCATACCCGAAACATGTTGCCTTCTAGGAAGTAACACTGCATATTCTAGTAGCCTGGAACAAGTCCAGTGATGTTCTGAAGGCATGTACTGCTCCATCTTCATGACCAAAGAGTTAGCCCAGTAAAAAATTAGCAAGAAGCTGATGGCAAGCACAGTTCCAAAACGTTGGTGGACTTCTACCAGACTACACGGCATCACATCCCAGAAGCTAGTATTCCTCACAGTCACTTCCATGAGAATATCAAATCCAAAGTTTTTCATTTTCATTGTAAGTAAGGAATTCCTTGACATCATTCTCCTAATTTCCAGGATTTGGGTTCCTTTGTTCATTTTTAAAATTATTTTATTGTGCTGTATCAACTGCAAATATTATACAGCACAGCTCAGTTAGTTTAGTGACTAGGCTACCAAGAGGACAAACAAAGCACTGGAGTTTGCTTCACAGCAAATGCAGACTTTTTACTTCTACATTATGTCAAAATGGATTTGAGGCCCACTCAGTCTCCTAACCAAAGGGTACTAGAGCCTCTTTCCAAGAGGCAAGCAGTGGGACATGAAACTGAATACTCAGGTCTATTCACTGGTGATGGTTATGAAAGCATACAACTGTGCTCTTACTGCATCACATCTTCAAGGAATGGTCCTCAACTGTCCAGGCCAAAGTTTAGTCACTACAACTACTGAACTATCCTGGCTCTATTAAAGCTTCTTAGAAATTGCAGAAGACCACCAGGGATAAAAAATGAGCACCAAGGTTTTGAAAATCTGAACAATTTACAGAATTTGTGTCCATAAGGATAACATGTTACATTCCATACTTCTGCTTAATTTCTCCGATCTCGTGAAGGGCGATCTGCAACTGGTTGAGGCCAACACGAACCCCATCCAGCTGACTCTGCATTGCAGACTTCAGCATGGCCTCCACTGATGCCTTCTTGCGACTCACCCTCCTCTTATACTGCTCCACCTGCCACGAGAAATGTCAAGGAATGTCAAGTGAGCATCACAGCATTATAACAGGGCACACCTCATTACCCACAGACTGGAAGTGATTTTGAATTTGTTAAGGCAGCCATATCTCCGTGCACTGGTATCATGCACAGTGCCAGAATATGCGGCAAAGAAATACCTACAGAAACAGAAAGAAAATATGAATATATCTCAAACAGTTACTGCAGCACTGCAGTTCTGCAAAATAACATCCTTCAATATATTTTCATGATCCTCTGTCAGAAGGCTTCTGACATCATAATTTTCCCACACAGGTCTAATGTCAAAACCATTCTGTACCAACATTTCAGCCATATGCTGTGTTACAGCTCTGTTCTATATTTTCTTTGACAAGTTTTCTAGTAGTATGTGTACAGGACAAAGAGATGGTAGGAATTTCATATTTTCCCATGGCAAAGTGTCCTTTTTTCAATTTCTGTACAAATTAATTTGTAGCTGGCAGGAGTAAGGGTTGCAAATACAAAGAATTGGATCAGGTTCAAGGATTGGTATGCTGGTAACTTTCTTCTCTGGAAGAATATACATATATATTATATGGCCTTCATTAATTTGGTCTAGCCCTTGAATAACATATATAGTATAGTAAATTTTCATGTGAATTGCAATGAATCCGGAACCTAGCACAGAATTCTGGTCTTGTACAGGATATCTGACCAAACAAAATTCACCCAAGCATATCTATTCTAGGTTCATTTTGTTTCCACACTCTGTTCACAATGCAGGCATAAAAACAACACAGAGATGACAGGTAACAGTGTGCTCATTTTTTGCTGCCTGAAAGGTCTGAGACATATTTTTTGCAGGTTACACACAATATCCCTCCTTACTGCAATAACAGCTAACAAGAGGACACTGCAGAAGACAGTGCTGTGAAACATGCTTTCAGCTCATTTTGCTATCTGCCTCATGTTTCTTTACATGAACTCCATGTGCATTCCAAACAAAGTATAGCCACAGATCAAATCTTCACTGAAGAACCAGAAGCAAGACCATTTTTCAGCAATTATTATGGACATGACTGGAGAGACTAACGAAACACAAGTCAGACATTTCACTGGCAAAAATTCAAATTCAGATATTCCTGATGGTAAGCCTATCTTCCAATCGAGTTTTATGCAAACAAATCAATTTATGTTGAAGTTATGCTGCCCTGCAAGGAAGACACGGTGACTCACCTTTTCCAGTTGGCCGGGTCGCTGAAGCATGTTGATAACATGTTTTGCTGCTGTGGCTTTCGCCTCTGCTTCCAGCTGTTCAACATCCATCTCGACACAATTTATTTCTAAAAAGAAAAAACATGCAAAGAATTTTCTGCATACAGAATTACTGGGTTTTTGGACCTTTTCGAACATCTGGAATTCTAGGTAATAGAGGACACTGGACCAGTGATTCAGATTAACTCTTTCTATGGGGCCCACCTGAGTAGTTCCTTTCCCACCTGAAGATGGAAACAGATCCAGTTTCCGAAATGTCGTGTCCTCTATTACCTAGAATTCCGGACAATGGAAAAAGTCCAAAAACCCAGTAATTCTGTGTGTCATCCACCATCATCGGAATCCTTTAGAATCTACCACTTCCTGCATCTTGATTCTTGACTGATCTATTTAACAAAGCATTACCAGCTATACAGGTTACAAGGCACTGAATGAAACCGAATGACCATGAGAACACTCAGCCACCAGAGTTGACATATGCAACGACACTGCACCAAAGTATGTGGGATTTGAGGTTGTTCCCAAATATGAAGCAGAAGGAACCACTGCTCAATTCTAAAATAATCATGAAGACCTTGTAATCTCATGAGACAATACCGGAGGATCCTCTGTCTGATCCATGGTGGCACCTGGATGCAGGGTTTTCTGTTCACAAATAAACACCTCCTGCCAGAAGAAAAACTTTTGAAATGTGAAGATTATAATCTTCACATTTCAAAAGTGATAATTATCAGCCCACTTCCCAAACTGATTCAAGGCGAACATTAGGCTGCAGGTTCTGACTACTGATCAGCGTGCTCAGTTGAGAAAAGCATTCTATAGGTCGAGGGAGGCCAGGAAGGTCCAACAGAACATATTTGGAGGCACCATACATAAATCAGGCCACCAACCAAATTTTAATCAATGCTGAACCAAGACAAAAATCTACCTTTCCTGTTGTACCAGAGAATAGTACATGGCTGAATATCATAACGCCTTGGCATGATTGCAGTCAAGCAGTTGGAGGTTCATCGGTCTGCATAATACCAGTTAAAAAAAAGAAAAGAAAACATATATATAATTTTAGTTGTGTGACTTATGTAATTTATTACATGTATACATCTATTATCAAAGGGACTATTTCCACATCTTCGGTTTTTTGCCTGTATAGATATATGGAAAATAAAGGAAATGAATGAATGAATGAATGAAAATAATAACAAATATCAATTCAGTCTCTCCTAGTGGAGAATTGAAACCGCGGTCTCACGGATACAAAACAGGGGTGCTAACCTCACCACAACGTTTGGTGACAGGCATGAATAATGGCTGCTTATAACCTCGAAATTATGCAAGTACAATTTTGGCTGTTCACATTAACTTCGTGTTATGTTTTGGTTGTAATCTTTCTCTCGTAAGACAACTATGCTTTACTGCGTACACCCACACATAGCACAGCGTATTTCCCACTTCACAGTCGTGACAATGAAACATCAACTGTAAAACAACAAATCCGTACATTCCATTTTCTCTGTTCCATACCTAATTTTGAAAACTGCTTTCATCTATATATCCTAAGTTACAAATTCAGACTATACACCTGATTTAATATAAAATTATCATTTAATTCCGCGCCCCACAAACACCGAAACAAACAACATGAAATTAATTCAGTATCCGAATAACAGCGTGAAGGTAGAGATCGTTTACCTATACAAATAAAGCATAAACATATTTTACAAAAAAACAAAAGTTAAAGTCATGTAGGAGAAAGACAACTAAATTAGAAGTCCGGTCATAAAACCATGTAAATCAGACACAATTTGGTTATAAAATACCGTAAATCAGAATAGCATGTTTCTTAAACGTACATCACAGAAAATATCGAATTTGAATTATACTGCTCCAAATCGAGTAGATATGACACAAATTTAAGTTTAGACTACTGCTATGATCGCCAACTGTTATATTGCTTTTATTGATAGTAATCTGTCATAAGAAGAACTTGCTACAATAAGCATTTGCAAAATTAATTATCAATAGATTTATGATCGCTGAACTAAATCACTGAGCAATCTACAGGTTAATGCTCTCAATTAATACGAAGTTAATGTAAAGAGATACAGTGGTAAAAATTTGCAAAGGGATTACTCATGCTCTAAAATTAGGCAGCTGGGTATATTGTAGACTTACAACACTCATAACAAGAATGCTAAGATGAACAATACAAACTACACACTGCCCTTTCTGTGCATAAAAAAGTATATAAAATAAAATGGCCAATGCACAACAAATCATCACTTACTTACATACTTAAGAACCTTATACTAGCGTTGTAATTACGCACTATATCATCCTTTGTATAGTCCTCAATCATCACTTGATCAGGCCAAACTATGTTGCTAGTTGAATAATAGAAATGTGTGTGTGAATGAAATCCCTCCATTTTTGGCTCATACAGTCGTTTATAATGACAGTTTACCAACACTTTTCATCCACAAAAAACATTTTTTAATTGTAGTAGCATAAATATTTATCAAATATGTTAAAAGGGCACTTACCTGTCACTTGTTAGTAACTTACGTATTTTGATTCTGGAGTTTAAAGTGTACTTTAGAAACAATTAACCTTTCAAGGATCATACACATGATCTGCAAAAAATTATAGGACTTAAATAGCATAACCAAATGCAGCTGAAGTTGCAGTGAACAGGCATGTAACCATTTTAAAATGGTAAGATTCACTTCAGTTCAAGACTTGAATATTCAAAACTTATGTACTGTTACCAACTAGTACATAAAAAGCTAACAAAAAGTTAACAAACATAATTGTGTGATCTGCATAATGGATTTGTAGAGGGAAAAAATTGGATTGTAAGAGAGAAATTATGAGCAGAATGTGATATATGTATGACTTTTACAATTATCAGTTCATCTCGCAGTGTTTTATTAATACTTTCTGAAAAAGAGAAATATTACAATATTTACTTCCTCAACAAGCCACATACATGGCTTGCTTCTAATGCTGCCTGCTTGGCTTATGCATCAATTCTGGAGATGAAAGCAATGTGCCCCTTTGAAATGTAGTTAAACTTCTACCAGACTATATGGTGTCATTCATATCCAGATGGTACTTGACACAGTCATTGCTGTGAGTTCAACAAACACTGTTTTAGTGCACTGCAGTTAAATCTTGGCTATGAATCTGATGGTTCCTTACATCCATCCCTTTTACCACTCCAAACACCCATGTCACCATATCATCAGGCTGAAATGAAAACTCAAGTACATTTAACTAACTGGTGCATCTTCAAGTATCCCGATTGTAAAAATGTCTTTCCACATTTATCACACTCGAAAGATTTCTTAATTCTGTGCTTAAGTTCATGCTTCTTGAGAGCATGAACTGCACTCACTACAACATAACGGTTTCTCTCCAGTTTGTGTTCGTATATGCAACCTCACACCTTGCAAAACACGAAATTTGCGCGTGCAGAAGTTGCATGAATAAGGCTTCTCGCCAGTATGGATCCGGTAATAAACGGTTATTTTGAACTGAAAAAAGTTTTGCCGCATTCTTTACATACATACGGTTTCTCGCCAGAATGTATTCTGGCATGGATTGCAAGGTGGCTCTGTCTTGAGAAATATCTACCACACTGTTTACAAGAAAATGGTTTCTCATTATGAATTTTGCTGTGTGTTTTGAGAATATGTTCAGTAGCAAATATCTTATTAAAAATTCTGCACTGACATGACTTTCCATCACTGTGTTGACTATGCAAATGTCTCTGGAGACTTCTTGATTCTGTGAAGTGTTTACCACATATATTACACAGAAATGGTGTTTCTCCAGTATGATGAACTTTGTGTTGATACAAGTGTTCCTTTGTAGCCGGCAGTGTGCAACATTCATTACATTCAAACAGCATTTTATCCTTGCAAGTGCATTTGTACTTTTTTAATACATTGCAGGCTGAAAACCATTTTCCACAGTCAGTACACAATTGTGTGTAGTCCCCTTCATATCTTGTATGTGGTTCAGGCTTAACTTCACACGTTCCTGCACAACACCTTAAGCATGTTTCAGAACTCTGTGCTGGGTCAGATAAGAACTGGAAACCACATGTGGTGCATACAGAACTGATGTATTCTTCCTGTATGCAGTGAAGCTGAAGCCTGGAGTCCACCAGTACTGCCAGATCCTTCGTGCTGATGGCACAGCTCATCCCAACTGCATTGCAAACGGTCAGAAATTCATACATCTAACTACAAGATAAACGTTACTGAATAGAGTTATTTTTTTATTATTCTCTCCATGGCTTTGTTAAATACATACGAGTATATCAGTCTGTGTTCTGGAACAAACCAATTCTCTATTTTTATTTTACCCATTCTGTTAGTAAATTGAATTATCTGGGAAAGGGGTGGATACATTTGATTTTTAATCTGTAATGTTTCTCACCATCTGCCCTTCCAAAAAGTGCCTTTTTCTTCATATTTTCAGGTTCAGGTCCAAGGAACACAGCTCACTAAATATTGTGACTAGGCAATGGGCTGGATGACAGGAGATTCAGGGTTTGATTTCTGACAGGGCACAGATTTCTCTCTTCATTCCCACATCCCGACTAACTCTGGGGCACACCCAGCCTTCTACTCAACGTGCACCAGAGGCTCTTTTCATGGACAAAGCTGTCATAGTGTAAAGCCTTCCATGTATCTCCATTCAGTGCCAGGTTAAGTATGCTTAGAGCTTTACCTCCACCCCTTCCTCCAAGTTCATTGAATGGTGCTTAATTACACGCAGCAAAAACTTTAAACATTTTATATTTACTGTCTTCACCACTCAGCTTACAAAATATTCCACAGTAATGGATACAAGGTTGGACATTACTAGCTGACTGTTCTGTTTACTTCATGGACAGAAAATCCAAGACAGCCTCAAATAAATTCTGCCAATGACCACTGCATTACTGACTTATCATATCCACAACTTGTGTGTAATCGAACTAGACAAAGAGACCACTTTCATTTATGCATAAATATACATATAACTCATCAAATACTATATAGTGTCCAGATGAAAGGTATTCAAAATAAAAAATGTATCTCAGAAACTGTCATACATGTATCTGGTTTATATCATTGGAAAGGAAAATTCTGAATTTTTTTCATGCCTGGCTTATGCACATGCACCGCCAATTAAGCTTAGCTTAACACACACTAGGAGTGTATACTGCGTAACTCTCTTCTTGCAGGAAATAGGACGCCATGTGCTGGAGAAAACACAGCAGGGACTATGGGATATGGAGCCGAGGTGGTGGGAGTGGTGCTGCTAGAAACCAGTGTATCTGGGAGGTCTTGTGACCGGCCAATTCGATCAAGGTTTTCCGTGGTTTTCCTTGGTCCCAGAGCAAATGCTGAGTTGGTACCCAAATTCCACGTTGCACTGCATGCTTCACATGCAGCCCCCCGCAATAGTAACATCATGAAACTTATTATACTATAACTACACAAGAATGACATGTCTTATATCATGTATAATGATCCATGGACATGAAATAAATGAAATGAAACATTTCTGTTACCACATTAGGTATCACCTGGACAGACAGATGGCTGAGAAATGGATCAACAGAAGTGGATCAATCACTTGGCCCCCTAGGTCACCAGATTTAACCCCACTGGATTTTCCTTGTGGTGTTATGCGAAGAACATTGTCTACCAGGATAAGATCAACAACCTTCAGCACCTGAAAGCCCACATAAGAGACACTGTGGCTATGGTAGCACCAAACATGCTTCAAGCCTGGATATTTGTCATGCCACCAAGGCAGTCCATACTGAAATTTATTGAGAAAATTATACTCAGAAAAAACTTTTTGATAGTTTCACTTTGTAATGATGTAACTCATAAATGTGTATATTAAATGTTTTCGGAGATACAATTATTTTATTTTGGATACCTTCCATCTGGACAACCTGTATCAGTATTTGAACCATGAACCTACTAAAAATCAGCCCAGAGGATGTCTGTACAATACAAGACAATCAATAAGCAGTTCAGTCACCTGACTGAGCTTAACCCATCTGCATTCACCTCTTCTTCTTCTACTGTAATTTCTTCTTTTATCTCTGTCTTCACAGTCATTACTTCCTAATGAATATTCATAAAGCAAATTATGTGTCCTTCTAGTTATATAAGCAGATAACATCAGTCTTCTGGGATGTGACACCATATGGTTTGACTAATATAAATCAACATTTTAGAAAAAACTGCAACCCCCTTCTTCAGGTTATAGTTGGTACTGCACTAGCAAACTATGTGATGTCACATACTAGAAGACAGTAACCTTAACTTATGATTTGTTATGTAAGGCATTTTTATATTTTCCTTTTAAATGAGCTGTAACTGAACACATGTAAGTTTACTCTTAAGGCAGTGTACCTTTATCTGGAAACTATTTAAGGTTTACTGCTCTGATTATAAACCATTTACCCCCCTCACAAAATTAAGCTGCATGTGTACCATTTGCTATTCTTCTACAATCTCAGCAGCCTCACATACTTCATAAATGTCGTACTCAGTACACTGAATTAACATAAATTAAACGATATTAAACTATCTTAAACGTGAGATTAGATGTTAGGGCATAAATATTAGTCTGAGCTTGAATTCATTAAGTAGAAAGACAGAATTTGCAAGGCAAGTGATAACCACTGTCACACTGATTCTGATGAAGTTTTAAATGGGAAATGTACGTATTTAAAATTTCAAATTTATTTTTCATTCTACAAATCCATGTATGAAAGCCTGTTAGATACCGAATGTCATACACCTTACAATAAATGTGGAATTAATTATTAATTCAAAGTCTTGTTTTATAGATTACGAAAGGTATAGAATACAAATACTACAACATTAATGATTAACTTATTCGAAGTATAAAATAAAAAAAAACATAGTTAATAACTATTTCTTGCAGGGCTAAAATGTTTTAGTGTTTAAATCCATCAAATATTTAATTTATTCAATATCCAAACACGAACTGCATGCGACTAATTACCATATTTTCGCCTTCCTCTATGGTCACCGCTTGTTTTATTTTAATGAAATGCGTATCATCCTCGAAGAACATTGTTACAAATTAAACGCATTTCAGAAACTCGTCACTACCATTTCCGACCTATCTTTTCCAATACTGGAAAGTATTAAAAACTTGACGATTATTAAACAGTACTGAAAGTATGATTTATTCGGGTATGTTCTGAACTGCCCCTGAGATCCTTCGACAGGCCATGTACCTTTAAAATGTCCCACAAAAAATCCTGTAGTTGTTAATGACAGCTAATTACATATAAATTCGACTATTTCATCTGACTACATTACCATACAAATTTTAATTACTTATTGATGTAATTCTATGCTCAAACATCACAAAGCATATATTTTTGTACTGGCTTATTTAATTTTTTTGTAAACACTAAATTTTGTCACATGTAGGAAATTGAAAAAGCTACAAAAGTCTTTGCATTTAAGTAAGTATTAATAGGCTCATAACATAATGGATGAGATAGAAAGAAACATTTATCATTTAAGGCAATAAATATGTTGAAGATTCTGGTTAGGAAACCTCCAGGAAACAGTTTGCTTCACATTATTAAAAGAAGATTGAATATTAAAATGTACCTTGCCATACAAATAGATCAGTGAATTGAAATGACTGAAAGTAAATGTCCAGTGGCTGGAATTTGAGATGTCGATTTTGTTCCATTACAGCAGAAAATTTATTGAACTTATAATTTGCCTACTAGCCAAACTACTTAGTAATCAGCCCTATAAATTTCAAATATTATTTGCCCTGTTCGCATTACTTCAACTGAGGATTTTGGTTCATCCTGTCCCAATGTGCAGCTTATTCCAACATCAAAGACGGAAGCTTCCTGTGCAACACTGGTGTCATTTACCAGACTACTCAACATATGATAGGAGTACAGCCTATTAATGCTGTTACTTCCGTTGACTTTGACACTACTAAAAAGTCTGCTATACCTGAGTTTTGAGGGGGAAAAAAAGTCCTTTACAGCATTCAAGGAACATCTACACGATCTACACTAAGAGGGTTTTGTAGTGTTTAGCCTAGCATGCAGTTTGAAATCCCAACTCTTCTACAGTGTCAGGTCAAGCTAACAGTTAAATACAGCCCTGTACCATGTAGCTGTATATCTTAAACAGTTTGAATACACAGATCATAAACTTTATTATACATTTAGGGTAAATAAATAAATACTAAATGGATATCCGTTGCTGGAGACATATCCTTGTTTTTTTATTTCACAAAATATTTTCTTACATAACCTGCACTGAAACACATTCACACATACATTCACACACACACATACATTCAATGAGATATATTATTACAAGATTTGGAAAATACTGGGTAATCCTCCATTACTTCCCTCCAAATACATTAAATAAAGACAGAATAAAAATTATGAGAAACTATAACTATTGTTTTTGCATTCACTAAATCTGAAATCTATTTTCATGCTCTAACAAATTCATACTCCAAAATGATTCTTCAGAAATATATCCTATGACTGTCGTTTTTCAATAATTTATAATTTTTGTGGTTTAAATATGTTACAAAAGCTGACACCCATTTTGAGAGAAGTAACAATTTTCAAATTTCTATGGTGATTACAGGCCACTACACTGTGGCAATCATATACATATCTATGAATAGACATATGTAATCTGTCAGGAATGTGTACAAAACTTGGTCTATGGGTGCAAATATGCAATGATATATGTTTGTCTACATATTTAAACTTTCATGAATCATCAGCACCATCAAAGCCAGAGTATAATCACACAATGTGCTGTACAAAATATCTTCTTAAATTTTTATATTTTAAATATAATCTAGAAGCATAATTTCACATATGCAGAGCAACAATGCATGCATAACATTTCTCATAAGTATCAAATCTAAACAGTCTCACTCTGACATTGAGTCACTAAGTGAGTCGTCTGGAGGCTCTGTTTTTGTGACAACATTATTAGGAGGCAGAGAAGCTGGAAGATCCGGAAGCACAGATTCTGTGACTGGAACATCTGGAAGCACAGATTCTGTGTTCGTATCACTTACAAGTGAGGAGTCTATGGTTATCCTAACTGCAGGCCTAGATGCTCTGTTTGGAGCTGGCTGTTTGATTATTTTATGTACATGCAAAGAATGTGTGTTGAGGTTAGATTTACTTGAAAACTGTGATTTACATATGGCACAAGTGTATCGCCTACCTCCAGTATGAATATAAGAATGTGTTCGTAAATTACTATTAGACCTGAATCGCTTCTTGCAAACATCACATTCATATGGTTTTTCTCCAGAATGAATATAAGAATGTGTAACAAGTGTAGAACTATTTGCAAAAAATTTGTTGCACACAGTGCACTGGTATTTCTTCTCTCCAGTGTGAATTCTCGCATGACTTGTGAGGGCGCTACTTGAACTGAAGCGTTTTTCGCAAACATCACAAGAATATGGTTTTTCCCCTGTGTGAATACGTATATGAAGATTAAGATTTGGGCGATGTGAAAATCTTTTGTCACATATATTACAGGCATAGGGCTTTTCTTCGGCATGAATACGAGAATGAGTTTTCAGCTTACAAACATCTGAAAATCTTTTCTCACACACTGTACACTGATATTCTTTCTTTCCCGAATGAACGCGAAGTGAATGCAAATTCAAAGACGAAGTAGTAGAGAACACCTTTTCACACACTTTGCACTGATAACTTTTACCGCCTGTATGAATGTAGGTATGCATTTTAAGATTACTGCTAGAACGGAAACATTTTTTACACGTTTGGCATTGATAGGGTTTCTCTCCAGTATGTATACGTAAATGAGTGTTAAGAATCGAAGTAGTAGAAAAAACTTTATCGCACACGGTGCAATGATATCGTTTCTCTCCAGTGTGAACGCGAATATGGGTTTTAAGACCACTATTATGAGTGAACCGCTTACTACAAATATGACATTCATATGGCTTTTCACCAGTATGAATCCGCAAATGTCCGATCAAGTAAGCGTTATGCGGGAATCGCTTTAGACATACGTGGCACTGATAAGGCATATCTCCAGTGTGCATCAGACAATGGGTCTTCAGGTTTCCCTTTTCCGAAAATCTTCTGTTGCAATATTTGCACTCATAAGGCTTCCCCCCATTGTGTTCAACACAATGCCGTTTGAGATCACCATACCTTGAAAAGCCATCACCACATACATTACACTTGTATGGTTTCCCCTCATTGTGTACTCGTAAATGTTTCATTAAATACTCATGTTTTGGAAATTCCTTTTTACAGAATTCGCATGAAAATGAATTTTCCACTGAACCAGACATATCTTCCTCCCCATGTAAGCTATCTTTCTGCTTTGCAAATGAACTTCCCCCTGCAATACAATTTTTACAAAGGACATTGGAACTATTCTGTGCCAGTTTATCAGCTGACATCCTTTTAACTTCTGTGCCACATTGACTACAAACTTGATCACGGCGTTCATCATTCTGCTGGATGTAGTGACCCGTATATCTGAACTGCTGTGCGTTTGACAATCGTCCACTATTGCCACCAGCAAAATCTTGTTTGTTTAAGTCTTCCAATCTGTGGTGTACAGAAATATAATAGTTAACACACATAAAATAAAAAAGTCAGACCTTGAAAATGTCTCATGTATCATAGAGAAATGTAATATAGATATATACATAACCCCCCCCCAAATTTAGGTTCCTTCATGTGTCTCAATTTCTTAATTAACTGAACAAAATCTATACTAGAAAGATGGAAGTACCAATTTCAACTTTACTTTTTTATATGATCACAATTCTGTTTATCATTCAAGGCTGAGATCAGTCCTCACACAAATTTATATAAAAAACTTGTAGTTTTTTCTAAATATGACTACACATTTTGAATGTAAACAGCCATTAGGTGGACTACATAAAATAGTAATACAAAATGCAGTATAGGTTTTTGATTATTTTGTGTGATGGCTGATCTCAAACTGGGTTGTACCTTGTGTCATCTTGAAAGTGGATATGTTTTGGAGTAACATCCTACCTCCATGTTCAGGGTGAAAGGGAGCAGCGTGAAGATGTGAGCAGGTATTTCGTAGGTTACCTGTAACCACCAGGTTCCATCTCCTTCTGCCCTCCAACAGTTCTGATCACCTTTCTTGTAACTTGTATGTATAAACTGACCACATTCTCACCCAGCTCTGGCTCTGAGGATAGATGTAGCATGTTCCTCCAAAATGTCCTTACCAGTCTCTAAGACCACATGGTTTCACACACCACATGACAAAAATCTCAATAAACACCACCGTGAAACCTCAAAATGCATGCAACAAAGTCAATAACCATAAACTGAAAAGTTCAAGAGTATAGTATTAACAAATGCAGACCCAGCTACAAGCTATGCTACATTATTTCATCAATAAACTGAAAATATCAACCTATTTAAGAGAAACATAATAACTATTTCACACACTCCTTAGTGCTGGCTATCACTACAATATAGAGACAGTCATGTACTGCTTGCTTACTTACTCACTCATGGAGCTGAGCCCTTCTGGAAGAGCCGCCAATTCTGCAGCTACTCAAGAATTTCCTAGCATTTTATGGAACCCGAAGATTCATTACCATGTTCACAAGAGCCCTCCAATGGTCCCTATCCTGAGCCAGAACAATCCAGTCAATACCATCCCATCCTATCTAAGATCCATTTTAATATTGTCCACCCACATATACCTTGCTCTTCCCAGTGGTCTCTTTCCTTCTGGCTTTCCCACCAATATCCTATATGCATTCCTCGTCTCCCCCATTTGTGCTACATGCCCTGCCAAACTCATCCTCCTTGACTTGATCATTCTAATTATACTTGGAGAAGAGTACAAGTTATGAAGCTCCTCTTTATGCAGTTTTCTCCAACCTCCTGTCACTTCATCTCTCTTCGGTCCAAATATTCTCAACACCCTGTTCTCAAATACCCTCAGTCTATGTTCCTCCCTTAATGTCAGAGACCAAGTTTCACACCCATACAGAACCACAGGCAAAATTATAGTTTTTTATATTCTAATTTTTATGTTTTTGGACAGCAGACGAGAAGACACCCTTTATATAATATCCAGAACCCTTTTAATTCCCAAATCTTCTGTCAAAATTCGCTGAACTGAGCTCCAAGTCACTCCCGACAGCTCCAGAATTTCTTCAATGGTCCGTCGTCGATCTTCCTTGATGATTTCACGAATTTTTTCAACATTTTCATGTGTTTGGGCCGTGGAAGGATGACCAGAAAGAGGTCTGTCATCAATTGACATTTCACCATTTTTGAAACGGGAAAACCACTCAAACACTTGAGTTTTCCCCATAGCATCGTCCTTGTACGCCGTTTTTAACATTTCAAGAGCTTCTGTTCCACTTTTCCTGAGCAAAAAGCAGAATTTCACTGCCGCACGCTGTTCACGAAAATCAGCCATTGCAAAAAGACGATCACACAAAACAGTTGTCACTATAAACTCTGCCGAAACTAGTCCTTACCTTCTGAAGCAACGGTAGTCAGCTTATCGACTCAGGAATGTTAGCTTTATGCGCTCATAGTGGCAAGACGCGGTACTACAAAAGCTCTGCCCACAAACAAATTAGTTCGGTTTCTTTTGGGTACCCCATCGTACAGTTCTCTAATGTTCTTGTTCTTACCGTACATTGCGAGCACATCAATTTTGTCTTTTAGATATTCCCTTTTTGTTCCTGAAATTCCTGCTGGTTTCACGTCTTATATTGTTCACATTATCCCCATTTAACTCGCTTGAATCCTGTAACCATTGCAATTTGGCTTGTTTTCTTTTATCTAATAATTGTGAGCATCCTTCATCGAACCATGGCTTATGCTTCTTCTGTTCATAATAACCTAGACTCTCTCTGGCAGACATTCTTATATTCTCTCTAATAGTTTCCCAAGCTTTATTAACATCCACCTCAGATTCCAAGTTTTCCAAAGCCGCGAACGTATTTGAGATATCAACACAATACTGCTCTTTACCCTCTACCTCATTTAATTTCTTGAGACTGAACCTCTTCATATGAACTCTGTGCATTATTTGTTTGCTCACAGCCAGTCTCTCTTTAACCTCTGCCACCACCAGGTAGTGGTCAGTATCACAATCTGCTGCCCTGAATGATCAGACATCACGTATACTTGAGTGCTGTCTCCTATCTATCAAAATATGGTATATTTGATTGTGTATCTTCCCATCAGGAGATGTCCAAGTAAATTTATGGATGTTATGATGTGGGAACATTGTGTACTGCTACTACTATCAATCCTGGCAAAATGGGCAGTTCCTGCTATAAGTGTTTATAAAAGCAAACAGATATCACAAGTTCATGATGAAAGGCTCGAATGTGTATATCAAAGTTCCTCAAACAGGACCACTTAAATATTCCCTTCAGTATACCTCTGTTTGCAAATAGACTTGACTGCAAAACAATTACAAAATCCAATAGAGATGTACCCTTTACAAATCTCACACAGATGTGTAGTGCTAGTTCTCAATGATTATGATCTCAAGTCCTACAGTTTCTGTAACCCAAAGTGACAAAGAATTAAATATCAATATCAGAAGTGTCGATATGAGCATATTCCTCTTACCTGACTTCAACTCTCTCTTGCATATATTCACTTTCCTCAGAAGACATATCATCCTTCACGACTTGGGCTTCTGCTGCATCAAACTAATTAAACACAACAAATTATGACAGTACATCCACACTGTACTGCATAGGCTAACTGAAAAGTCAGCTACCAGAGGGCAATGAGTTCAGCTGTATGTAAAAAATGAATATCTGAAACAAGTTTATTATTATTCAGTCAACACAACTACAGTCAACTCTCGATTATCCGGGATAATGGTGGGGATGGAAATCACCATTAATCGAAAACCCAGTTAAGACAAATTTTATTAAAAGTAGTACTGTAATACTGTACCTTCATAATACTATAGGCCTACCTGCATTTAAATTTATTCAACCTCATTTTTATGTCATCTCATGGCCTATTTAATACTTTTTTTACATTACACTGAAGTATGAATTAGTTATTTCAATCACAGTCTTCGACAACATCCAACACTTTTTACGAACATTCACACTTAACACTTAAAAAAATTTAATATTGTCGTTTACTTTTTCACGGCATTTTCCTTTTTCTGTTGAATACTTAACACAACACGCTTCCTTTTACAGACTGACATTTTGCTAACGCACTTGAAGATCAATACAAAGATACTAACTGGGGCGATGTATCTGTCCTTGAAACTTTCCACAAATCCTTGCATTCTTTCACCCCTACCCTAGAACATTGTGTTAGCATAACGGGACCAAAGAATGCAGAGCTCGGTTCACACTAGTGCGAAAATAGTGTTACAACTCGCCATGTGAAACAAAAGTGAATGAATGTTAAACAACATATAAGCCTCAAAAAAGCGTCAGTAGCCCCGGTTAAGCCGCAAACCGGTTAATCCGCCCCCGGATAATCGAGAGTTGACTGTATGATATAAACACACCACGCATTTGCATGTACTATATGTGTCAGTCTGTTGCGGCCATCATCAGGTATACGAGTACAGAGCGTTTACAGTCACCCTTCCTTCTACCTGCTACACCTCCCTACACTGGCCAGTACATGCAAATGCATGGTGTTCCTATACCAGACTTGTGTCAACTCAATAATAATAAACACTGTCTTACACACGGTTGAGGCACTACGCTACAAGCTGGAAGGTCGCGGGTTCAAGTCCCGATGAGGCCATTGGATTTTTTTTCAACTGACCTAATCCTTCCAGCTGCACTATGGCCCTGGGGTCGACACAGACTCTAACAGAAATGAGTACCAGGAATTAATTTAATAATTTTCCTGGGGAGCAAAGCACAGCTGGCACATAGGGCTGACAACCGTACCACAATCTCTGAGCCGATTTTCTAGATAATGTGGGACCCTCAACATCTCAAAACCCTATGGGCCTTCATGGCTTGTTACACAATACAACTCTACAGTATAGTATCTTAAACAAGTGATTAGAAGAAAAACATAATTTCATTATCTGTTTATTTTGAGCAATGAAAACCACAGCTTCAAAAAAAATGCATCATAATGATTCAGTAAATTAAAATAATCAACACATAAAGACTTATAAAAATATCACTCTTAAAATGATGTAACATGTCACCAGACAAAAACAAAATTCAGCCAAACTTTCTGTTTATTTACTTCATCATGAGAGAAATGCTGTGACAGAGAATGTGAAAAATAAATCTCACCTTTGATTCATTCTTGACTGCACCAAACATCTCGTCATCTGGTGCGTCTTTCTGTGATGTGTCTGCATGATACTCAGTCTTAACAATAGGAAACATGACTGCTTCTGCTATCTCCTCATCTGGGGCATCACTAATGTCATCATCACTCCTCGTCTCTTCGTCATTGTCATCATCATCTGCCATGTGCTCTTCTTTCACTTTGACAAACTGAGGCTCATACTCCCTGTCACTCTCTGCATCAGGGTCACTTTTAACACCATCCATTTCTAGGTCTGAAATAATTTCAGGCAACATGTTTACCATTTTCATTGCTTATGATCCAGTCTCAGTAACACTTTGAGGCAGATTTCTTATTGAAGAGTTCTATCTTTTGGGATATGGTGCTGTTTACTCCACTGAATGTCAGCTGACATTTGAGGGGAATATGTTGCCTCAGTCTTCAGGGTTGAGGAGTAAGCCAACTTTCAACAGACTACACAGCATTATAACCACAGTTGTAAGAACCTCAGATCCTACACAGGTTTTGTATTGTGTGTTTTTATTAATTATTATTATTAATATACAGCCTAGACTCTAACAGCATAGTTAGACATGAGCACTTCTTTCACCTGACAAAGGAAGAACACAGAAAACTTAGAATAGAAATAAAAGAAAACCAGTAACCACAAGACATCAGAGTTTTTCTGCCACACTATTTTCAGTTCTTAAGAAAACCCAAGAACTGGATAATGCAAAATAATCCAGTCATCTACATGTTGATGTAAAAACTATCTGCATATAATACAGTTTTAAGAATAGCTCAAACTGCCAGCACAGTATTTATATAACATATTCCACATCCTATAGTCAGGAAATGCAATGCAATGCAATGTAACAAATTCAGTATATCCTATAGGTACATAAGGCAGGGGATGCAAGTAGTAACAGGGGAGGAGGCAGGTTATCTGCCTTTCAGAGCCAGAGAATCAAGTATGTGTTATAAAAACTGAACTATAGGAAAGAGAGCAGGAGAGGCTAAGGACAGAACACAGAAGCACAGACAACAAAACAAACTGTACAATGATACCGAATATAATCAAAATATTCAGATCATTGAGCATTGCCACACAAACAAATATCAGGATATATCAAGACGTTCTGGGTGTCCCATTGGAGCAGGCTGCTTTAGAATGCAGTGATGCAGAAGGAAAAGTGGTGTGCAGGGCAATATACATGAACAGGCCAGTTTGTAAGTGTATGCACTTTGAGTAATCATGGCAAACTGGTAAGTGAATCAATGTATATCTGCTGCTGAAATATTTCATCACAGACACAAAGAATATGTAGAGATGCATCTGATGTGCTGAGGCAGGGCTGACTTCCAAAGAGGCACACAATTTTAAAGCAGGTGCATGATTTATGTATGATGTTAGGCCATGTCCGGTTCGCTCACCCAAGAACACTGGGAGAGATGAATGTCTGTCCCACTCATCTGGGTGACGCTGGTTTTACAGATTTCGAATGTAACTGTCTCATGAATTTTACACAAGGATATGAGATACCATCCTTAACAAAATTCAGGTTGATACTATAGGGTTCTGACGATGGTGTATAGCACACAGAGATACTGGGCTTTCTGACAATGTCCATTGTTGGATTCTAAATAACTAAGAAAAAACAAGTTTCAGAAACTGGATCTGTTTCCGAAATGTTGTGTTTTTTCTTAGTTATTTAGAATCCGGATGATAGACAAAGTCCAAAAACACAAAATTCAGGTTACTCATCACTTAAATTATAAGGACAAAATAGCGCACCTCAATGTCTGTACACATTTGCTTTGAATTGTTAACAATTGTGGTGTGTGAAGTTTGATGAAAATGTTCATTAGGGCTCATTTTACCCCAGTGAATGTACCACTGAACACAATTTCTGGTACTGGACTGACGAACTGCACAAACCATTACTACACGGCTGTAAAGTTACAGTTTGGTAAAAGGCATCAATTTTTGGGAGTAACCACACACCTTAGTTCTTCTTGGATGTGCTCATGGAAGTCGTCAAGATTTTCTCTGGGGGGGGGGGGGTGAAAGGAAAAACGGGGATACAACGT